TGAATAAAGTCGTTATTTTTGTTTGTTTTTTGCACACAAAAAGTATTCTCGTCGCTTGATAAACTTAAGATTGAGCCACTGTAGTCACTCAGACTATTTTAACAATGTCTTTAACTGGTGGAGTGATCCAGCTCTCAGATTTAATAAAAAATATCTTAATTTGTGTTCCGAAGATGAACGAAAGTCTTACGGGGTTGGAACAACATGAGGGTGAGTAATTACTGACATAATTTTCATTTTGGGGTGAACTAACCCTTTAATCTGTGCCAGTAAATGCTAGGGCTGGGTGATATATTAAATATTCATGGTATTTTAACAATTATTTAGTTGATTTCTGCGAATCAGTTCAGAATGTCAGTTTTATTTGAATGAATTGCAAGGTCGGATTCAGCGATTTGTTAAATAAATACAAATAAAATGTTCTTCAAACTATTCTTCCTTTTTAATTTTGCAATTAACAAATGTTTTCCTGCTGTAGAAAACATCCCTTATATAAAGATAGACTTGAACTGTATTTTACTCTTTGCGTTAAACAAAAACATGTACTGTATATTGAATATCAGGACACCAGGACCAACAAAGAATAATGATCAGGAGCACGTCCAAACTGACACAACTACACTGACCACTAAATATTGTTCATGTTTAGCTATTGCCCAGCCCTAGTTACTAGTATTATTGTTACTAATGTTAAAGGAATATAGGACGTTCTTCTCTCAGAATCATCTGTTGAATCAGCGGTTGTTAGTGGAAACTGTAAGTTCGCCCAATGGATTATACAACAAAGATTTTTATTTATTTATTTTTTTTGTATGTGGTTTAAGGGAAGTACATTCAGGGATTACTTAGTAGTCTTGAAGGGATATACACACACACACAAAATATTCAGTGGGGTCAAAACTCTGAGACCACATTGACAATCTTATTTGTAATCTAATTTAAACTGTATTGCATAAAATATATATGCAATTTTTCTTGGTCACTAATGAAATTAGCAACAACAAAAAAAGTACAACTGATTTGAGATTCTGTTCCAGCACACATGCTCTTTGCCCGAGTCATAACATGGAGCGACCAAATCAGTCTGATAATGGGAAAAATATAAAAAAAGTGAACACTTTGCATTTTTTTTTTATTTCACCAGTAGTCTCAAACTTATGGACTCCACTGTGCATTCGTGTTTGTACTGTAATTCATGTAACTTCAACCCTGTAATCTGTTCAAACTTGCAGGTATTCAATGCAAACATTGTTTTCAAAAAAAAAAAAAAAATTCTTTATGGTCCTGCAGGCGAAACATGAGTATAAACATTGACAACATTTCAAATAATTCTCTGTTTGCTTTTAGACCAGAAGCTTTCAATCTGGCGTTTAGAGACCCACAGAACATTTCAGAGAAAAAATGTTAAACTAAAAGACTAATATTTATCCAATTTGACGGTCTGCTTTGTAAAGACTGAGAGAAAAAATTTATTTTTTCTTCTATTGACTGTACTAAGCATATAATTTTCTACCCACAATTAGTTAGTTCTAAGTAAATAATATCTATATAAATTACAATAATATCTTGAGATTATTTTCACTTCTTTGGCTTTAGTGTAGTGACTATAAAAGCCAATTATTTAATTTGTCTTTACAAAATTATTGGTAACACTTTAAAATAAGGTCTCATTTGTTAATAGATTAACTAACATGCTGTAAAAAATATATATTGGTATTGTTACTTCATTTGTTAACCTTTGTTAATGTTACTTAATACAAATTTGTATGACTAATACAAATACATGCAGTAGAAGTGTTGTTCATTGTTAGTTTGTGTTATTTAATGTAGTTACTGTAAAGGGTTACAAACTTGACCATTATTTGGGGGTCCTTGGCATCAAACATGTTTAAAAACCCTAGTTCGACCACATCCTAAGTTTTATACTTCTAGTAAAATGTAAGGCAATCTCCATGTACACTTTTCTATGAGTGAAACTGGCCAGTAAACTCTTAAAATAATTAAGTTCATGTTTATGTTCTAATAACCTGGACCTAAAAGAGAAGATCTCATCCTCTTGTATGTGAACTCAGCAACACTGCCTTAGACAGACGTAACAAGATCTTGATATGTAGTCAATTCGCTCTCGTGCATACGGAATATGAAGCTATGTTAAAGAAAATATGTGAAACTTCCTATATGTAATGCTGGAATGTTCTAAGTGCCATCTGAATGTGAGCGGTGTATGTTTTTATAGGACCAGCGGTTCTGTACAGACTCAAATGTTACAAACAGAATGTTTTAATTTGTTGAAAATTCTGGTCATTATTTTGGGGTAGTTAGTTGATTAGTAGTACTTTTTATTAAATAACCTTGTTACATGATTTCACATTTTAATTCCTCCAAGAACATGATTTGTTAACAGTGTTTAGAGCAACTTGCAGTTCAAGGTAGGATCAAACAATCGTAATATCGTTACCTTAATCTTGACAACCACAATCAAACCACGCTTGAACAACCAGCAAATGAATGTAAACTGTGTCTTTGACTTCAGTATTCTGGGATTGTGTTTGGCCATTGTAAAATTAAGACTTCGTGAAGAAAAAGGTCTTAAGAAAAGATGTACTTGATGAATGATGATAGAAACTTCGTTTTTTTTTTTTACATCCTTCCATTTTCGTGCTTTGTTTTTAAAAAGTTGTGTATTTTTTTTTATCTGATAAATGGAAACAAAAAAATAAACTCTTGTGTGCTGAAGGTCACTTTTATTCATGTATTTGTAGTGAAAGCCATTATACTGTATCAGATTCAGAACAAAATGACAATATACCAAAATATATAACAATAGTTTGTTCTACAGCAAAATCTCAGGTGAAGGCAAAACTCCAGAAATGTCACTGATGTCGTCACACCCCACCCCACCCCAAATAAATCTTCATTATCATCATCACATACTGCTTCTACCTGCGGTCTGTTTGTCTATGTAAGTTTCTCTTTTTTTTTAAGAAACAAAGATGGTTACTCAACTGTTTGAATTTATGATCAGGATAAATTTAGTCAAAATGATTAAACTCCTGTAAGTATGTAAGTATTGCCACATATTCAGGACTGTCATCTTATTGCTGTCATTGCTTATTGCTTACATTTTTACCATACTTATGCACTTTTTTTTATTTTTATATACTCACGGAAAGACTTCATTCTTGGACAGATTTAGTAAACCGCTTCGCCACTGATAGACTATAGATGTCTAGGTAACGCTTCCTGTTACCCATGTACTTACTATGTACTTATTATAGTAATTATAATTACTGGGTAATAACTAGGCACTAACCCTGAACCTACCCCTAACCCATGTACTTACCTTATATTAGCCAGTACTTTCTAGGTAAGTACACGCAAGTACTGTACTGTAAAAGGAAGCGTTACCGATGTCTACATTCTATTCAGTATGAACGTGCCTCCTTTCCATGAAAATTATGCTCATTATTGATTAATTCACAATTGTTAGTGTCTTATTTTCCTGGCAAAACTGATGTTGAAAGTAAGCAGACCATTTACCCCTTCTGTTGTGTAACCTATTTGATCTTCAGTGAAACACTGGTTAAACTATTCATATCTTCTTGAAATGTGAATATTTCTGATTTATGGAAATGAGATGAATGTGCATGCAAAGTTTCGATACATAGATGTGTTTTGGAAATGCTGTACAAATTTTGTTACAACTTGTTGTGTTGGGTCAAATTGATCTTCATTGGTTTCCATGCAATTTGCCAACATTCAACACCTCAACAAAACGGCAAAGAGTCAGAACACCTTTATTGTAGCTTGCCAAACTAACATATGAAATACATATGAACTTTTGAAATTTAAGACTTTACTCAAAATTAACGACTCGTCTTCTGAATCATCCGATGAAAGGTTTTACCGTTAAAAACATGTTGAAATTGTCAAGTGAAAAACCCACGTTAACCTCACAAGGGTATTTTCTTAGTCCGTTTTAATTGACTGTTCAATTACATGACAATACTGGTTTGGGGGCCTGAAAACAAACATTTGAAAACCGATTTCAAAGTGCACGTTTTTGAAACCGAAGACCGCATACGTTTAGTCTAAAGGTGCGTAGTGTTTCTTTACAAAGTAACTACATCGCCAACAACTGGCCTGGCATGCATAATACAGCAGTTTTTGTTGATCTGTGTGAACGGGGATCGCTTTGACAACGTTGTCGTCTGTACATGGAACTATTCAAAAACAAAAAGGAAAGACTTTTCTGTTTTTAGTACATTGTTGTCGTGTAAACGTACCCCCAGACATGACGTAAGGCAGATAAATACTACACTGAGTAGTACAAATAATGTAAGACACCTCTGTGCAATAGCCACTACAAGTAGTCATTACAATTTATTTTCTTTTTAATATTAATTGGAAGACTGCTTGGTTAATCCCCTTTAAATATTGCATTAATAATAAAACCAACGAAATACATTTTAAAAATGTGCATACTATTTACCCTGTTAAATCATTAATTGCAAGATACTCTGATATTGACGATTTTTTGTTCTTTTTGTAAAAGTGGGAAAGAGATGTCGACACATTTTGTTTTTTTGAATGCAAGATTATACAAAATTTCTGGAAGGAATTGGCAGAATTTCTTTAATTTAGTAAAAAAAATGAAATTCTATTTTACTTTAAAGGATATTATTGTGTATTATGAAAACAATGTTAACAAAGATCTTGAATACATTGTTAATTTATTTATATTGTTGGCAAAATGTTATATCCATAAGCAAAAATATTTAAATTCATCCCCAATATTTTAAATGTTTAAATTATAATTTGATTGCTTCATATCTTCTCTGAAATAGGTAAAAAAAAAAAAAAAAAAAGTCATCAACATGTTTAAAATAGTTTGATATTATTTTTGGATCCCCTGCTACAAATTAATGTTTTTTCCTTGTTTTGTAAAATTGTATGCTATGTTGGTTACTTGTTCTATCTGCAATAATAAAAAAATAATAAATTATTTTCTTTTTTTAAATTGTGTCTGCAGCTAATTTTGAATGAAAAAAATGGGTCAAATTACCCTTAACACAATAGAAATAATAGAAAAGAAATGGATGGTAATAAATGCATTTCTCTCACTTTTCATATTTTTCTAGTCTTTGACAAGCTACAATAAGAGTTGTTGTTTTTTTACATGCATCTTTAGAGTTTTTCATAGTGTACATTTTTGCCAAATTGCATGGAAGCCAATGGGGTACCCAGTTTTCAAACACAACAGGAAAGAGAGATATGTGTGCATTTTCTAGCAATCACAGCAGCAGGAACTGTGTAACAAAGAAGTATATTATAACCAGGCATATAATATCTGGCCACGCAGTTGTGAGCACTTTCTGCATTTTAAAGCACAAATGCAATGTAAAGTCCAAGCATAGTATGGCAGATTGTGGGAGTCTGCTGGTTTCTTCACAAACTAGCAGTAAACAATGCTATGAGCGGGCACAATTCATACTCAAGTGTGTATTCCAGTGTGTAAAACAACTAAAGGACCTAATACAAACTTATTAAACGAGCTGTGTGTATGTGTTTATGACAGCACAGTGAGTGTGACAGTTCCTTTGGTTTTCTTCAGAATACCGACGGCCTCTTCGTGAGTGACGCCCTCCAAACTCTGACCGTTAACAGCGACGATTTGATCTCCGCGCTTCAGACGCCCGTCCTCTGACGCGGCTCCCTGAGACACACATTAGATCATGCTTCTACAATGCATCTGTATTGTGGCATCTGCTCTTTATCTACTAAAGTTACCTTGCTGAAGACGGTTTTGACGTAGATGGGAAGGTCACCATGTGGGCTGCCAAATCCACCCACAATACTGAAGCCCAGTCCATCAGGCCCTCGCTCCAAACTAATGCTCTTACACTGCGGAGGACTGGACCAAACAGAGATGAGAGCAAAGTTACATGGATCATAGAGAAACTAAAGTTTATGGTCATAATTTGAAGAGATCAGGGGCCAAGTTGCATAAACATAGCCTCTATGTTAAGAATGTGTCTTAAGAACTAGTTTGACCAACTAGCAGTTAGTTAAGAGGTAATCAGTCTTACTTTTCCGATTCAAGTTAGATCAACCTACGTTTTTATGTAACCGACTTAAAAAAAGTTAGGATTAGCAATTAGCAAAAATATTTGTAGTTAATGATAACACTTTTATTAGTCTGTTATTAAGCAAATATTTTTGTCAAAGAGCGTCGGTCACATTCATGCTCATACACAATGCTATGAAAAAGTTGATTTGCTCATGAATTTTTTCATATTTTTGAAATTTCATGTGGTCAGATTTGACTGTAGTAGCATTAGAGTCTGGTGTTAAATTAAACTCAGAAGTTTAGGTGTCTTTTATTTATTTGGGCCAGAATTCTTCTGGAGAAGTGAAACACTCAAAACTACAAGAACCTGTATCTAATGGCGCTTTTCCACTACACAGTACCAGCTCGCCTCGGCTCGGCTCGGCTCGTCTCGACTCGCCTTTGTTTGGTTTTCCACTGTGTAAAAGTTGTACCTGTACCTGCTTTCGGGTACTTTTTTTCGTACCACCTCCGGCGAGGTTCTAAGCGAGCTGAGGCGAGCTAAGCCGATACTAAAATGTGACGTGAAAACAATGCCGACTGCTGATTGGTCACAGAGAATCTGCGTCATCATTGCACGCGCCAGATGGAGTATCCAGAATAACCCCGCCATTTTTAAATAGTTTGGCCAGAGATAGTTACTAAACTTACTACTATTATTATGGCAACTCGGAAGAATACGCCGTGGTCAAACGAGGAGGTGCAGACATTCCCTTGTTTGGTTGCCGAAGAGAGGATCCAACGAGAGCTTGATGGGGCAACGAGGAACGAAATGCGTCGCTATGACGACCGGGTACTATTTGTGGCGGTACTTTCTGCAATGGAAAACGGAGCGAAAAGCGAGCCGAGGCGAGCCAAGGCGAGTCGAGTCGAGTCGAGCTGGTACTGGTAATGGAAAAGCGCCATAACATAACAATATCTATTTTGGTTGAAAATCTGAAACATTTACAAAAATAATACATTTTCACAGCACTGTTTCCATCTCTCATAAACCTGCAGTCACATTTTCACAGAAATGTGAAGTACATATTATGATTTTGTCATCATCATTGTTCTGATTATCTATCTTACAACTGAATATGAACCATTTATTTCATTTACTCTCCAAAGCCAATTTTTGGTGGCATTTGGCACATGGTGAGTATTACATTTTACATCCTGGAAGAGATTTTATGTGCGTGTGTATGTGTGTCCTTGTAAACCCTACATTATGTGGACAAAATGTCCCCACAAAGATGCCAATATCCAAAATCCATGTCCGAGGAAAACGGATTAATAAACATACTAAATGATGCTTATTTGAAAATGTAAAAATGCAGAGAAGTTTTCTGTAATGGGTAGGTTTAGGGGATAGAAAATACAGCTTTTAAAGTTTAGAAATAATTATGTCTATGGAGAGTCCTAACAAAGATACCGAAACCTAACGTGTGTGTGTGTGTGTGTGTACAAACCCCAGGTCATCATGGAAAATGCTGCTGGCTGTGAGTTCTGCTGACTGCTCTGGTGAGGGTCCAGTTACTGTTGTATCACCAGCAACTACCTACAAATACACACTTATATGAGAAAATGCAATTTGCTGAACACACACAATATTGCAAATCTGTCATTTAATAGCATCCTTTGTGAAAAAGAAGTGCGGTTAATTGTATACAATGTGCACTTCAAGTGTAGGCTACTTTAAAGCTTAAAAAGAATAATTAAAATTAAAACTGTAGTTGCAGAGTACAGTCCTGCATTTACAGAATATAAGTATATAATATTAATGAAATAAAAGGCAACTTAAGTGTACTTAAAGTGAGTACTTTCATGACTTTCTTAACACACTTAGGTACAATTAAGGGTCAGAAAACATTACATTTAGTTTGCACTTAAGTATATTCTTTTAAAGTATAATATTTGTTTAATAATTATACTTTTTTTTTTTAAGTATGCTTAAGTGTACTTCTTTTTCACAAGGGATATCATGGGTCGAGCACTACGGGTGTGTGATGTGTCGTTGTGTACCTGTAGTTGTATGATGCCAGTCGTGTTCTTCAGCAGTGAAACGGCTTTATTGTGAGTCATTCCCTCTGTTAAGTTCCCACAGATAGACACAATCCTGTCTCCAATCTAACACACACAGTTAATAAACATGAGAGACTGGGGTTCACAAATACACACACCTGCTTCAAAGCATCAGACCTTTTATTGGTGGCCAAAATAAAACAAAAAATGTTTCTAATAATCTTCTAACATCTTCAACTCACACGTACCAAGAGTTTCTGTGTCTGTGCTGCGAGGCCGCTGGGGTTCATCATGGCGATGAATATAGGCACGTCCCCCAGAGGACTGCCCACTCCTCCAGCTATACTGATGCCCAGAGAGTCTGACGGGCCCTGGGACACACACACACACACACACACACCATCACACAGAGAAAGCAAACTAAACCCTCAAAAATTCAAAAGCATACACCCTAAAGCAAGGTTATTTAAAGTCACCATGAAATCAAAATAGATAATTCTTGATGTTATGGAATACAGCAGTATTATAAATTATTTATCTATGCACATCATTATTTTTTTTTTTATTCATGTGCCCTCGTAATCTTTAAAGTGCCCCCTATATGGTATTTTGATGGTTCCTAATTTAGTTTTGGAGGTCTCCTACAACAGGTTAACATGCATCCAAAGTCAAAAAGCACTTTACTTTTCTCATAATATACATTGCAGCATCACCTCTTTTCTCAGTGTCTTATACGTTCTATCAAGGATCTGGTCTCTCTAAACCCCTCCATTCCGAGACCATACTCTGCTCTGATTGGTCAGATGGCCCTGTGTGTTGTGAATGTGATTGCTTACAGCACATGTCGGAAACGAAACGCCCATTACCATATCTGAATTTCAGCTCAGGAGGCTTCTTTAGAACTGAAAGGGATACTCCACCGTTTTTTCATATTAAACTATGTTATTCCCTTAACTAAGACGAGTTGATACATACCTCTCTCGTCTCAGTGCGTGCACTCAATCGCTCTGACGGGCGAGACACTTTGTTAGCACTTAGCTTAGCCCAGTTCATTCATTAGGATCCAAGCAGAGAAGCGACCAAACACCTCCACGGTTTCCCTATTTAAATACAGTTACACGAGTAGAGTAACTCGACCAAGAATGGTGACACAAATTAAAACGTTGGGCTTTTCTAAGCGTGTAAAGTGGATAACTATAATGTATGGCGGAATACCACAGCAAGTGCTTGGGAGCACTTCAACTCGGCGCATATATATCTATGGACTCGGCGCAGTAATATCATCACTCCGGAGAGGGAGAGGATTTTTCATGAGTGACGATATTACTGCGCCGAGTCGAAGTGCTCCCAAGCACTTGCTGTGGTATTCCGCCATACATTATAGTTATCCACTTTACACGCTTAGAAAAGCGCAACGTTTTATTTTGTGTCACCATTCTTGGTCGAGTTACACTACTCGTGTAACTGTATTTAAATAGGGAAAACGTGGAGGTGTTTGGTCGCTTCTCTGCTTGGATCCTAATGAATGAACTGGGCTAAGCTAAGTGCTAACAAAGTTTCGCCGCAAGACAGAGCGATTGAGTGCACGCACTGAGACGAGAGAGGTATGTATCAACTCGTCTTAGTTAACCTGTTAAGCTTCAAGCCCATTTTTGAAAAATCCCCAGATATGGCATTCCCAAACTGAAACAGATACAGTTCATGAACCCTTTGTACTAAAAGCACAAGTAAGATCTCATTTGAAAGCTGACACCTGGAAGTTTATTGTAAATGTAGAATTAATTATTATCATAATGAAAAAAAATAGTTATAAATAGCTTCAAAGTTTTGTAAAGTTATTATACATATATTTTTATGAAACATCTTCATGAAAATAAAATTGAAGTTGGCATTGTAGCAATCTAGAAATGCACTGCAGCTAAAGCCACATGTCTAACCATGTTATATTTAAAATCTGAAGATGATAAGTCTAAAACTCTGTATTTAGTTCAATGTTTTTCAAGATCATGTCATATGACTTTATTTTGATTAGACTGGTGTTTATTGTTTTCTTATAAGCATCTATTCAGTCTATTGCCTCTATTGTTTTGTGATGCAAAAACGAGCCCCATTCAGTCTCAGTCTCCCCTGCACATATTCACACCTCTCCAGCCAGTTTATTGCTCTAAATATGCTTTTCTTTTGTCTGCATTATAATCACTAACGACTAGCAATTCACACTGTTTCAATCCCTCATTTATTTTATAAAAGTTCTCACTTCACAGTGAAACTGTATCAAATGCCCTTTTTGAAAAACGAAACATTTCAGTAAGCATTCTTATTTAGAAAAAAATCATAAAAATTACACCGAAGTAAGGTAGCAGGTGCTCAGTACTAGCTAGCATGTTAGCTTAGCACACCATCAATACACGACAATTTATGAGAATAAAACTATGTTTGTTCTCCAAACTTACTTTATAGCGCAAGTCGAGTGTTTTAAATAACTTTCTGTAATCTGATTTGGCTTCAGATAAAAAAAATCAGATAGAAAATATATTATTTTATTGTATTCTGCACAATTTGAAAGTCTATCTCGATTAGCATTACATTATACATATAATCAATTATTATGAAAATACCTGACATGACTCGAAGAACACAGGTAAATCAAATATCATTGCAATCATGTTTATTGTCTTCAAAACATCTTTATCTGCACTTTACAGCGATCTCGGATAGCTTTGTTGTGGCAGGACTTCCTGAATGTCACATGATTATGGCTCTTCTTCATGTGATCCATATATGGACTTCTGTGCAAACACCGCCCTCACTTTCAGGATGAATTGATAACACAGTACAGAGTATACAGCGCTCAAAATGATTACATCGACGCATTTGGGTATAAATTCAATAAATATTATTCCTGTCTATAGAAGTCTGATGTAAAGCTATGAGAATCTATCAATATTTCTCCAAATCTGCACATGTTTGAGCTAAAAGCCCTGAGGGACGTTGTTTTGTCAAGCGCTGTCATGACGATCGCACGGGAGTTTTTTTCTGAATGAGACCGGCTGAGGCTCATAATTCATATTAAAGGTAACGACTCATTTTTTAATTTCATAACTCCTGACACAAATTAAGACATAACTGTCACTATAAGTTTCTCAGAATACAATAGTGGTCAAATACTGAATCTTGAGTCTTATATCTTTTTAATGATGTATAGTTTGTCAAGGTATAACATTAAATCTGATAGTATATTTGAACTAAATAATATAAAAAACGCTTCAGTGCGCCGACGCTCTGGAGACGGTTAACAGGTTAAGGGAATAACATAGTTTAATATGAAAAAACGGTGGAGTATCCCTTTAATACACAGTGATGCGAACAGTAATTATGGTGGCCATTTTCAACCTCATCCTTTAAAAGTGCATGCAAAGTGGATTTTCTTTAGCAACGCAGAAAACAGTCTTCTTGACATGTTGACAACACAAACCACACTCTTCCAGTCTCAGCTACAACTACAGTGTTGGAGGGTGGGTCAAACTAAAGTAGATGTTGTTCGCGGGCAGCCAGTGAATACCGTAGGTGAACATTATGCAAATGTATTACAAACCTACGTAGGCTCGTGCAGGAAGTAAGACTGGAATTACTGACAGATGGTTTCGGCAGTTCAGAATCAATCTTTCTTTTAGGAGACAGTAAATTTATACTTGGCAGACCTTTTACATTCACAGACATCTATATTATACACGGCATGAAAGGTAATGTTAAAAAAGCATAGAAGGGGCACTTTAATCAAAATAAATGACCCTCCTTATTGCAGTGACATCTCTTCTCTGATGTAATGTTTACTAGCACACTGGCGGGACAACCTGTCCCCAATAGCAAACCACAACCTTCCAATCAATTCCCCACGGACAAATTCACCACGGCTTTTAAAAACAGGTTTCAAAGTGCAAGTTTTTGAAAACGATACCATTTTCGTTTTCGTGTAAATTACAAAAACACAAATTTTTAAAAACGGTGGCGTCATGTGTGTTACGCGTTCAGTCTATAGGCGCATAGTGTTTCTTTACAAAGTGACATCGCCAACTACTGGCCTGGCAGCATAATACAGCGTTTTTAGTTATTTTTGCAGATCCGTGTGAAGCAAAGGAAAAACTTTTCGATTTTTAGTACATCGTTGTCATGTAAATGTACCCTAAAACCATTAACTGAAATAAAATCAAACATTAAAAAACATAATTATTTTATTTCAGCTAGTTACCAAATCAACATTTCTCATGATCATTTTACATTGAAGAACTTAAATAAAATTATAATAACTATTATTGTATATCAATGATATTAAAATAACACTGACCTAAAGGCCTATTGCCACAAAATGTTATATTAATCTTAAACTTTATTGTTTGGCAGAGGCTAAGTGCAAAATATGCAGTAATAATAACATATTCACTGTACATTTATTTAAATCATAAATGGATGCTGCCCTTATGGAATATATATAAAACGTCAAATGAAAAACAACGGAAAGAAAAACTTACAGATTTCATCCCTGGTCAACACCGGTCAATAGAAACATAGTTTGAAATCTTGGAGGACTATCGGCAAATATTGGCTCTCTGTGTGAGTAATAGGCCTGAATCATTGTAACTGACCTTTGTGAATTCAACCGTCCTGACGTCTTTGTCCAGCACTGCAAAGCAAGAAAGCAACGGTTGGAAGTCAAGAATGAAGCTGAATATTTGTAGTTTAGCAGATGAACTTTTCTTACATTCATGTGTTTTCTCTGCATCACCCTGTACAGCTGCAGGAGTGACTTTACCGCTGCCTGTCTCGCTTATCTGCACAGAAAACACAGACTTTTTTTTTTATTAGGCCAAGTGTGCACAACATGACTAGCTCGTCACCTTTTATGTTTGTCATGCCATGTCGTAATTACCGTAATGGTTCTAAAGCCTTCATGTGCTTGTAGAACTTGTAATAACAACGTGTAAACTAATGAGAGAAACGACTTGTACCACCTGACCACTGCAGACTTAAGGTGTGTTCGACTTGAAGCAGCGCTGGGCAGATCGATCTGTGTATGACATCAAAGTACCGCGAGAGCGATTCAAAAGTGTTGTGCGGAGCTTTATTTACGGTAATTACAACATGGCTTGAACGCAGCATAATCTGCACACACCCGTCAGGTGCACAACAGTGTTGTTATTAAGTAAAACTTCAAAATTGAACTGAATTGAGGTGGTTACACTATTTGTCGTCTGTAGAGCTGCTTTACTGGTGAAATTGAATTAGTTTCATAACTGATTTCATAATAATAAATAAATCATGTGAGAATGTATTTTGGGATCATGGCTTCATAGCTGTAAGTTGAATGTCAGGGTGTGCACCAGCACAACAAAAACACAAGTGTGAGAGTTTAATATTTGTGGATTTGTGTCTGACCTGACTGCTCTGAGACAGACGGCGCTCCGAGTGGAAAGGCCCCGCCTTAAAACGACCCACATCCAATCTGATTGGACCAGCACAATTCTGAGGGAAATCAAATCAGTTTATTTGATTAATATTTGTGTGTGGTCAAATGTATATTGGTTTTCAACATTCACACTAGATCAATCACAACTGCCTTTTTCAACGACATGAGGAAGTGACATCACTGGGGGAGGCAAATTCAATTTAAAATATGTTTGTAAAATAGACAGTTTTTTTTAGTTAATGAGTGTTAGGTTTCACTATTTTAGATGCTATTAAATGTTTTGGAGACATTGTTAAACATTTTCATGAGTCTATCTAGTCATTATTGACTCACAGCTTATAAAATAATTATATTATATATATTGCAACTTAGTTAAATGTAAACGGTGACTGCATTTTATTGACTTATTACAATGCTTTGCTAAATATTCTCCTTATCACACATTACTTTCTCTGCTTTTCACTGCAGTTATTAACTAAAACTAAAACCATTAAAAGCATTCCGTTACTTCAATTAAAATTAACTGAAATAAAATTAATTTGACAAGGCAACATTTCTCATTTTCATTTAAAGCACTGAAATAAACAATTAAAACTTATAAATGAATAAAAACTATATAGACATTTAAAAAATAAAAATGACAAAAACATAAAACATTACTAAAACTTTAACTAAAATTAAAGTGAAAACAAAATATAAAAATAAAATCTAATTGGAAATATCATGTTCAAAATATTTACACAAAAAACTATAAAAATGTATATACAAAAACAAAGATTAAACCTTTAACAGCCCATTAGATCACCCAGTGGTATGCCAGATATGACTGAAAGTTTAATATATTTCAATATTTTTGCCAAAATGGAAAAGGCACAGGCACCCATTTAACAGAATGACCTTGACATTCACCTTGAGCAGCGAGGCCACATACTCTTGTGTGGATGAGCGAACGTCCTCCCCATTAACCGAAAGGATCTGATCTCCCTGCATGAGACGTCCGTCAGTCTCCACGACTCCACCCTTCACGATGTCTGACACGAAGACTCCTGTGTCGTTCCTGAGACAGAGACAGTCGATCGCTGTTAGCACATGGGGAATACAGAACTGAATATTCATCTATGGACCCTTGTAAAAAAGAAGTGCGCTTAATTGTAGTGAATGTACTTGTAGTGTACTTCAAATCTTATATAATAATATAATAATAATTAATAAATACATAAAAGGCGACTTAAGTGTACTTAGAGAGTACACTTTCATGACAATGTTTCTTAACAAACTAAAGTACACTTTTGTTTTATTATAATCTTTTGTTGTGCTTTAAAGAAATACACTTATATGTTGACTAAAATACTAAAGCACATGTAAAGTACTTGGTTATAATTTGAACTGTAGTGTGTTTTTTTAATGTTACATTTAAAGTTAAAATATTTTAATGTACTAAATTGCAACTTTATCATGACAAATGTGTAATTACAAAAAAAATATCTAAATACATACAAGTTTAAACAGAAATTATATTCAAATATATTTTAGTTTAGCATAAATGCTTGTCGGTACATTCAGCAGTTCAATTTAACCATATTTTAAAAATAATAGAAGTAATTATGTATTTACATATAAATATGTACTTAAGTCCTACTTAAGAGGGTCAAAAACACAAAGTTCAATTAATTACATTTAATATATGTAAACTGTAATTCATTTTCATTTAATTGCAATTGACAAGTAATCAAGTTTTCAAATACATTACATTTGGTTTGCACTTAAGTATATTATTTTCATAAGTGCTCTTTAAAGTATGATAAAGTGTAGGCCTACTTGTTTTTCATAAGAGGAATTATATCTTAGATATACGGTAATCTGAAAAGTAGACTGTCAAAATTTCATTTAAAAGGATGTTTGTTTATTGTCAATATGAAGTTTTAATTTAATATTCATGCACCATTACACACATATCAATTCAGCAACAGCCGATGTCTCTCAGACTATTAATGCAAAAGATGTCTGTTTCACATCCACCAGTCTTAATGTATTTTCCATTCTAATTTGTAATTTTTGACATGCATGGAAAAATTCTTAAAATGCAACAAATAATGAAGCATTCTCAGCTGTTCATGCACTAAAGATGCTAAAATACAGGACAAAGTGCAATGGGCAAAAATATGTGGACACCCAAATTATTTACCTTCATGAACTGAGAAATCAATCAGGTTTTGACATATAAGAGGTCCTCATATTATAAGAATATCCTGAAAGAACTGAAAACTTCCTTGTTAGTCCAAAATCAGCTTTTATTGTTACCAGGCCCAGCGAACGACTCGTCCTGGAATCCGTCCGCAAACTCAGCACAGGCTTTGCAGGATTTTATGATATGGACTCGACAGTAATGCCACAACATGTAAGTAACCCTGTTCACTCTAATGCCTGATCTGTGACCAGTGATTTCTGATGTAATGATTCATGTAGCTACAGTCAGATGTTCTTTGTCCTGTCAGTAAATCAAACCAGTGACTAAACCCAAACGGTCAACTTCACATTGTTTCTCTTAGTAGGGTGTAAATAATCTGTTATTTAAACTGATTGAATTATATATAGAAAGCAACCAAAGAACGCTCCGTTTACAATAGCTATAGCTGTCAATCAAACAGCGCGTGTTTATCAGTGACAGAGTTCTGGACATATAATGCCATAGATATAACTGTAATGCTATAATTTTTACTTTTCACGAGTAGATAACCTTGAGAGCTGTAATAGTAAAAACGTGCTTAAAGTTGTTCGAGAGAATTCCACATGTAATGCTAGCTATTAGATATGTAAAGATGTCAGCCAATCACAGCAGTGGGCGCTTACACTGAAGTTTCACAGCAGAGACGCCCCTTCAAACAGAGCGTTCAAATCAGAGGGCTAAAATCAGGCTAGAAAAATGCCTTTTATTTCTAAATTATGACAATTTTTGAAGTAAAAATCATAATAACATTATAAGTGCACCCCAGGAAACATTATGAAACAATAAAACAATGCAGTTCATGACCCCTTTAAATCACACTTGTCACAAGTGATTTATACCTTCAACTAGTGTTCTAGTACCTTCTCCCGATGATGCTGAGTCCAAGACCACGGCCTGGTTTCTTCTGAAGCTCAATGGTCAGTGCGTCCCACAGTTCTTCTTCCTTATACTGACCCTCATCTCTGAAGACTGACAGACGAACGTGTTGCGGAGTCTGGCGCAAAACATTGATCGCCTCATCGTGTGTCGCCACACGCAGGTCTATACCATTCACCTGTTGAGAGAGAGAGTGGGTTACAAGAGAGTGGCTGAAATGAAGTTAACATGAAATCAAGCCTAGTCTAGTCAGAAGAGTGTCTGATGGTCATGATTTTACCTCCAGAATCTGATCTCCAGCCCACAGTCGGCCATCTTTAGACGCGGCTCCCTCCTCGTACACCTCATGAATTATTATAGTTCCCTGAAGACAGACAAATTCAGTCTTTATATATGTTCTTATAAATGAGTTCCTAAACCCTTGTGAAAAGGAGTGTTTGATTGTATTGAATGTGCACTTGTAGTGTACTTCAAACCTTCAAAGTATATATATATTTTTTTAAACTACAAAAACATAATATATGAATGAAATAAAAGGCAACTTAAATGTACTTAAAGAGAGAACACTTTCACGACTATGGCCGTTCACACCTGGTATTAACTTACCAACTTTGATTTGGAGACCATTTGAATTTAAAGATTCATGGTGAAAGCTGATTTGTATTAGTTATGAATCAAATGTAAAGGGGTCATGAATTGAGAAATACAATTTTCCTTGATCTTTTGAAATGTAAGAGGTCATTGTATTATAAAACGTCCTGTACGTTTTAAAAACTTAAAACTTCATTGTTTGTCCAAAAAGAGATTTTATTGAAACCAAGGTCAGAAAACGACTCGTTTCGGATTTTGTCACATTATCATGTAATAGTGCAACGAGAGACCGCCTCTTCAAAAGAAAAAGAAAAAATCAATGCCTACTTTTACATCATCGCATGTTTGGCCCCTCCCTCTGGCACATTAGTGAGATGAGGAGAGACTAAAATTAGCATTACCTTCCAAAGGTTCCTAATGCTAGGAAAGTGATTTTTTCACTTCTCAGTTGAACATTATTTGCTCGGTAAATTTTACTGTGGATACCTTTGGTAAATCAGTCGCAATTTCGGAGCAGGCTTTGTAAACAGACTTTTACTGTGAGATATGGATCCAAAATGAATACCACAACATGTAAGTAACCATGTTAATTTTAATGCCTAATCTCTGGTCAGTGATTTCTGATAATGATTCATCTACAGTCAGACGTTCTTTGCCTCAAAATCATTTATTGCTGATTATGCGTCAGTAAATCAAGCCATTGACTAAATGGTCAACTTCATATTGTTCCTCTTAAGGCGGGCATACACTGCGATTTTCGTCCGATTTTGCGACTCTTTTTCGGGTCGGGCCGATTTTCAGCGTTGTCGTTTGTCGCGCAGTGTACAGGGAGAAACGAGAGGCGATTACCTCGCCCGACAGGCAATCGGATTTCTGGCATGTTAGAAATTTTGGTTGCTCCTCATGACTATATCGCACAGTTGAAGCAGAGCTACGAACCGATTGCCCTAAACTCAGTGTTTTTTCCCTCACTGCGTCTGCGCGAAAACAGAAGTTTAACCATTTCATCTTTAATGCAGCAAGAAAGAAAATGAAGAGGGAGATCTTTAAGTTCTGTAGCTATCAAACTAGCAACAAATTACTGTTGCTTACCTCTAGTTGCACTCCCACATCTTCCTTCCGAGATGTAGCTACCGTGCCTCTTTTATTAATTTGTTAAACAAGCTGTTAATTTTCATTGATGACTGATTATTGCAGTGAGAGCAGTCAAGTCGCAGCTCGATGATCAGACCGTCTAGTGTGAGCACATAAAACGCGAGCTTTGGCTTTACATCGCATGCGATCTACTTGTTCAGTGTGAGTAGGTAGCCTTACTCTCTATTTGTGAGAGTGCAGAAATCAGAGTGACGAGATCACAGCATTCATGTCTGTTATCAGCCAATTCTCATCGCTGTAACCTTTCATGCAATGGGAGAAGATCTAAATATAATGCTATAATCAACACTTTTCACAATTAGTTAATCTCAACAGCTGTAATAGTAAAAACATAGTTAAAGTTTAAAAGAGAGTTCTACATGTAATACTTATTTCATATTCAAAGATGTTAGCCAATCAAAAAAGTGGGCGTTTACGTTGAAGTCTCAGAGCAGACAAAAATACTAAAATCAGGGTAGAAAATGGCCTTTTATTTCTAATTTATGACCATTTTTTTTATGTAAAAATCATACTAGCATCATAAGTGCATCTCAGGAAACATAAAATAATAATAAAAAATGCAGTTCATGACCCCTTTAAAGTTTGACTGTACAATTAGTTTGTACACATTTTGGTATACATTTTGGTAATCTCCAGTGTCATAGTGCACAAGTTTATGTCAGTCCGCTGGGAAACAAAGTCTCACAAAAACATACTTTAAACGTTAATGAGGTTATTCACCAGTAAAGTGTCACAGCCGCCCACGATGCTGAGCCCCAGTCCTGTTCTCCCCTTGGAGATCTCTATAGTAGTCTCACAGCCGGGGATGATGGGACACGTAGCTGGATCAGACGCCAAGGTCCCCGGTGTGGAACATCTGCTCGAATCTGCAATACGCAATCATGACAAAGATCAGGTTCAGATTTATTCATAAACCAGTTTTCCTTTAACAACTCCCAGGCCCCTCCCTCTTACTTCTGATTGGCTCTGTCTCTGATGATGTCACAGAAACATGCACCATCTCATCATCTGCAAGCAGCCTGTGTCCCACAGTGACAGCAATCATACCGTCCTGAAATACACACACACGTTTGACACACACGTTTGACACACTCTAGGTAGGCAGCTCACTAGGTTTTGAGAGACAGGCATACAGTACAGAAACTAGCAAAGACGCACATAAAAAGTCAAGTCAAAATATTTGTATAGCGCTTCTTACAATACACATTGTTTCAAAGCAGCTTCAAAGAAAATTGTTCATGTTTATATCTTCATGTCTTTATGTGATACACACACACACACACACACACACACACACATATGTGCATTAGAGCCAACATGAAATCAAAATTGACCCAATTTAGTTTCCTAATACACTTTACAATTTTTATTGTTCACAATTCATCAGTGCATGTTACTTGCAAAAAGTACATTTTTGTAATCATTAAAATGTCATAAAATGCTCCACCTCTGACACGACTTTCAGTTTCAGTTTCTGTTGTGTTTAGTTTTACACCTAGACAATAGTAATTCATACCCTTCCAGCTGCTCCATTCTCATCTACACTGTGAATGATGCATCCGTTCCTGCTGTCGTCCTCCTTCAGGACCATACCCACCCCTCCATCCTCCTTCATCCATGAGATCGATAAAGAGACAAAGAAAGAAAACGCTTAACATCCCCAGGACAGAGAGAGAAACTGCACAAACACAGAGTCAAAAGAGAACTGAAGTGTGCATCTTACCACAGGAAGAGTTATGTGTTGGATCATGTCTAGTGTTGAGCCGGGTGTCTCGGTCTGGGGCGGAAATAAGAAATAACACATTAAATAAACATACAGTGTGAATGAATGAATGAATGACCGAACGAAAAAATAAACAAACCAAATGTTGAGGGCATGGCTGTTTAGATTTAGATGTTAGTCCCTACTGGAAGATTGTGTAACTACAACATCATGCGGCCAAAAGGCTTCAATGAAAATCTTTCTCCATTGAAGGCCATTTGAAAATGTATTAATGTATTTTGATAAAATACATGTTTGTTTGTTTTTTTGCGAGAAACATTTAAATGGCAAATATTGCATAATAGTATAGTATTATTATGTTTTAAGAGGGCTCTTAATAGCAGGAAATTGATTTATTGAGAGGAACAAGAATATTAATTGCAATTAAATGAAAATGTATTATAGTTTGAATTTTAAATGCAATTAGCTGAAATTTTGAGAGCTTTTAACCCACTTAAAATTAACTTAAGTACATCTTTATATTGTCTTTGAAATAAGTGTACTGCTGAATGTACTGACAAGCATTTATGGTAAAATAAAAGAAGTTGAAACTTGTATGTCATGTATTTAAACATATTTGTAATTAATCCTTTGTAATGATGAAGTTATGTTACATATATTAACGTTCCCTGTAAATAATATCAAATAATACAGTACAGTTTAAATTAAAATGAAGTACTTTAAATGTGCTTTAGTATGCTATTAAATATTTTACATTTTAAACATTTAAGATTTGAAGTACATTACAAGCGCACATTCAATACAATTCATCCAATTAAGCACACATCTTTTTCACTTAATTTTTTTTAAATGCTTTTGTGGGTTCCCTATGCTATAGTTTGGGGATAACTATAATATAGCGAAGGGAACCCACAAAAGTTAGGGTTTGTGTTAGTATGTAGTAATGATAATCATATATGGTATAAGCACATGAAGATAGCTAGACACAGGTGAGTGTGAGTTTACCTCTGTGTGTGTGTCTGGTGAGTCGGTCTCCTTCATTGGTCCGACAGCCATCTGACTCAAAGCATCTCCGTTTCTTAAACACACCACATGTGTCAGCAGGAAACAGGGATCAAATCCCTTCAGATCTACACAATAAAACCTTTGACCTACCGGATGAAGATGATCTTGACTTTTGAGGGGGCGCTTTTAATAATGGCAGAGGCGTTTTGATGACTGCGGCCGTACAGAACCTGACCATTTATCTGCAAAGGCGACAAGTTGAATCAGCACTTGTAATTGCAGATAATCTAATATTAATAAAAATAAAAGGACATTTAATTGTACTTAAAAAGCGAACACTTCAATAACTATGTGTCTTAACACACAATAAAAAGTACAATGCAATAATGTCCAATTAAACATTTAAAGGTACATTTTAAATCATTACGTTTTATAATCTTTTACACATATTTTGATGTGTTGACTAACATACTGAAGCACATGTAAAATAATTTTACCTGTAGTGTCATTCAATATTACATTTAAAATAAATATATTTATATAGCTTTATCATTACAAATGTGTAATTACAAATATGTTTAAGTAGATGACCTACAAGTTTCAACATAAATTACGGTAACACTTTATTTTAAGGTGTCGTTGTTACACAGTAATAACTTACTATAGTAATAACAGTAAAATATGCATAACCAAACCCTCACCCTATAGTAAGTACATGTAGTTAATGAATATTAATCAGTACTTATTTGAAAACCAAAATTACATTGAAGCATATTTTAATTAAGTCTTAAGTAGGTCAAACAGTTTAGCTAATTGTATTTTATATAAAATTAGACTATAATACATTTTCATTTAATTGCAAATAACATGCAATTAGGTGTCCGATAACATTACATTCACATCGCACATAAGCATATTCTTTAAAAGTATATTATTTTTGTAATAAGTACTCTAAAGTACACTTTTGTTTCACAATGGGTCAAACTGATGTTTTACACACACTCACCTCCAACAGTTCATCGCCCACCACGATGTGTCCGTCTCGCCCGGCGGCCCCGTTGGGGTCAATGCCCACCACGAACACACTCATGCGCGACCGGTCCCGGTTCCCTGCCAGGCTCAAACCCAGACCTGTGCGGCCCTTCTCCAACTCTATCATGTGCAGCTGACCCGGTAAACGACCGTACCGCTCCGTTACCTTCTCTTCTCACACACACACACACACACACACACACACACACACACACACACACACACACACACACACACACACACACACACACACACACACACACACACACACACACACACACACACACACACACACACACACACACACACACATTAATATGTTAGAGCAACTGAATCAAAGAGCATTTCTGAAGTGGTGCTGAGGCCTGCAGTTAAATGCTTTTACTTGTAAATTATACCTGTAATCTGTAGTGTCACTACATTATTCCTGCAGATTGCCTACATAATTTCTAAAACTATGACTCCATTTCTCAAAACTCTACACATGCACACAAGATGCAAAACGTCACACATCTCTTTCTAAAGCACAAACATTGTAAAACTCTTCTAAAAATTGTGTTTTTGTATAGTAACTCTACACACAAGCATCATTAGCCGTCAAACTAGACGGATGTGAAAAATGTAAAACATTACTATATTGTGTCTCTTGCTTGTTCAGTGCGCAGTGGAGTGTGCAGGAGTTTGTCATAGCACTCACACATGTATGTGAACAAATACTGTATATAATTGATGAATTTTACAGCTTTTGAACTGAACTGAACTAAAGCAGATAACGTGCTTGCAGTTTTGCACACTTTGTCTGAAGATTAGGTATTTGAATGAATAGTTTCTCAAGTACCACTTAAGAAAAAACTGTAATAGCATTGAATGTGCACTTGTAGTGTATTCACATATTAACAAAAGTACATTTAATAAAAAAAAAACTGCACAGATAAAATTAAAAGTCACTTGAGAGATTACACTTTCATACAATAGAATTATGAAATTGCATAGAAGAATGTACTTAAGCTCTTCTTAAGTGGGTCAAAAAGTACTCTAAACTAAAGTTCGAATAATTGCATTTTATGTAAATTTAAACTATTTTAATTTAATTGCCATAAACATACAATTAGGTGTCCAAAAACATTACATTCAGTTCCCACTGAGGCAGTTTCTTTTAAAGTATATTATTTCCGTAATTAGTACTCATTTTAAAAGTATGCTAAAGTGTATTCTTTTTCACAAGGGACTCCCTCTAAATCAGGTCTTGGATGAGTGCAGTGTGATCAGTGCCCTCTGGTGACACTGTGTTTTATCGTATGTGAGACTCACTCCAGCTGTATCCGTACTCATCCTCCTCTTCGTCCTCAGGACCGTTGTTATGAAGAACGAGTCTATCGGGAATCTCAGTCAGGGTGTCCGAGTCTGTTTCCCCAACATGTGGAACGACCGGCAGTGACAGGACGGGTGTCGCCGGGATGATTTTCCCCTCCTCTCGATTCAGCTGCCACACAGATTTAATAGTGGTTTTTACTCAAAAATAAAACGCATTAAAAACTGATATACTTTATATCCAATTAGCACATCATCCGTCAACACGGCATCCTTCATTAAACCCATGAAATATGAAGCTTAATGTAATCAAATCACATTCAACACACTAATCTGTTCTTCATTTTTCAGCATGAAGAACCAACAAACCAAGACATGCCGCTGTTCTTTAAAAGCCTTGTTAATTATTTGTTAGATATGGTAAATTCATGTTTAATGAATGAAAAGTAAAAAAAAAACTATTCCTTTTAAACTCATTTTAATTCAGCCTTTTTTAATTATGCTAATATCTGCATATTCATATATTTAGTAGTCATCATACAATAAGGAAACATTTTACAATAGGGCAAACATTTTATTTTATATGTATTAATATTTATTTACTTGCATATATACATATATATATATATATATACAAACACTGAACAAAATTATAAACGCAACACTTTTGTTTTTGCCCCCATTTTTCATGAGCTGAACTCAAAGATCTAAGACTTTTTCTATGTACACAAAAGGCCTATTTCTCTAAAATATTGTTCACAAATCTGTCTAAATCTGTGTCAGTGAGCACTGACACACTCCTTTTGCCGAGATAATCCATCCACCTCACAGGCAAAGAGTATAGAAGTACCAAGAGGCGAAACTCCATTGCAGTTTTGACAACAATCGCTAGATGGCGCTGCTGTCGCCATTTTGGACTGAACCAACTATACAGCATAAAAATAAAAATAATTTAAACATCTGGAAATTAAAATTAAAAAATTAAATTAGCGGCATGGAGGTGTACAACAGTGAGTGCAGGGAAGTTGTGTGTGACAAGGAAAAGTGCAAAAACACTCTTGTATACATGGTGAAGCTATTCAATAGAGTCAGAATCCATCATATATTACGGACCCAAAATCGACAACTCTCACAGCCCAAACAGAAGCACAACAGATTTTTTTTTTAAAGCTAAGTCATCTGTAAATCTGTACATTAACTCTCTCTTTCTGTATCAAATTTAACACGTGTTTTTATCAGTCAAGATGAATTAAATTAGAATAAAACCAAAGGCTAAAACATATAGAACAGCTAATATACTTACCATTGTCATTCTATTTGTAGTAAATGTGTGCACTTTACTTGCACAATGTTTGATTTGTTGTGTGTAATGCAGGCAGAAATTATGTGGTGATCTACTTACCATCACCAATTTTATTACTGTTAAATTTTGTGATGATCTTCTATTACTATTAAATATTCTCTCTTGACTAATGTGTTGTCCCTTTCACCTACTCACTGTTCATTGTGTTTTGGCTTTTTCAAAGAATTTGTCAATCATTTTATGAGGAACATGAGCTGTTGTTACTGGTGTTGTAAAATTGTGCTGTATATGAAAACGGGAGTTATCCCCAAAAGTTATTGGGGTAAATAAATAGCCTATTTGACAGCTTCATGCTCTATGACGAAATTGTTTACCGTATTTTCCGCACTATAAGGCGCACTTAAAAGCCTTTAATTTTCTCAAAAAACGACAGTGCGCCTTATAATCCGGAGCGTCTTATATATGGATCAATTGTCGCCCGCGAACTCGCGCTCGTGTCCATCTTATGCCTGCTCTGTCACACGGCCAGTTCAACCTCGTATAAATCAGGTTATGTGTGTAAGTCACGAGCGCTTACTCTTACTAACAGACACACGAACAGACACACTGTCCCCGGCGCTGCTTGCGCGTCACAGAATGTTCATAAAGCGCTCCGCGTTCACAGTAACCGGGTCGTCTCATTCAAAACAGCCAGCTGTTGCTGTCAGCGAGCCGCCACACATGAATAGGCCTACTCATGAGTCAGGCTGCGAATGTAATGTGTTCACACCGAACGCGAATAGAGCGTCAAATACACGTCTATCGTGTCTAGTTAGACGCTTGAATATTCGCTCGAGTTCAAATTTTTCAACTTGCGCGGAAAACGCGGAAAACGCGTCTTTGCATTGACTTTGTATGTAATCCACTCGCGCAAATAATTAAATTCGCGTTCGGTGTGAACACACCATAAGTTACGTGCCCGCCCCAGCGCGCTCACACTTATGGTGTGTTCACACCGAACGCGAATAGAGCGTTAAATACGTGCTATCGCGTCTAGTTAGACGCTTGAACATTCGCTCGAGTTCAAATTTTTCAACTTGCGCGGCAAACATTCGCGGCAAACGCGTCGGCCAATTTGCGTCATTCGCAACGCCCGGCGCGAATGATGCGTCTATTCGCGTCTTTGTATTGACTTTGTGTGTAATCCACTCGCGCAAATAATTAAATTCGCGTTCAGTGTGAACACACCATAAGTTACGTGCCCACCCCAGCGCGCTCACACTTATGGTGTGTTCACACCTATCGCGTCTAGTTAGACGCTTGAACATTCGCTCGAGTTCAAATTTTTCAACTTGCACGGAAGACATTCGCGGCAAACGCGCCGCCCAATTCGCGTCATTCGCAACGCCCGGCACGAATGATGCGTCTATTTGCGTCTTTGCATTGACTTTGTATGTAATCCACTCGCGCAAATAATTTAATTCGCGTTCGGTGTGAACACACCATTACTAATAAACGCCTCGCCTCCGGCGCCGCGCACTCCCTACATTCCCTGTTTAGCACATCTAGTGGATGCATAACGCAAACCCAGTCAAACGTTTGACTGCAGTATCTTATGCGCCTTATAATCCTGTGCGCCCTATATATGAAAAATGTTCTAAAATAGGTCATTCATTGAAGGTGCGCCTTATAATCCGGTGCGCCTTATAGTGCGGAAAATACGGTAATTATAAACCGATAAGCATTATTTTGTTGTACATTATTCAACATGCCGTTTTAGTTTAGGCTATAGAGATATTAAAAACTAGAAACTACTATTTAGTTCCCTTAACTGCTTTTGAATTGGAACCGGTATCGTTCAATTCTATGACAGCTGTGTTGCGTTCAGTCCAAGATGGCGGAGCTGCAGCTCTGCGCATCGGTGCGTTTGTTGCAATGGAACGTTCTATTGAGTTTCGCCTCTTGATACTTCTATACTCTTTGTCACAGGTGTGGCATATCAAGATGCTGATTAGACAGCATGATTATTGCACAGGTGTGCCTTAGGCTGGCCACAATAAAAGGCCACTCTAAAATGTGTTGCAGTTTTACAGGCCACAATCAACAACCTTTTTTTTTTTCAGTAAAACTGCACATTTTAGAGTGGCCTTTTATTGTGGCCAGCCTAAGGCACACCTGTGCAATAATCACACTGTCTAATCAGCATCTTGATATGCTACACCTGTGAGGTAGATGGATTATCTCGGCAAAGGAGAAGTGCTCACTAACATAGATTTAGACATATTTGTAAACAATATTTGAGAGAAATAGGCCTTTTGTGTACATAGAAAAAGTCTTAGATCTTTCATGAGATCTTAGAGTTCAGCTCATGAAAAATGGGGGCAAAAACAAAAGTGTTGCGTTCATAATTTTGTTCAGTGTATATATATATATATATATATATATATATATATATATAGTATAAACACAAATTAAGATAAAAAACAAAGAACAAAAAGAGGGTTTTAGGGCCATATATATGCAGATCCTATGAAATTAAGTTCCATAACTGCATATAGATGGGAGAGGAAACACATACACACCCACACCCACACAAAACACAAACCTTAAACGGTGTAGGAGTGAAAGGATTAGTCGAACATAGACGAAGGAAAGGTCTACTTTGAGTGTCAACAGCCTACAGAAAACAGAGAATAACCAGCACCAGTGAGACAGAGACAGAGAGAGGGAGAGAAGGAAAGAGGGAGGTCAAGTACTCATTCAGACTACAGCAGTGCACAATATAAAACATTATCTACACTACAACTGCTGTTCTTAAGTCGGCTGAGGACAGGGCAGGTGACAGCTGGCCTGAAACTCAGCTGGTCATCTTTACTGTTGATCTTTGAGAGCCTAGAGTCTTTCTGCCTCTAATGGAATAGAATACTAGCCAAAGTCTCTTTTAAGAAAAGTCTGTTCACTTGGCGGCCATATTTGCAAAGCCTCCTGGCAACTATTTTGGGCATCCAAGACCTATCTACTTCGATGAAGGAATCCTGAAATCTCAAAAACTGCTTGCCAAACTCACAATTAAATAACATATTTCAAATCAGAATCTAAACTTTATAACAAAATCTAAAATAAACTGTCCCATAAATGTTCTTTTTAGACCAGAAAATGTGAATGTGCAGTCCTAAGCGCACATCTCAAAACACTATTTCTATAGCAACTGGAGCTTCTAATGGCAGCTGCAGAGATGCAATGACTTGCTCAATCAGTGATTGGGACTTTTATTTTGAAGGTGGGACTTATTCTGCCATATTGCGCGTTGCACCTTCTCCCATTCATAAGTAAATTGAGTGCACCATCTTATATACACTTCTATACACTTACTAAGTCCTTGTACTAACTTAGTACGTACTGAATATTGTGTAATATACACTATACTGCCTGCTAAATATTGAAAAATATTGAAATAGTAGGCATTATGTGCAGATAAATGATTGAGAACATTGGTATCCAACATCATTGTCACAAGATTTTATCACATTGCATGTCTGTGGCAAATAGTTATCAATTTTTCAAATGACATTTTTTTATATATATATTAAATTTTATGTAAAAATGTCAACTTTTTTTTTAAGTACAATCAAATAAAAGAACGAGTCAAGAAGATATGATCAAAATCATGCCTGTAATTATTTCACATTCATCTGTTGCATTGGAAATGGAATGCCAAACTAAGCATGTTGCATTGTGGGATATAATATTTCACACAATGTACTTTACTGTAAAGTGCACATTTGGGCAAATCTGTGAGTGTTGTTGTTGTTAACTTAATCTTAAACAAACCATAATGTATATGTATTTTTTTAATTGAAATAAAGCTGAGATTAAATAAAAATTAAATAAAATTAAAATAAAAAAACAACAATGAATTTTAGAAATGTAATTCAAAATATTAATTAATACTACAGTAGTATATACATAATACCAAAATAACACTGGCATGTCATCCTATTATATGCATACAGAAATTCACATACTATATACAGACATAGTAAAAAAAAGTTGTTAGTAGGCTATTCTGAACACTGCCTCAAGTCTCAGATGGCACACCTAGAGACTGTTCACAGACGCCTAAAGCATTCTGCATGCAAAAATCGTATGAGTTGGTTAAAATATGCATTGCCCATCACATTGGCTGGCTTCTGCACAACTTCTGAGAGTCTGGCTGCCCAGGGTTTTATCAGTTCACAAGTCGTGTTTACGCTGTAGTGGGCTGCAACAACGTCTAAGTGTCTAAGCTCCATCTTATTTTACTAATGAATTCTGATGGTTTTTCCAATTGTTTGTCATTAGCTACTAGATAAAATCATTGTAGTTTGGTGGGGTGCATTTCCATTATTGGATCTCTAGATGTTAGGAAACAATCCTTAGAATTAAGCGATTTAAACAATTATTTATATTAGTGTGCAAATGTATGTATTGTTAAAGGGGACATATCATGAAAATCTGACTTTTTCCGCTATAATCGGGTCCCCGGTGCAACCCAGAAAACATGAAGAGTGACAACCCAGTAACTTCGTTTTGGTAAGCCTTTCTGGATGCCAGCCCAAACCCCGCCCACAACATGTTTTGGTCGGGAAGTTCGGTCTGGACTCGATCCATTGAGGAGTAATTATGATCGGTCCAATCAAATTGCCAGGGCGGGCTTTATACGATGATGGACAGATGATCTGCAGTTACGTAATCATCACGTTATCAAAGAGCGCTTGGGTTGAACTGGTTAACCTCAAAGATGACTGCAGCTGGAGAATTGAGATGTATAGATTCCGCTATTGCGTCTGTTGTAAAAGAAATCGACAGCGCATTCATTTTAAAAGACGAACAGAGAACTGCAATCAAGGCATTTGCCGATCGGAAAGATGTGTTTGCCATCCTTCCTACGGGACTCGGCTAAAGTTTAATTTATCAGCTGGCTCCGATGGTCGCTAAGAAGAAGGGACGCAATGAAAACCCTGTGGTCGTTGTGGTTTCTCCTTTGGTTGCACTCATGGAGGACCAAGTAAAAGAAGCAACACTCATTATTTTACTACTTCTTCCAGCGTGCGTGCAGTTTAGTTCTGTTGAAACTATGCTATGGAACTATGTAGCTGACTTACTGCGTTGCTCTGATTGGTTGTAGGTCTATCCAATTGAGTGCAGAGTTTTTTTTTTCCTGGTTCGGTTAAGACACGCCTCATAATCAAAGCCCTATGGAGCAGTATCAGACTCACATTCTGACTAGAATATGAGTATGACGAAGTCAGGCTACCTTTCTCTGCAAGCATGTCAAAAAATAAGCCGATCAGATTTGGCTCCCCTTCTGACGTAGGAAGGGGATCTTTTTATAATATTACTGCCCCTTAATCTGCACGTTTCCACCCAAGGCGCCGCCATTTGGTTTTCGCATGCGACAACAGTGTAACCAGTTCTAACACAATGGCAAAAGTTCGAGCAAAGCATGCAAACTGTTCTGTCGTTGCTGCACAGATGAGCACAGAACACTATTTGACCAAAACATGTCACAGCTGTCTTATAAAGACCTCAGGGAATGAGGGTTTGTGTTTGGGCAGATATTGTGCTTTGCGGTAGGTAGTGAGCCGTACGGAACCGTTGCCACTGAACCTACTTTAATGACGACAGTGGGGCTCGACAGCCTTAGTCAAACGGGTTGGCGCGTATGGTTGGGTTGCGGAGATTGTGGTTAGGTCACATGTGAACTACGAGGAAGGAGCAACCTCAGCAGCAGGAGGGATGTAAAGGTCAGTAAGCTGGGCTGAGTTGAGTGGGGGACGGAGGGGGGCGACTCTGGGACGCCAGAGTCACTGTCGAGCCCTCTTGAGGTGTCGTGGGCTAGTCGACGAAACACTGAGGACGGAAGGTGCCCACTTGAAGACCCTAGAGATCTCCCCTACTCGGCCCAATCCAGATGGTTGTCGTGCTGTTCCACTGGGGAGACCGCACTGTGGTTGCAGCCGTTGTGTGTACTGACATGCCAAGTACACTGCAGCCATTAACGCCGGACAGAAGGGGAGTCACACCACCATATGGAAAGAAGCGTAAATGGATGGAGAAGCATAGGTTACTGTAAAGCTACGTCTTAGTTTGTGCTTATCTTGGCGAAAGCGGAGTACAAATCAGCATGAAGTTTTAACATCTACTCTCGTGTAATGGAAATCATGTCAACTTGTGTAAAAGTTAAACATGACGGTACATGCAAGTCGATGAGATGAATCAATGTAACTCCACAGCAACTACATAAGTGTATCCACTTAACCATTCAACTCTTCTGAACGGAGGTGGGGAGCAGCAGCGCATTAACATTTAAAGCGACACACACAAAAACGGCACGTTTTTGCTCACATCCAAAAAGGGGCAAATTTGACAAGCTATAATAAATGATATGGGGGGTATTTTGAGCTGAAATTTCACAGGCACATTCTGGGCATGCCATAGATTTATATTACATCTTGTGAAAAGGGGCATGATATGTCACCTTTAAAAAAAAAAGACCACTCCCTTATCGTACCATAGGAAAGTGCCAGTAACATGCATCACAAAGGCGGTTATCTTCAAAAGACCTGTTCTGAAATGCATAACTAGAAAAATCATATTACAGACATTTCCATGATTTTTCAAGCCTGAAAATCAAAATTGTAAAACTCTCTGGTATTTCCGGGTTTTGTGCGATTAAGGACCCTTGCCTCAAGCACAACTTCATATTCCATTTTCTTGCACAGTTATGTCTGTGAAATAATCAGGACTTAAACTGACAGGCTTTTAGTGAACACTGTGCTTCTGAGAAGGAGTTCAAAATGAAAATTCTATCTATTTTTAATCACACTTCATGGCATTCCAAGTCTTACACATATACAGTATTACTATTTACATATGTATATACCTAAGATTAATTCACGAAACAGTGTTAATTTTTCTGACTGGTTTCAAGAAGTTAACAGCTCACAGAAGGAAAAGAGTATCAGTCAGTGTTGTTATTGTAAACTAAAACTATTAAAAATCAATTTCATTAATTTCAATAATGAAATAAAATATAAAATAAAAGTCAATTCAATAATCAATACTATAATAGTACAGTAAATAATACTAAAACAACATGGATAGGATCAGTGAATCGGTCTGTTCCTCATATGAATTCAAAAGACTAGGTATTTTTATAGGGCTTTTTTTTATTTTATCTTAACAGCCATGGTCTCTATGAACTGTTGTGGTAATGAAAGACAGTACCACAATTCTTGTTACACTGAAGACAATCATACAGGTTTAGGAACGACTAACCTGAGAGTGAGAAAACAAAGACAAACACAATTTTAGGCGAACTATTTAAAATCCAGAGAAGTAATGGCGTCGTGTCTGTGATTAACAGTACAGTGTGATCACACAGTACCACGGTTTAATAAAACAGCGATTTCACTCTGGTTTGTACTCACCTTCTCACTGCTGGTCTTCAAGTTGAAGGCTGAAACTTCTTCCACTGCATCCAGCGCAGATGTCTGCCATTATTAAAAATTAAAGAACAGCCCTCGTCAAACACAGCTAAAGAAGAAGTCCCACAAAAACCTCTCTTCATGACCTCAACAATGTCATTTACAAAGCTCTCTATTGGTCTAGAAGATCCAAACTAAAGTCCTCCACAGTAATGAATGTCTGTCCTTACGGCCGTGGGCCAGCTGTGGATTCCCCCTCGTGTTTTGTACTTGTTGTTCAGTACCATTGAAACAAAGCTAGTTTTAAGAGCCATCTGCAGAGAGCCATCTGCTGGGCGGGAATGAGGCATGGGTCATTAACGCACATCTGGACACAGAGAGTTTATAAAGGTCTGATGAAGAGAAGGACAGGCCACAGGGAGACAAACTTTAAAGGCGCCTTGATACAAGGCAGTGGCCAGTAGAAATATAACAGAGCTTGGATATGTTACTGAGATGAGTTCAACATTATTACAACACATTAAATTCCGTATGGGGTATTAAAATGATTTATGGTGTAGTTTTTGGACCTTTTGCAGGTTGATATTTCAGCAAAACAGTCGTGATGTATAATATCTTGATTAAAAACAGAGTTGTTTTTAGTCAGATCATGGAACCCCTTCTGAAAAAGCAGCACACTTTAGCATACTTTTAAAAAGAGTACTTAAGTGCGAAATTATTCTATGAATGGAATGTTTTTGGACACTTAACTGCATGTTAATTGCAATTAAATATGTATTATAGTTGAACTTTAGAGAGCTATTTTGAGTGCATTTAAGTGGGACTTTTTATATGTAAATTCATAATTACTTATATTGTCGATGAAATATGGTTAAAGCGTATTGCCAAATGAACTGCAATGACTAAAATATGCTTTAATGCCATGCATTTCCATTTGAACTTTCTATTGAAACTATTTGAATTTGGAGATAAAGCTGCAATTTAGAACATTTAAAATATATTAAATATAAATGTCAAACAAATGTATAAATATCAAACAAAACACTACATTTAAAATTAAAATCAAATACTTTACATGTGCTTCGGTATGTTAGTCAATGCACCAAAATAAGTGTTAAAATACTTTAAAGCATTAAAAAAAGATGATTAAAACAATGATTTATAAAGTAAAACTTTTCATTTGACATTATTACAAAGTGCACTTTTTAAAAGTGTATTTAAGTGTGTAAAGAAAAATACATGAAAGTGTACTCTCTTTAAGTACACTTAAGTGGCCTTTTATTCAATATTATTATTATTATTATTATATTATCTGTAGTTAATTATGAAAAAAATAATAGATTTGAAGTACACTACAAATGCACTTCTTTTTCACAAGGGACGTTTTCATTCTATTTTATTGCACAAAAATGTCATCAATATTTGTTTTTCACAAAGAACGCTAGCATATAGTAGAACTAAAAGCCACAAAATTGCATCAACATGCTTATAACGATGGCAGACCATGGAAGAGTTTTCTAAAATGTGCCATTTGATAACCATAAAACACATCAGACACACACGTCTCAGTCTAACCTGTAGCGGTTTGTATGTAAAGCAGGATTCAGGATAAGGATGGAGAGTTTGCTCTGAGCGGTTCAGCTGTAGGAGGGCTACGGGAGGCTTCTAGAAGCACAACACAGATGTTAGCAAGCTAGTATATCAGCCTAAACACATTTAATCCTGGGAGACAGATCATAAAAAAACCAATATGTAAACTAAATGTGGTGTTATTTAAAAAGTAGCACGTGGCTTGGGACATTAACTTTGCGAACTTTGGAGAGACATAAAAGGAGCATTACTTATTTAATCACATTTGATTGTGTTCCCTTGTAAATGTGTTTTAAGTTGATTTAGTGGCAAATTTTAAGGCTAAGCGGATGCCAATGGAAAAAAGGAATGCTGGAAGCAGAGATAAGACTGTCGGCTGAGGGCCGAACAGAAATTACCTGACACTTTGGCATTGGGAAGCATTTTAAAGTCGCCCCATATTTCTCTATGACAGGAGGTGAATCAAAACTATACAGAGAGTCAGACTGAGAGACAGACAGATGTTGTGAGGATCAAGAGCAGACAGACATATACATGAGGAGGAGGGTGAGAGACAGATGCAAAGTAGTCGAGTACATCTTTCTGAGCACTAAATGGTGATGAAAGCGGTTTGTTAATATTTGTGCTGGGTGATATATATAAGATTCACAATGTACTCACAATGATTCTGCTGACAATATCAAATTAAGCAACACTGTACATTGCAATGATTTTAATATGCTTCTTATTTGGTCATTAGGTTTCTCAAAGAGCATGTCGTTAGACTAGTTTCATGATTCTTGTGAGTGGCATTAAGAGAGCATTTTTTTAATAGTCTTTCTGATTTAAACTTAAATAACCAAACTGGTGTCCAAGTTGGTAAGCTTCATTCATTTCTATTAATCTAAACTGTTTCAATTAAATTACTTAAAACATTAAATCATTTTGTTGTACTGAAATGTTTGTATTAATAAATGTAGGTACATATCACTGTTTATTACTACCCTTGTGAAAAAGAAAAGTGCGCTTGTATTGAATCATTGCTTTAAAGAAGTACATTTACTTTGATGATGCACATGTAAAGTATATTATAATTTGAACTGTAGTGTGTTATTCAATTTTACATTTAAAGTTGATATATGTATTTAAAAGTTTTAAAGTATTCTAAAGTAAAAGTATTCTAAAGTTATCTAAAGTAAAACATTCTAAAGTTTAGAATGGATTGGATTTGGATTGGATTTAGTATAAATTTAAACTACAATACATTTTGATATAGTTGCAGTATATTCTTTCTAAGTATATTTTTTCATAATAAGTATGCTAAAGTGTACTTCTTTTTCACAAAGGTACATATTGTTAAATTGATTTTTTGTGTGGATGATTTTGTGTGTTTGATGTGCGGAAGATTTTTTCTAACTAGATTTTTACTGCATTTTTTTTAAATATTCTTGGCATGCAGACATTCATTAATACGTATCAGGCTGAACAATTTTGAGGTTATCAACAGAATGTAAACAGTCATTGTTTTCATTTAATTTGTAAAATGTATTTGAACATCTAACTTTCTAAATAAATGCTTGTGTTATGGCATATCAGTTTTAGAAATTTCACTAATATTGATATCAACTAGACTGTAGCATCGAGATTTAAGTTATACTGCCCAGCCATAGTTAGTATGCAACTCTTATAAATGTTATAAACACGCACACGTGTTAAGCAGCATAAATAAAAGGATCTTGTCATTTCCCATGATCAGTAGATGCTTGTATTGTGTGATACTGACTTTGTCTTTGTGAATGATGCTCTGGACTAAGAACACCACTGGGTTTGCAGCGTTACGGATGGCCTCCACTGCCTGTTCGTGACTGGCGTCACGCAGATCTACTCCTCCCACCTGTCTCACACACACACACAAACACACAAATACACACACACACACACACACACACACACAGAGAGAGAGAGAGAGAGAGAGAGAGTCATTACTGGTCTATATGAACAGGTGTGGAGCTCTGTCCAAAACCCGCCAAAAGACGCCACCCTGTTTGACTAAGCATGCATGACAGAATATACAATGCCACAGTAAAAATGCATGAATCGATTTTGCTAAATAATTTATACCACATTACATTTTAAAAAGTATCAAGCAGAAAACCACAATGGACACTTCCAGTGAGGACAGCTTCTCTGATGATAAGGACACGTCTTGGTTATTATTGTAACCTCCATTCCTTGATGGAGAGAACGAGAAGTTGTGTCGATGTACTGAAACTAGAGGTCACACTTGGGAGCCCCAAACACCTCTGATACTTTGAGAAAAGGTCAATGAGAGTTTAACATTTGGAGAATACATCACATGCACTTTGTCAACTAGGAAGTACCTCACAATCTCTTCAGTAGATCCTACCTGAAAAGGAAGGAGGTCTACAACACAGTGGCTGGCGGCAGAGCAAAGCTCTGCCTAGGGGAAGACAAAGGTTTACCATCAGGGAACCCATACCATGGAAAATACATCATATGGGATTACCACCAGGAAATCATGGGCTGTCCATGGGCTGACCTGAAAGGGCGTACATCACGTCAACACGTCAAGTGTTCGCTGGCCCACGGAACTTACGTGGACAAAAATGAGCTTGTTATCACCTCATTGACTTTGCACAACGTCTGTGCAATCAGGCTCACTGGGGGAAAAGCATATTTGCACAGGACCTGGGGCCAGTTGTGTGGTAGCGCATCAGTGCCAAGGGGGGCCTCGGTCAGGGAATATCACAGCGGGCAGTGTGAAGATTCTTGAGAAGTGAACATGTCTACCTGTGCTTTGGAGAATCGACTCCAGATCAGCTAGACCACCTGGGGATGGAGTCTCCACTCTCGCACTGTCACTTGTTGCTACTGGGACGTGAGTGGCCCACAGTGTTTTCAGAGTGAGTTATAAGTTGAAAGTATGCATCCTTCAGGTCTATTGCCGTAAACCAATCCTGTTGGCAAATGCTTGTCAAAATGAGCTTCTGCATTAAAATCTTAAACGGGAGCTTGTCCAGCTTGCCCGATTCAAAAATCGCAGGCCTAAGATTGGTCGTAATTCAACACCTTTCTTCAGTATGATTCTTCAGGCTGTTAAATCCCTTCATCTCAGCTGGAGGGACAGGAAAGGGGCATCTTCGCCTGCTACCAAGGTAAAGAGGATGCCGCTGAACCTGGGGGAAGATGGGGGGCAGGCAAACTGAATCGCGTAGCTGAGTCTGACTGTCCTGGTGAGCCAGTCTGACTTTCCTGCGGGCAGCTCTGTGCAGATCTCTTAAGGTGATGATACACAGGGCAACTTTTTGAGCAATGTTGCTGGGCAATGTTGCCGTCAACGGGCAACCAGATGAGACACAGGGCCCACGGCCGACCTAAATTATCCAGATAGAAATGTATTGGCCATTTTCAGTGGGAAAGTGCCCAAGCAACAATCGCTCGGCAAGATTGCCCAGCAACATTGCTCAAAAAAGTTGCCCTGTGTATCATCATCTTAAAAGCCTTGGCCTGATGCACTTGCAGAATGGTCATGGCAAGCAGAGAGGAGGTGTCCTGTCCAGCAGCACTGTAAAGGTGATGATACACAGGGCAACTTTTTGAGCAATGTTGTTGGGCAATCTTGCCAAGCAATTGTTGCTTGGGCACTTTCCCATTGAAAATGGGCAATACATTTCTATGTGGATAATTTAGATCGGTCGTGGGCCCTGTGTCTCATCTGGTGAGACACAGATACCAATCATCCCAGATACCAATCATCCAGCTGTAAAAACTCGGACCACTCCAGCCCAATGTTTGTAGCAGCTCTTGCAAACATGGCAATCAACTCTGCATCGAACTCAGACTGAGCTACTGCACCTAAGGGTGGGAGTCCAGCCAAGTCCTCCGTATTGGAAGGTGTAAGCCCATCCTCCGATGCTGCAAATAACAGTGTGAGAAATTAGGATCGCCATAAGACGAGCCACCTAACTTATCTGTGAACTCCCCTGGGAGGTCCGTGGGGATTGACCTGGTGGAAACTCTCACATTAGCCGCGTTTCCACTGTCGGGCCAGTGCTAGGCCAGGGCTTTAAACGGGCCGTGCCGGGCTAATAGCCTCGGGCCAGTAGCACCTGGCCCGCGTTTCCACTGTCGGGCCAGAAGCTCCACAGCGCGTCACTAAAACACGACCGCAACACGCCACTCTGGAACAACGTCACACTAACCCATCATTTCACCAACAAAGTTTTATCAGAAAACTAATCAGAAAGAAATCACTGGAAACAGCGTGCATCGCAAAACAAACATGATAAAAGCGGCCGTTTGCTGGCATTTTTGTTGTTTACTTGAATATTTAAAACCCAAGCATCGATGTTTTACCACAGGTTTACAATAAAATGTGATACATTGATCATAATGAATTAATTTATGTCAAAATTGCACATTAGTCACACAGAAATAAATGACCGTTAGGTCTATTTCACAAAAGAAAGAGGACACACTTACATTATTCAGTCGAGGCTGTTTCTGTTTATTTGGTAGTTACAGGACATATATCACATTTAGAAAGAATGATAATTTCTACAAATAATGTTATATGCCACCAAAAATACGACCTGAGGAGCGTTAGCACAGTCTCGACTCCCAGTAGCTACAGATATATTTTCAGTCAGAGAAACAGGAAGCTCCCGAAAAAAAAGTAGATAGTCGGGTATAGAGAGACTACTATGTACTATATGTAGGCTACTGACAGATAAAATAAAAACATGATTGTGATAGCCTTTATGATTGGTCTGACTTCTTCAAGCGTTCACCATGTTTTTTTACTATGCGTATCTTCAAGCGTTTACTATGTTTACTATGGTAATGGTTAGCGCGCATAGTCTTTTGCATCGCGTATAAATATTTCTACCTTATACGGTGATCAGAATCCACATCGGATCACAAACAGAAGGCATTAAAACATGAAAGTGAGTTAAATTATTTTAAAAGTCTTTAATGCTGACAGAATCATTCGGCGCTCCTGTCTCTTGACTCAGGTAATCCCCGCCTCTGTTCGTAACCACTCCTCTAGCCCGAGCTGGCCCGCTTTGGCCCAAGGTATTCGACGGGCCAGAAATCCTTGGCCCCGAGTAAGCCCTGATCAAGCCCCGGAAGTGACAGTGGAAACGCGACTGGCCCTGGCACGCACTAGCACGGCCCGGCAGTGGAAACGCGGCTATTGTTGCCCTCAGCTCTTGCCGTCGCAGCCTTGTGCATTGCAGGAGGACCAGGATAGGGGAGTGGCTGAAGTTACTCCTTCTCTGACTAGAAAAGAGTCGCGACTGCAACATTGCCATGGTCATGTTCTCACAATGAGGACATGAACCATCCACGAACGCTTTCTCAGCATGGGTATGACCCGAACACGAGGCAGATATTGTGGCCAACCGAGGACAACAGATATTGACCACATCCAAAAACAACCAGGCGGAAAGGCATCTTTGAAAAGAAACTCTCCGTCTATGCTTGCTCTTTTAGAGGAAACTGCACTTTCACTGAAGCACCCAGGGGAGCTCTCAGCACTTATCTGTGTGTAGGGATGAGAGAGACCACTGTATGCGCCAACACCAGCTTCAACAGCTTCCTTCTTGGCAGAGGTGAATGGAATGAACTAATGTGATAAACACAACCACTCTGCTCCAAAGAACAAATCTGAATGAGGGGAATGCATGCCATCTCCTTTTATACCCGTATGTTCGGGGGAGTGGCGCATGCAAATTCCACTCACCAATTCTCATTGGCCTTTTCTCGAAGAATCAGTTTTTTTTTTTTTTGTAAAAATGCAGAAAGTTTTCTGAAGGTTAGGGTTAAATTACAGTATTTATAACTAGCAGTATATGAAAACATTATAATTAACAAGTTCCCCATTTAGAAAAATAAACGTGTGTATGTGTACCTCTACAATCCTGTCTCCTGTCTTTAGTGTGCCGTTGCGTCCTGCTGGACTGTCCTCCAAGATGTGTTTAATAAAGATACCCCGCATCACTTCCCCGTTGCTAAGGCGACTGCCCATGCCCCGACCACCAACAATACTGATGCCCAGAGATTTCCCTGCTTCCCTGTGCAACTCCACTCTGAACAAACACACACATAACATTCAATTAACAACAAGTAATGGCAATTTTCCAAAACATTCTAAACAATACATTTACATTACTTTCCACAGTTGCCCTCGCTGATTAGTTGTACAATTAATTTTATAAATTAAAATTCAAGGTCTGTAGATGATACAAGCCAAGTTAAAAAGAACATGAGATTCACATATATATTGTAAAACAATAATTTATCTCTTTTTAACAATATTTATAGTACTGTTTATGCACTATAACCCATTCATTCAATGCAATCAAGGGCTATTTTCACATTTCTTACTGTTATAAAGCCACATTCTGTGTGTTTTCTTTGCATATTTTCCAAGTTTTGTTAAAAAAAAAAATGTAGTGGCATGTGGGATCTGACTCTTTGATTGCAGGCCAAGAGCTTTAACCACAGAACCAGTGATTACGTGTAAAGTTTATGTTTAACAACTTCAGTCTGGCATTTTAAAATTCAATATTTGACCCAATTCTGAGCCAATATTTTGTGAGTCGGACTAATTTTGGCAAAATAAAGTCCCACAACTGATGAACATTTTCACGGTCAACTTTGTTACTGTGTTACAATTAAATCATTTGGCATATGAAAAATCTTTTGATAAATTTCGCCAGCTCGGTCCCAAGATAATCAGGCCAAAATTTGGGGAAGATCTGATAAAAGATGAAGGATGAGATTTAAATGATATATGGCAATGAAAATCCAAAGAATTTTAAATTTAGATCAAGTTAAATTTAGTTAAATATTTGGTGCTAAGTGAATTTTCTTTTCTCGTCCCTTATTGTACATTTTATATGATATTTTTACATTAAAATAAATAAATTTTCAATATAAAGCTCCACTGTTTACACCATATATTTTGCATATATCTGAATTATATTTTGGCCAGAAAAAATAAATAAATAAATAAATAAAATAAAAATATATATTTCAGATATATGCAAAATATATGGTGTAAACAGTGCAGTTTCATATTGAAAATGTATTTATTTTAATGTAAAAATATCATGTAAAATGTACAATAAGGGGCAAGAAAATACATTATCAATCTTAAAAATGTGGAGAAATGCAAAATGTGATTGACTGGCCAGGCTGTTTTCCTGCCTACTTCTCAAGACGCTGCAATAGGCAAGCGGTTTGAATCATAAATGAATAGATGAATATTTTGGACAATATAAATATATTTATAAATGTATATTTACCATATTTAAAAATGGCCCAAAAATATACAAGGAAATATACCAAACTAAAACTTATCGAAAAATATGTATGTAATATATTTTAATTATATATATATATATATATATATATATATATATATATATATATATATATATATATATATATATATATATATATATATATATATATATATTGGCCCATTTCAATAACATACAGAATTTTTTGTCAAAATTCAAAAATAGTGGTATAATATATTGAAGATCTTGCGACTTGGTACAAAAGTTATAAGAAAAGTCCAATTTTTAACTGGTGGCAGAGGGTTTGGGTTTGAGAGTGAGCGTCTAAAATTGGTCAGATTGATGTTCAGACCCTCCGTAATGAATGCATCAAACTTTGCTCCAAACGGTTTAAAAGAATAATAAGAATACTAACAATGTTAGTTAATATTTGTACTTACCTCCTTGATAGATTCCAGTTGTTGGATGCTGCTGTCTGTCGTTCACTCTCCTGTCCCTCTCCATCTTCTCTCTCTGGAAGATCTGAGACTGTCTGACTAAACACACAAACACAACAAAACTCTCATTTTTTGTCCATTTTATGGCTTTTTACCATGAGTCAATGAAGCTGACAGGAGAAAGTGTGTGAGTGAGGTATACGTACAGTTGAGTGTTTTTGCCATCAGTGAGATCATCACTCTGGAGCTGCTGGCTTGCCCTGTATTCCTCTAAATATTCTGCAGGTACATACGTGATTCTGCACACACAATCACATGACTCATAAGCTTGTGATAATATTTCACTCATCAGACCTGTCATCAATACTACTGGAATAAAACTTTAAAGAAATGCCCTGAGCTCAATCAACAGCATTATGCAACATTTTGCAATAAATGCTTTCAATTGAGCCTAAATTAAATTTATCGCCTTTTGGTTTATCAGAATTATGGGTAATGTGCAATGTTTTCTGCCTATCTCTGCCCAAGGTGAAATCATAATGAAATCTAGCAATGTTATTGTCAACAACAGCCACTGTTTTATTGGTTAGTAAATGAATGTGTAACAGCAAAACAATTTTCTTTTGCATTATCCAAGAATTAAATCAGACTCAACAGCAAGACTGATTATTTAGCTTTAGATAATATATATATATCCTTCATTAGTTCATTAGTTCTCTGTAAAACTGTGATTTGTTTGAAATTGAGATTAAAGACATTTATAATGTTACAAAATGTCTCTTTTGATCAATTTAATGCATCCTTGCTGAATAAAAGCATTCATTTCTTTTTTTTTGTGATTGTCAACAACAGCCAGTGTTTTATTTGTTAAATGAATGTGCAACAGCAATGTGCGTGTGTGTGTGTGTGTGTGTTTCTGATCAGGAGTAAAAACAGAAATAGTTTATTTGCTTCATCAGTCCATTGTAAGTGAAGATGACAGATCTAATGTAGATAAATCAAACCTTGTTTTGAACAAGTCATGCATGCAGGCAGAGAGATCAAGACATTAGGAACCATGGCACATCGATGTGAATCAAATATTCATTATCTCCACGTTCATTGAAATGCTTCATTAATGAACGAGAATCGATGGCTGGAAATCAAATCATTACCATGAGAGAGAGAGAGAGAGAGAGAGAGATGTTAGTCGAATATGAACAACACACTACACATGATGTTAGGAAGAAATGACGGCCTCGAATGTTAACGATGGAAAAACAGTCTCTTGAGAACAAGTATGCATGTTACCAAGGAAACTACGACCTGCTCTAACACTGCTTGTTACAGATGTAGCATTCTTGAGTTTGACTAAAATGTGAGTGTTTAACTCTTTCCCCATCAGAATTTTTTTAAGTTGCCAGCCACCAGCAGTGTTTCTGATCATTTTCACAAAAATGTCATGGCCCACAGAATATTTTGTTGTATGAATATCTGAACATGCAATATACTAAAAGAAGGAAATATATATATTTTTTAATTCTAGTTTCATGCATTCTTTTTTTATCAACACTTGAATGTGGGTAAGTTTCTTAAAAAAAAGCTACATTTCAAACAAAAAGCTGAGAAAATGTTAAAAAAAAAACATTACAAAGTGCATAAGCAATGCTTTAATCGTTTGTTTCTGCTCCTTTTGTCTCTGTTTTGATCGGGAGATTCTTTACTTTTTCAGAAGATGTGTGATAGCGCCCCCTACCGTATGACGGTGAAAACACAGAAAGCCGGGGAAAGAGTTAACATTAGTAGGGTGAGGGTCAAATCCATTATACAGTACAATTATGTCTGTATCAAAATTTGTCTTCATACACCTGTTAAAATATCAGTAAAAAATGAACGAACCGGTAACACTTTATAATAACTACACGCTAATAATCATTAGTTAAGCATGAGTAAACAGTTAATTCATAATTCATAAAGCATTAATAGACATTAATAAGCAGTTTATAAATACAGCTATAAATGCTTTCTTCTTGATTTACAAGCATATCTATAATTTATTTAATAATTGTATTTTCATCCTTTATTAATGATCAATTTATTATTTCTAAATGATTAATTGCATTTTTTATAAACCAGTTATTTAAGAGTTTTCAGTGGTTCACAAGATTACTTAGAACGTGTAAGTAAATGATTAATAAACTATTTAAATGTACATTCATACATCTTATTATTCAGACATATAGTGATGGTTACTTAGTGTGTTAATAAATGCTTTATTAACATGTATTTAAGCTGTAATTCAGGGTTAATTCGGGTAGTTATAAAGCATTTAGTAGTGGTCAGTTAACTATGTTTGTGAGCTCATCTAAAGTGAGGACTATTCATGCCTTGTAAAGCATTTATAAAGGAGATTTAAAGGCTGTTAAATATTTCTATGTTCTGTATCACTGTGTTGTGTTTGTTACATTTTACTGTTTAGAAGATTGATGCGCCTTTAAATCTCCTTTATAAATGCTTTACACGGCATGAATAGTCCTCACTTTAGATGAGCTCACAAAATAGTTAACTGACCACTACTAAATGCTTTATAACTACCTGTATTTACTACATTTACTTACACTTTCTAAGTGATCTTATGAATAACTGACAACTCTTAAATAACTGGTTTATAAATAATGCTATACTTCATTTAGAAATTATTAATTGATCATTAACAAAGTATGAAAATACAATTATTAAACGCATTATAGATATGCTTATAAATCAAGAAAAAAAGTGTTTATAGCTGTATTTATAAACTGCTTATTAATGTCTATTAATGCTTTATAAATGATGAATTAACTGTTTACTCATGCTTAATAAATGATTAATAGCATGCAGTTATTATAAAGTGTTACCATCATTTTGCTACTTTGTACTATATTCACAGGTGCTGAACTAACTGGCAATGTATTAAGAAATATTTTCAGGTGTTTCTTCACAATTTCATTTCTCTAGTTAAAATGTTTTGAAGAAAACAAGTTTTTGAAAATATGTTTCAATTGTGTTCAGTGTCACAATAATCATTTTAACATGCTGATTTGCTGCTCAAGAAACGTTCCATATTATTATCAATGTTGAAAATAGTTGTTTCAAATTTTCGTGGAAACCTTGTTACATTATTTCAGGATTCCTTGATGAATAGAAAGCTTTTATTTGTAATAGGACATAAATAGTAACATTATAAATGCCTTTACTGTCACTTTTTACGTGTATGCATCATTTTAATGCATTCTTGCTGAATAAAAAGGTTTTTTTTGTACATAAAACCCTTTATCTAAGTATAATAAGTATAATATTTCAATGATATACAAAAGTGATGATTATTTTATTGATCCGTACTAAATTGTAAGCAGGAAGGCTTTGAATTTGTGTATTTGATAATAGTATTATTATTATTATTATTTTAACATTTTTATTTCCATCATGTCCAAGTAGATGAAGCGGGTCGTCTTCTCTTCGGTGTCATTTCATAATTACGCAAATAAAAAAAGTGAAACCAGAAGTGAAAAAAATTAAAGTGAAACAATTTACAGTAATCATAGTTAATTCGATCAAATAATAGTGAAAGGCCTTTTTGAAAAAATATAAAGTAAAAAAAAATATATATACACTAAATATAATATAATTTTAAATATAATATAATGTAACATTTTAAAAAGTAAAAAAAATTAAATAAAAGGTACTGCATAATAGAAATGACCCAGGAATGATCATTTGCACTCAGCAGAAGAAAGTCATACAGGTTTGGAAAGACATGAAGGTTAAGTAAATGATGACAGAACTATTCCTTGCTGTTGTCAGTCGTTAAGCTTGAGTGTGATTACAACAGAATGGAAGGAGGAACAATCAGACTTTTTAGATAAACCTCTGTAGAGACAGCCCAAAATGCAGAACGAAACGAATGCAAGCAGGGAGTGAGGACAGACAGTGTAAATCAAGCCCAGATGAAGGGAGTACTCACACAGAGATGGGACTGTGCTCTTCCCCCGCAGCACCTGTGGATCTGGAAACGTGAAGAGCAGTTTACGGACGGCAGCCGACACAGATGCGGCTGCCATCAGGATGCAAAATAAAGCGACTTACTAGTTACTATAGCTAGTATAAGCACTCTGCTGCGAAACGAGTTCTGCATTGGGTTCCCTTGTAAAAAAGAAGTGCACTTAAGTGTATTTTAGTGAGCATTTTTAGTGTACTTCATATCTAAAAAGTATGTTTTTAAAAAACTGCAATTACAGATAATATTAATTAAATAAAAGGCCACTTAAGTGTACTTAAAGAGTCTACACTTTCATGACTATGTTTCTTAACGCACTTAAGTACACTTTTAAAAAGTGCACTGTAATAATGTCAAATTAAAAAAATATATATTTTAAAGTATTTCAAATCATTATGTTTTAATAATCCTTTGTCGTGCTTTAAAGAAGTAAACTTATTTTGATGTGTTGACTAACATGCTAAAGGAAAGTACTACGTAGATTAGAATTTTAATTGCATTGTGTCGATATCACATTTAAAGTTAATATATTCTAAATGTAATAAACTGCAGTTTCATCATTACAAATATGTAATTACTATCAATTATATTACAATAATAAACATATATTGAATATGTGACACACAAGTTTTAATAGAAATTAAATTAAGATGTATTTTAGTTTACCATAAATGTTTGTCAGTACATTATGTAGTACATTTTACCAATATTACACATTTTCAAAAAATAAAGAGGCACTTAAGCACTTACATAAACAGGACTCTAAATTTCAGCCAATTGCATTTAATATAAATTTATTTATAATTCATTTTCATATAATTGCAATTAACGTTCAATTAAGTGTTTGAAAACATAACATTCAGTTTGCACTTAAGTATATTCTTTCAAAATATGCTAAAGTGTACTTCTTTTTCACAAGGGTTCTGGGTCACCATTGGGCACTGATAAGCCTGGGCTGGTTTGTGAGTAATGCTTTATGAATGTTTCTTTAACCTTTTATTGTAAATGTAAATTCTGGAGTTCTGGTGAAAGTTAATGGCTCTATTAAATTGGCAGTACTCATAAAAAGCAATCAACCATAACCCCTGACCATACATAAACTTCATTGTAACATATTTTTCAATGCGATTCAAGATTGAAGTACCATCAGATTGTAACACAGCTGACATGCAGTCTCAAAATGTGTTACCAGACACAGAAAGAACAGCAAGATGCGCAGTAACATCCAAATATGCCTGTCTGGCAAGTTCTCCTGTGACGCTGAAGTCGTCCCTCGGTCATTCTTAATCGTGTGTGTAACAGACTAGACCTGACAGACTAAAGGCCCGTTCACACCAAGAACAATAACTATAAACACAGCAGCGGACGATATCGTTCTGTTTATTATAAGCGCGTGCTTGTCTGGCGCTTTAAAGGGATACTCCACTTTTTTTGGAAATCGGTCTTTGTCAGGCACGTGGGTTTGTTGTGTGTGACGTCACCGCAGGCGCCATTTTTGAGGTATCGCTACTGACTGTGAGCATTAAAGAGATTACAAGAGTAGAGATAACAAGTAAATAACTCGCAAAACTGGAGAAGCACAAGAAAACAGAGGAAATGCCGTACCACAATAAACTCGATAAATATGGCAGGTACCGTTATTTGGAGAAATTGTCATCCATTCAGAACATAGATCCATATATGAGCTGACTGCAGTAAATTGGAGTGCTGATCCCGCATTGCTTTCTCATCCTCATACTGGGACATTGTCAACTATCTTGTTTATGGTATAAGCGCATATACCAGTGAACAATTTAAAAACTATAAATCTCTTAAAACCCACGGACATTTTACCAACGGCTGAGTACAGGATTTATTTACATTCCCACCGAAGGACACAGTAGTAACAGCAAAGATAGGTTTGCTGTATTGATGATGATGATAATGTCATGTTAAGGATGGTTTAGTTTTAAAAAATAATGAAAAACACAGTTCTCCAACAACAGAATACCCCTGCATCGATACCTTACAAATGGCGGCTACGCCCCATAATGCACTTCGTGTGTCACGAGTGTGACGTCACCTGTATGGAAGTAAAATAATCCCAAATGTTTTTGAAACAAAAAGCCTGTTGAATTGTACTACTTGAAAAAAATATGCATTGCATTAACCCTGCTTGTATTTTAATGCATTGTATTTTTAGGGCTTGTATTTTTATAGGCTGAAATTTAGCATGGTTGAATATTTAAGCTGTGAATATTTCAAATCAAATCATTTCAAACACATTTTCATTAGTAAAATTTCAATAATCCATATTCACCTTTCATATTTCATTTCCCAAATATTCAAACTGATTAAAAATACAACCTATAATATTCAACAGGCGGATTTCGGTCCATTTTATTTCGCTTTGCAAATTCGCTTCCACAAATTCAGTGGTTCAAATTCGACAGTAAATTCAACGTTGACATCCAGGAGCTGCAGGAAAAGCAGTAGATTACCGAGCATAATCTCCATCTGCTGTTAGTCGACCTCACCAGCAGGGGGTGCAAGCGCGTGTTGTTGACGAAGACCAGAGCAACAGTTAGCGCAAGCCATTCATTCATAAAAACTCAGCATGGATTATGTTTTTTGTGACGATTATCTGGGTCAGTATATATGCGGAAAAGATGATAAAGGCACAAAAGCTGTTTTTATGTTTCATTCATTGTTACTTTCCCTGTGTAGCCTTATGTTATCAGCCTTTTCTACAGTGAATGGGATTATAATCTGTTTCCCTCAATACATCATCATACTCAAAGATTCCCCGAATTCCGTCAGGACAAAGCGCTTAACGTAGCTTAATGGACTACAGTGATATAAAAGACCAAACTCGCACCTTATTTGGAAAGTATGTATTGTACATGTACTGCATTAGATTAAACTGGGAAGTAGCACTTTCATATTGTTGTTCTATATTGTTAGTTTAACTAGTCGCTTTGGATAAAAGTGCCAGCTAAAAGACTAAATGTAAAATTGGGTTGACATTCGCACATTTAGGGACCGTCTCTAAAGTAACAAGTCCTATAGGCCTAAACGTTTCTAACTTCAATAGCAAACTTCAATCTATTTGAATAAATTGCGCATTATGCCTGAGCCTGACACCTACATGAACACTTTACAGTTGGCTTTATGACTGTAAGTCGTTCTTTTCAAATGGTATTTAAGTTAGAAACGTGTATACCAATTTCGTATGTAACTTTAGAGACGGTCCCTAAATGTGCGAATGTCCAATGTCAAACCAAATTTATGCCAGTATATCACTGGGAAACGCTCAGCATTAAACTTTGCGCGTTAAATTCATATTCTGAGTCCATCTGCTAGCCTGCGAGTTTGGTCTTTTATGTCCATTAAGTTACGTTAAGCGTTTTATATGTCCAGCAGGGGAATCCTGACATATTGAGGGAAACCAAACCCTAGTACTGCATGCAGCACATCGCTGCAATATAAGGTTAAGGCAACTAAACAACCAAGAGAAATATGTCAAATGTAACACTGGATCTGTACATCCGCATCGGGGGAATAACATTATCGTTCATGGTAGAGAAAGATGCATGTAACTTAGGCTACACAGGAAAAGTAATCGTGAACACACTGAATTTCACATAAAACAGACGTCATAATAATCACAAATACACTTACATTTTTGCAAATAAGTTTTTATGAATGAATGGCTTGCACTAACTGTTGCTCTGGTCTTCGTCAACAACACGCGCTTGCACCCCCTGCTGGTGTGGTCGACTAACAGCAGATGGAGATTATGCTCGGTAATCTACTACTTTTCCTGCAGCTCCTGGATGTCAATGTTGAATTTACTGTCGAATTTGAACCACTGAATTTGTGGAAGCGAATTTGCAAAGCGAAATAAAATGGACCGAAAACCGCCTGTTGAATATTATAGGTTGTATTTTTAATCAGTTTGAATATTTGGGAAATGAAATATGAAAGGTGAATATGGATTATTGAAATTTTACTAATGAAAATGTGTTTGAAATGATTTGATTTGAAATATTCACAGCTTAAATATTCAACCATGCTAAATTTCAGCCTATAAAATTCAAGCCCTAAAAATAAAATGCATTAAAATACAAGCAGGGTTAATGCAATGCATATTTTTTTCAAGTAGTACAATTCAACAGGCTTTTTGTTTCAAAAACATTTGGGATTATTTTACTTCCATACACCTGACAAAGACCGATAGGCTCATTTTACAACTCCCCCAGAGTTAAAATGTTGAGTTTTGGAATGAGAGTATAGTTCCTAGCCATATCAGCCTAGAAAATCGCAACTTTACATTTTCCGTCGGTCTTAGTGCACGATGTAACTACAGAAGAGTCAAGTTTTAAAAAGGAAAAATATCGAAACTCTTTGGTCTTTTTTTTTTTTGAGAAATGCTAATGGTCTTGTCCACTTCAATGATGTATGCTAAGCTATGCTAAAAGTGGTACCGTCAGACCCGGAGATCGGCTGAATGGATTCAAAAACGGTAAAACTCAACAGTTTAACTCTGGGGGAGTTGTACAATGAGCCTATTTCCAAAAAAAGTGGAGTATCCCTTTAAATGCTCGAGCTCATTACAGCAGGATGGATTCTGATTGGCCGTTCATCAGCTGGATAAAATCGTTCTGAAAGTGATTCCAACGATATTGTTTCTCTGTTCCTCTATCAGTGTGAACTCTGCTATTCTTTAATATTGTCAATAATATTGTAAAAGAACTAATATCTTTATCGTTATCATTATAGTTATTGTTCTTGGTGTGAACGGGCCTTTACACTACTGGTCAAATATTTCTTATTACTATCAATGTTGAAAAGAGTTTTTGTCAAGATTCTTTGATGAATGATGAAGTGCTGCATTTATTTGAAATATAAATCATTTGTAACATTATAAATGTCTTTACTGTCACTTTTGATCAATTTATTCAATCAGTAATTTATTCGAGTAAAATTTTAAGCATCTCAAACTTTTGAGCAGTAGTGTATGTTCAGTGATATGGAAATAAACAATATACTGCCTTTTAAAGCCACTTTTAACAGCAAACACAATAATACGCATATTCATTTGGTGGCTTTCCTCAGAAAATATTAATAAATGTGATTTTTGTAATTATTAATCAGTATATTTCATAATTCATGAGATTTTTTAATTAAAGAATTAATAGCACCAATTTTTTTTTTTTTTTTTCAAAAAGACAACTGAAATCCTCTGTTTCGATGACGTAAAACAATAAAACACAAACCCTTTCTGAAGGGAATGTAATTAGCCATGTGTCAAGAAACAAAAACAGAGAGAGGTTGATTTCTGCCTGAGAAGTTGAACAGAAGCTAAACTTGAATGCATGAATCAGGGTTTGTTTGAACATCTCACCCCATGTCTGGTCCGATCAGAGAGTGTCTGCGCAGCATGGCTCGCGCCTGCGCGTTAGTCAGATTTCCTGTCAGTTCTCCGTTGATGGCCAGAATAAGATCTCCGACCCCGAGTCGTCCATCCCGGCTGATGGAGCCACCATGAATGATGCTGCGGATCAGCATACCAGCTCCATCCTTCAGCGCACACACGGTCATTCCTGAAACACACGTGAGTATAAAATTAGCTCTCTTTAAATCCATAAAATGGATTAAATAAATAGGTCACATGCCCTATTTGAATTTTAGTATTATAGTAGTAGTAACTATAATCTAATAGTATTTTATTATTATAGTAGTATTTTATTATTATAGTAGTAGTAAGTATAGTATTATTTTCATGTGGGTGGGTGTATAAACACACACGAAGATAAAGATATATGCAAAAAGGCAATATTTAATAAATCCACAGGTTAATCCACAAGAACAGAGTAACATACAACAACACATCCATTAACTGACGACACTGGACACTGAACTGAAACAGAACAGAAGTGATAATGATGATGATGATAATGAGTGAACAGCTGAACATAATTAGTGTCCGTGACAAGAAATGAGTGACCAAGCCAGACAATGATGAAACACAAAGAAAACTAATTTAAAAAGAAATAAAAAATACAAATAATAAAAGTATCACTTTGCAATGCAAAGGCAGACATTTTAGTGGGAATTATGAACCCCTTACACATGGATGCTCTGCTCCAAAACCCACTGAGCTGCATACAGATGCGGCATTGTAGTTAAAGTGTATTTAAAATTGACCATTTTGCCCGATATTTGTGTGCTTAAACTTTTCTGCTTATGGGGGTATTGCATGGCTATCTTGGTCTCATTTGAGCAACACTTAGTAGTGGGTGTTAGGTCAGCATGGTAAAAAATCCTCTGCCAGGAATGTAAATGTACTTTAATTTAGAATCTTCCTAGATCTAGAAACAGAGAGCATTAATATGGAAGTAAAATAATCCCAAATGTTTTTGAAACAAAAAGCCTGTTGAATTGTACTACTTGAAAAAAATATGCATTGCATTAACCCTGCTTGTTTTTTAATGCATTGTATTTTTAGGGCTTGCATTTTTATAGGCTGAAATTTAGCATGGTTGAATATTTAAGCTGTGAATATTTCAAATCAAATAATTTCAAACACATTTTCATTAGTACAATTTTAATAATCCATATTCACCTTTCATATTTCATATCCGAAATATTCAAACTGATTAAAAATACAACCTATAATATTCAACAGGCGGTTTTCGGTCCATTTTATTTCGCTTTGCAAATTCGCTTCCACAAATTCAGTGGTTCAAATTCGACAGTAAATTCAACATTGACATCCAGGAGCTGCAGGAAAAGTAGTAGATTACCGAGTATAATCTCCATCTGCTGTTAGTCGACCACACCAGCAGGGGGTGCAAGCGCGTGTTGTTGACGAAGACCAGAGCAACAGTTAGTGCAAGCCATTCATTCATAAAAACTTATTTACAAAAATGTAAGTGTATTTGTGATTATTATGACGTCTGTTTTATGTGAAATTCAGTGTGTTCACGATTACTTTTCCTGCCTACATGCATCTTTCTCTACCATGAACGATAATGTTATTCCCCCGATGCGGATGTACAGATCCAGTGTTACATTTGACATATTTCTCTTGGTTGTTTAGTTGCCTTAACCTTATATTGCAGCGATGTGCTGCATGCAGTACTAGGGTTTGGTTTCCCTCAATATGTCAGGATTCCCCTGCTGGACATATAAAACGCTTAACGTAGCTTAATGGACATAAAAGACCAAACTCGCAGGCAAGCAGATGGACTCGGAATATGAATTTAACGCGCAAAGTTTAATGCTGAGCGTTTCCCAGTGATATACTGGCATAAATTTGGTTTGACATTGGACATTCGCACATTTAGGGACCGTCTCTAAAGTTACATACGAAATTGGGATACACGTTTCTAACTTAAATACCATTTGAAAAGAACGACTTACAGTCATAAAGCCAACTGTAAAGTGTTCATGTAGGTGTCAGGCTCAGGCATAATGCGCAATTTATTCAAATAGATTGAAGTTTGCTATTGAAGTTAGAAACGTTTAGGCCTATAGGACTTGTTACTTTAGAGACGGTCCCTAAATGTGCGAATGTCAACCCAATTTTACATTTAGTCTTTTAGCTGGCACTTTTATCCAAAGCGACTAGTTAAACTAACAATAAAGAACAACAATATGAAAGTGCTACTTCCCAGTTTAATCTAATGCAGTACATGTACAATACATACTTTCCAAATAAGGTGCGAGTTTGGTCTTTTATATCACTGTAGTCCATTAAGCTACGTTAAGCGCTTTGTCCTGACGGAATTCGGGGAATCTTTGAGTATGATGATGTATTGAGGGAAACAGATTATAATCCCGTTTACTGTAGAAAAGGCTGATAACATAAGGCTACACAGGGAAAGTAACAATGAATGAAACATAAAAACAGCTTTTGTGGCTTTATCATCTTTTCCGCATATATACTGACCCAGATAATCGTCACAAAAAACATAATGCATGCTGAGTTTTTATGAATGAATGGCTTGCACTAACTGTTGCTCTGGTCTTCGTCAACAACACGCGCTTGCACCCCCTGCTGGTGAGGTCGACTAACAGCAGATGGAGATTATGCTCGGTAATCGACTGCTTTTCCTGCAGCTCCTGGATGTCAACGTTGAATTTACTGTCGAATTTGAACCACTGAATTTGTGGAAGCGAATTTGCAAAGCGAAATAAAATGGACCGAAAACCGCCTGTTGAATATTATAGGTTGTATTTTTAATCAGTTTGAATATTTGGGAAATGAAATATGAAAGGTGAATATGGATTATTGAAATTTTACTAATGAAAATGTGTTTGAAATGTTTTGATTTGAAATATTCACAGCTTAAACATTCAACCATGCTAAATTTCAGCCTATAAAAATACAAGCCCTAAAAATACAATGCATTAAAATACAAGCAGGGTTAATGCAATGCATATTTTTTTCAAGAAGTACAATTCAACAGGCTTTTTGTTTCAAAAACATTTGGGATTATTTTACTTCCATACATTAACACCTGTGACGTTAAAAGTCCGGTTCTAAAGGGATGGTAAGCACCCCCAAATGAATGCGAGAGTTCCTTCAGATTAAATTTTAATAACCTAATAGTGTATTTTGGCAAAGCAGACTGGATTCAGATTGCTGCTCTGGGATAAAGCTGTCCCTAACTGCTGGTGTACGATCCCGCAGCCAAATCCAAATCCTAATAATTAGTGAAAAGCGAAATGCTCACTGTAGATCAGTGGCTGGAGAAAACTTTATTTTTAACTTTCAGCTTGTATTCGACCTTTGCACAGCAAAATTTTGCGGGTGAAATGTAGGCATCTCAAAAAAATCCATGCTATCTTGAATTTCGCATGATATCTGAAAAAAAAATATCCATGCAGATTTTGCATTAGGTTCAAGTTTGTTGAATATTGACACACAAAATCATTGTGTTGACCAATTACAGTAGAAAGCAACTTGGTTTGGAAGTGACCTCTGTGTGAGTGGTGCTTGTTTGTTTCTACACTATTTACAGTGTACAGTGGAGCTTCTTTACTAATAAGCTAATAACTGTAACTGTGTTGTTTGCCATTTCAAAAGAGGGTGCTTCTGAAACTGGGGACATATTCATTTACATTCATTTACACACAACATAACAGCCTTTGTGAAAAAGTAGTGCGCTTAATTTTACTTTTACACTGTTGAGTGTGAACTTTTAGTGCACTTTAAATCTTGAAAGTAAATTTGAAATGTGTAATAAGTACTCTATTTAAAAAAAAAAATGCTTGTGTACTTCTATTTCACAAGGGAATACACATTCCCATTCTCATACCTAGACTGGAGCTGCCCTTGACCACAGTGATGGTCCTCTCAAAAGTGCTCCCCGCAGTGACGTTTAGCTGCTGGGTCTCATCTGCGGTTTTAGCGGGAATGAAATCCTCTTCCTGTGAGGAAAAGAGGTTAGAATCCTCATCAAAAACAACATCAAAGACTGAAGTCAAGGACACAGTGTGATGAAAGAGGTTAGTAGGATGAGGTCGGATTGTAAGGGTCTTGTTGGGAGGCAAGAAGGATGGGAACAGAATGGCAATACTAGATTAGCAATAATGAGTGGTGCCTGACTTGACTTTCAAAACTCGCCACCACAATGTCGGAGTAGGTCTGGCGACTTTTCCATTATTTATATTACTAAGGTATTTTGAGTGGGTTCAAAGGTTTGATGGCAGTAATAGGGCAGCACGATTTAGGGGAAATCTAATTGCGATTCTTCTGATAAAATTGTGACTTAAAAAGCTATTTTTTAAGCTTCAGGCTAGCTGTGCTTAAAAAGCATTATGTAATTATGTATCAGTAATAAAAAAGAAGAAATATTGCTATTGTAATAATTCACTCAAAAATAAAATTGAGTATTTAATAATAATAATAATCGTATATTATATTTTATATATATTTTAAAAATAAAAAAAAAATATGATTTAAAATAAAAATATTACTATTATTATTATTACTAAAAAACGTAATAAGAAATACTGTTATTGTAATAGTTCACTGTAAAATATAAAAATCAAGTATTTAAAAAATATAACTATTGTAATTATTATTATTATATAATATTAAAATAAGAAATATCGCTATTGTAATATTTCACTGTAAAATACATTTAAGAAAAATATAATGCAAAATAAAAACAATACGAATATTTATGGCCGTCTTCTTTTCATTTAAATCATCAATCTTTTTAGGACGGAAACCTTAGGAAGCCCTTGAAGCTTCTCTTTTGATGACAATAGTCGGTTTATAAGTGTTTCTAATTCTAAACAGCATTTACTGTGAACTGAGCCGCTCTGAGATGCTGCAAACACCAGATCATGAGTAAAAGAACAAAGAGCCTTCAGTCTGAAACACGTACTGCATATATTTATTTAATTAAAAGCACAGTCTTTATGATTCGATAAGCACACAAAGCCATATCGGGATTTCGGATTATCGGGAACATTGCTTGTAGATAACTTACAAATTGTAGTCAGTTACTGATTCTAAATTACATGACAAAAATTGTAGTTAGTTATATAATCTAGATTACTCATTTTAGGTAATGTATTCTGACTACATTTGATTACTTGTTTTGACTTAACTCATTTATCACATCAATTTGAATAGGATAATCCTGTACCATATTGACATAAAAATACAAAGAGAAAGAAAATATATTCCATTTTGCTATCAACAACATGAAGTGTATTAAATATTATATTACGTCAGGGTTTCCAAGACCGGGGTTCATGATGGAGTCTATTGCATGTAAATATGAAATGACGTGAATTTGTACATTTGAATGTGTTTGAAAGACAAAAGCCTTCTAAAGACAGTAATACATGGTTAAATGATTCATTGAGTGATAATACAAATAATGATGCATGTGTTTGTAAGGAGCTGATTAGATATGCAATGTTTCAATGTTGAAAAAAAAAACACTTTTTAAAAGTACTTAAGTACTTAATTTTTGGAATATGATTACATGTAATCAATTACTACCCAGCACTGTGTATAGATAATCCATGAAAGATTCTGTTCAAGAAAAACCCTGGGAAGACAAACATCTGCAGTTTCTTTACACAAATTATCAGTTGATTTATATCCACAATTAGAGTCAAATCAGAGGCAGATAATCTCCTGATAAACAGTGGTGTTAATGACCTGCTGAAGTGCAATAACGCCAGAGAGCAGTCATTGGTGAGAGCCAGGGGAGAGTGTTTATGAATGTAGCCATGATTCATACTGCTGTAATTGAGTTCGCTCGTGCAGAATGATTCAAGAGGGACTGAATCACTCAGCTATGAATCTGAGCAGAGACATCCCAAAGCAGGAGCCATAAAAACACAGATAAAGCACAACTGATGGGACTCGAAACAATAAAGTCGCAAATTACAGAACAGAGAGCTGTTGGGCCTGTGGCATGCTGGTCTGGAGAGAGTTTTCCTTAACAGTGGGAGTGAATGGAGCTGTTAAGCAAATGACATGCGAGGAGGTATCGGGGTAATTTACCATCAGAAGTTTATCTGGGAAAAATATAAATTGGCAAGATTTTTCCTTCCACATCACAATGTGAAAGCACATACTGTATATCTCCAAGCATACTTGAATGGCTTTTAAATGCCACAGGGTCAAAAGTGAGACGAAATATACACATTTTTTATATTCTATTTATATGCTATTAGCAGGGGTGGTAAATTTTGAAATAATTGTGGAACTTCTATATGTCGCTTAAGGCGAAAACACTCAATTTAGAATTTACTAATTGTCATTGTTTTATTTGTTTGTTAATTGTTAATTCCTACTCTTGTGAAAATGAAGTGTTCTTAATTGTATTGAATGTGCACTATTAAATGTGCACATAAATGTATTTTTTAAAAACAGTACATGCAGATAATATAATATTATTGAAATGAATTGCCACTTAAGTAGACTTAAAGAGAGTACGCTTTCATGACCATGTTTCTTAAAGGGATAGTTCACTTTGAAATAAATTTTTGGTATGTTTTAGCTTACCTCAAGGGCATCCAAGATGTAGGTGTCTTTGTTTCCGCAGTAGTTTCAATTTTGATATTTTTAGGTCAAACCGTTCTTGTCTGTCAGTGATATAATGCAGGTCTATGGTCACCACCTCAAAGAGCATGCACAGAGAAGTCCAAATTAAACATGATTTAATGACTCGTAAATGTAAGTACACATTGGTGGCCTAAGACACGAAACAAGCGGTTTCTGTGAGAAAACGAACAGTATTAATATCGTTTTTACCTCTTGTAACCACAGCCACGTCCAAGTGATCTGAGGGCGCGAGCGGTTCGGTCTGCGCAAGCGCCGGAAAGAGCCGGAAGTGATCTCTCGCGCGTGTACGGCACTCATTGTTTACACAGAGATTTCGGAAGTGTTACCTTTCACTGTGAAGATCTAAACATATTAAGATATACAGAAATTGGAAAGGAAGACGATTTCGATATATCAACAGACAACGTTGAATTTTTTTCGTACACGCCGAGAGATCACTTCCGGCGCTTTCCGGCGCTTGCGCAGACCGAAGCGCCCGCGCCCTCATATCACTTGGACGTGACTGTGTTTATAAGAGGTAAAAACGATATTAATACTGTTCGTTTTCTCACACAAACCGCTCGTTTCGTGTCTTAGGCCATCAATGTGTACTTACATTTACGAGTCATTGAATCATGTTTAATTTGGACTTCTCTATGCATGCTCTTTGAGGTGGTGACCATAGACCTGCATTATATGACTAACAGACAAGAACGGTTTGACCTAAAAATATCAAAATTGAAACTACTGCGGAAACGAAGACACCTACATCTGGGATGCCCTTGAGGTAAGCTAAAACATAGCAAAAATTAATTTCAAAGTGAACTATCCCTTTAACAGAGTTAAGTGCACATTTTAAAAGGGCACTGTCACATGGACATTCTCTTGTGCTGTATTTGGTTTTGTTTTCTCTCTGTCTGCTTAGTACCACTGTTTTCTTATGTGTCTCCTAGGTTCTCATTACTCTCTTGCTTGTTACTATGGTAACTCCTTAGTTCCCTCATTTGCTTCACCTGTGTTTATCCAATTATCTCTGCTTGCTCTTAGGGGCTGTTTACACGTCACCATTTTTAACTAAAATGTAAAACCTTCTATGCATTTTGGCCGTACATAATACACGACAACAGCGTTTTGGGTGCCTGAAAACGCAAACTTTTGAAAATGGGTTTCAAAGTGCAAGTTTTTGATAACGGTCTCTGTGTAAACAACAAAAACGAGAATCGCTGAAGATGATGACGTCATGCACATGCGTATTACATGTTCAGTCTATAGTGTTTCATCGCCATCTAATGGCCAAGCAGCAGAATACAGCGTTTTAGTTGTTTTTTTGCGGATCCATGTGAATGGGGATCGTCTGTATGCGGAAAACTCAAAGGAAAAACTTCTCTGTTTTAAGCACTTCGTTGTCGTGTAAACGTACCCTAAGGATTTATATGCCTTTGATTCTGTTCTCTTTAGTCATTTCTCATTTGTGCTTAGTATGGTTATGGTTTATCTTCTATAATCAGGTAACAAGATGTCTATTGTCAAGACAATAGACAGAAGAGCACATGGCACAAGAAAACATACATGATAAACCATGTGCTTACACCAAAACATGACAAAAACACAAGCAAATAGCCAGTGAACACAATCACAAGCCATGTGCTCAAATAAAACAAGACACGAACACGCAGCTAATGAGAACTCTCATAAGCCATGCGTTCACACAAAACATGACGACATGAAAGCACGCAGCCAATGAAAACACAAGCCATGTGCTACACAGCACAAGACAAAACATAACATGAAAGCACGTGGCTGATGAAAACACAAGCCGCATGCTTCACAGAACACAACAACACAAGAGCGCTTGGCCAATAAAAACATAAACCAAGTGCTCACAAAACATACGCTCACACGAGAGACAGGGCATGGAGCGTGAGTGTCCGAACCCCGACACGGAACCGAAAACCAAACTAGACATAAGAGCCGGAATCTGAACACCTCGCTCCGAACATGAAACAAATTACACAGACAAGACAAAGACAAGATAATACAGGAGCCTCAGGGCTCTGTGACAAAACCAAGAATAAACTAGACCGAAGGGAACCCTGACATAATTTCAAAAAACTGTTTTAATAATCTTTTAATAGATGTTTGTCTTTAATAATTTAAACTGCAGTGTGTTTTTGATATTACATTTAAAGTTCATATATTTACATGACATACAAGTTGGGTTACACCTTATTTTAAGGTGTCCGTGTTACAGTGTAATTGTTAGAGTAATAAAAATTAACTACATGTACTTACTATAGGGTTAGGTTTAGGATTAGGGTTAGTTGTATGTAAGTGCACAATTTAAAGTAATTAAATAGAAATTATAGTAACTACATGTAACTTGTGACACTAAAATAAAGTGTTATCACAAGTTTCAAAAGAAATGACACTCTAAATTAGTCTTTTTAAAAATCTGCTAATATGTACTTTTTTCACAAAGGCAGTTTTGAAACAGCCGCATTATACAAATTATTGATAAAACAATACCAAAGTGTCTTAGCTGGGCATGTTTACTAAATACTTTAAAGTTTGTATTTGATTATTCAGTGTAAACCCAAAATCTAATCTGATTGTACATGAAAAGTGCATGTTTGAATCTGATTGGTTGCTGAATCTATATACCTTAGGTGTGGAGGCCTGTCTGGTCATCTGATAGGTCAGATCGGTGCTGCAGAAACTGCCATGTTCAGCGATCATTGACTGCAGCAGCTCGTCCTCCTCGTCAAGAAAATTACGCTCAAACGCCTTTTCGTCAGACAGGTCTAAATCACTGGAGTCGATCTGGAAGGGTTGTTATGTAGATCATAATTATAATAGCATCAGAGAATGATAGTTCAAATAGTTTGGGATGACACCCATGGACTTATAGACAATATTCTTTCTGAATTTGAATTTGAATGAGTTTTCAATGCTGCCATGTGCATCTCTTGCTAAAAGTTAATACTAAATGTTACTCTTCTAAAAAGAGGTGTCTGCGTCCTATAAACACTGACATATCGCTCCCACAAGAACGTTGCACTAATAACATGCTTTGAAAAAAATGGTTTTGTTGTGTTTTATAAGCACTGACCACTGCAGGCTCAGCGCGAAACACAACTTCCTCCTCATCATCATCATCACAGCCCTCCGTCAGGACTAGAGCCGAGAAGATAAAGGAGGAAGAGCCATCCTCATCCTCAGTCTGTAAAGACAGGGAAGTGTCACCTTTATAGACATGTGACCATCCACTCAATGATCATGTTTATACCACACTAAGGTTGGGCGTTATGACCAGAATCTGGTATATCATGGTAACTGTATAATTCCGATATGTATGTATGTATATACACAAATACTACCATTTGGGGTAAGAAATTATAAATTTTTTAATCAGCAAGGATGCATTAAATTAATCAAAACTGACAGTAAACACATTTATAATGTTACAAAAGATTTCGCTTTCAAATAAATGCTGTTCTTTTGAACTTTCTATTTATCAAAGAAACTTGAAAAAATATGAACCAGCACAACAGCAAATCAGCATATTAGAATGATTTCGGAAGGATCATGTGACACTGAAGACTGGAGTAATGATGCTGAAAATTCAGCTTTTCATCACAGGAATAAATAGCATTTTACAATATGTTACAATAGAAAACAGTTACTGTATTTTTGATCAAATAAATGCAGCCTTGGTGAGCATAAAGGACTTCTTTCAAAAAATAAATAAAAATAAAATTCGTACCAACCCCAAAATCTCGAACACGGTAGAATGTAAATGTATATGTGTGTGTGTGTGTGTGTGTGTATGTAAAAATGTTATGTGTGTGTCTCTTTTCGATATACTATGGTTTCAGAAGACTTGAAATAATATATTGCAAACAATACTATGACAATTCTTTTATACGTTTGTTTTAGAGCTTGTGAAAATTTATGAACATTAACAAAAATTTCTACTTTGTATTTTCATATTATTCTTCGTATTTACGATCATTTTTGGAAAAGCCCCGCATACTGATGCCATGCATTTATCTCCAGTGTTATAGCAGACTCTTTTGCACGGCACATAACACCCAGACCAAGATCAGAATAAAAGACTGAATTTGATTTGATTTGGTTAGAAATCACTGTCTTTTTGCATGTTAGTAGTGCAAGGTTGGTAAGCGAGCTGAATTGTTTGATCAGACATTTTAACATCATCGATATTTATGATCACGCCACAGATTTGATTGTACACTGTTTTTCTAAAGGCAAGACGAAGAAATGCTTTGTCTGTTTCATTGCAGTTCTTGGAAGTGAGTCATTTGAACCATATTAAGAGGTGATGTTACCCAATCACACTTGTGAGAGCAGAACAAAAGGGTTTCGACGCACTCATGCAGTCTAAAGGCCTCTCACGAGATTAAATCAACAGAAAAAAAGACTCGATCAGATGACCCACGGTGCACTTGACAACCCACCATACACGCTCCAAACTTATGCCCCGAACCTCAAGGCCTCGGGAGAGGAAAAAAAAGGAAAGATGCCAAAATGTGCACACAATCCCAGAATAATGGAGCCGAGATAACAGCCTTGGAAAGTTGAAGAGTTTAAGATAAACTACAGCCCTTGAGACCTCTTCACAAAGAAACAGGCACACTCCTCTAAGAAGATTTCATTTCCTGAGGCTTTAAAGCACAGCAGACCTGTTTCATGAAATATTCAAAGAACCTGCAAAGGAATCCCGTTACAGCAACCACAGGTTTCAATAACAGAAAATTGTACAGAGGAAAAAGCTGCTTTAGAAAGTAGAGTCTGGTATTTCTTACGGGCAGTGGTTTGGCCACCCCGATGCGGACATCACCCATGTTTGCTCCCTTCAGAGCCTGCACCGCCTCCTCCAAAGTGGCGCTCTCCAGGTTGATATTGTTGACGTACATGAGACGGTCTCCCGGCAACAAGCGTCCGTCTCGCTCGGCTACACCGTCGGGAACTAACGACCTAATCACAATCACCGTCTTAAGGGAGTCCATTGGGTCCTGCACACATATGAACACACACGAATACACAGAGAGTATAACATTAACATTATTATTATATTAGACCTGCACAATGATGCATTTAATTAGAATGGGAATTGATATTTCAGTTTTTGTTTTTAAAAATATTGGAAGCACATGATTTTCTTGATATTCACTTTTGTTAATAGTTCTTTAAAGGAATAATGAATTACTGGCCCTCGTGTCATTCCTATCTCATATATATACAGTTATACTAGACGAAGATAAAGTGCATAGGTCTGTTGGCATACTTTAATGTTTTTAAAATAAATCATTTTTAATGCTTTTATTTATTTTTAATCATTTTTTAGTATATAACGTCTTTATAGTATACTTCCCTATTCAATTTCATTGTCTTTCAGTTCATGTCGGACATTCTGCTAAACAAAGAAAATTTGAGTCGGAACAACAACAGGGTGAGTAAGGACAATATTTCTTTTTGAGTTAACTATTTTTCTACTAAATAGATGCGTCAAGGAAAAATAAATAATGTAGTCCGAATTTAATATTCATATTTTATATTATACATTTAAATATATTCATATTTAAAATAAACAACCCCTGTGAAAAAGAAGTACATTTTAGCATCCTTTTAAATAGAGTACTTATTATGGAAATATTACACTTTAAAATAATATATTTAAGAGCGAACTGAATTGAATGTTTTTGGACATGTTAATTGCAATAAAATAAAATAAAAATTATACAATTTGAATTTGTATTAAATGCAATTAGCAGAGAAGCAGAGTGTTTTTGACCCACTAAGTGAGACTTAATCTTTAAACATAATTTCATAATTACTTCTATTGTTTTTAATAATTTAATTAATAAATTCACCACAGTAGCACGCATGCGATACAGTTTTGCATGTGTGTGAAAGAGAGCCGCTTGTTTGTGTGAAGTGAGAGTTGGTTGTCTGCTTGTTTGTGTGTAAGGGTTAATCTTGGGCCGTGTACTCATTAATGCTCACAACACCCTATTTTAGGTATAAAAAATAGGCAAGAAAGAAATTTTAAGTTAACATATGCAGATGCATACACCTTTCTCCTGTGTAGAGAATTGTACAGTAGTTTTTAGGATTTCCTGACAAAAAATTGGAAATTACCGTCACAGATTTTAATATATATAATAAAACCTTAGAACTTTCTTATGATTCATAGTTAAAAGCCCCCTGCATGTTAACAGGTCACCCTGCAGTTTTCCAAAAAAATAAAGGTTTTCTGTAAAATATAATGATATTTTTTTATTATTAAGATAATTGTTATTATTAGATTTATTCTTAAATACTGTTTTGTATTTTATTGTAGTTTTTACTTTACTTTTACTCAAAGTTTTATTCTTGTGCTACAAAACTTTCAACCTCTATAGTACCAGAGCTATGTGCAAAAAAGGTTAACATGCAGCCCTGCCGAATGTACTGACAAGCATTTATGGTAAACTAAAATATACTTTAATATCATTTCTATTGAAACTTGCATGGCATGTATTTAAATATATTTGTAAAGTTGCAATTTAGTAAAATATATTAACCTTAAATGTAATCGCTTAACACACTACAGTTGAAATTATAATCAAGTGCTTAACCCTTGTGTTCTGTTCGATTTCTGTGTACTCCCCTTATGGACCGGGTCAAATTGACCCTAATTGGATTCAATACAATTCCTCAAAAATCACACTATGAAAAACAACAAAGATTTAGATACAAACTGTAAACTTTTAATATCAGCATTTGTCAAACATTACAAAAACATTATATCTGAAAATATGATTTATGAAAATGTTTTTAAAACATTTTTTAAAGGAGCTGTATGTAAGAAATTTATTTGAATTAATCATAAAATGACCCTGATATGTCACTAGACATTAAGAAATCATGTTCATTTCAAATACTTATATCACTGACAACAGTAGTCCGGCCAGGATATTGTCATTTAAAAAGTGAAGTTGCAGCCCTCAACTGATGTTGATGTTGTCATGTTGTGTTTTGGTCTGATGCTCCACCCTCCACCTATCGACCATTCACGAAGTCAGTAGTGTTGCGCCATCCGGGTTGCCAGCTCTGCTCTAGTTACCACAGCTGCAGCTACACACGTGTCGGATAAAAAAATGCAGCCGATCTGGCAACCTCGAGTCAGGGGGGAGGGGGAGGGGATACACCGCTCTACAGTAATTTGAAAGTGATTGCAGTACCGGTTTTGGCCACAATCTTACATACAGCTCCTTTAAAACAGTTTTGTTTTGACAAAATTGGAAAATAAACAGTATACTGATTTTTTTGCATATTTTTTTTTTTTTTTTTTTACATTTTATGCTTTGAACATCTTAACTGAACAAAAAAAAATTGCTGTATAATGAAAATTTTTCATTTTCCTAAGTTAACTTTCCCTAGTTTCCTAAGACCTATTTTCCTAGTTTCATTATTCACTCACTGGGAAGTGAGAAACCAAACATAACAAAAACATTCATCAAATAAATGTTTTTTTATTTATTTTTTGGCTCTGTGAATCTGCCTTTGAAAATCCTACTTAAAAGTTTTGGTTAAAAGCTAGGTATTTTAGATATTTTGAATATTGAAATGAGAGCTTATTTTACTATCTGTGTCTGACAAAGATTTTCATCTGTAATTTGCAAATAATTCTGAACACTGTAATTTTATCTTTTTCAAGTGTGTTTGGTTAGGGTTAGAGCACTTTTAGATGCACTTGCCACGTTAGAACTGGAGTTGAAGTGCCCTGACATACAGAAAATAAATGTTTTTATTTTGTGTCTGTACAGTTGCTTTTGAATGGCTGTCTATGAGGGTCAAATTGACCCGCGAACATCACGAACGTAACAGTAATTTTGTTTGTATATGTCAAAACACATCAGCATGTTGAAACTTTGCATGCATGTTCATCATGATAAATGAGAAAAAGTCACAAAATATCAAGAAAAAAAACAAAGGTTAACCAGTATTTCCAACAACTTGAAAATCGAAACGGGTCAAATTGACCCGCAACATAACACAAGGGTTAACATGCGCTTTAGTATGATAGTCAACACGTCACTTAATTAAAGCACATTATTAAATTATTTTTTAAAGTAAAATGTTTAATTTGACATTATTACAAAGCACACATTTCAAAAGTGTAGGCCTACTTAAGTGTGTTGAGAGTCATGAAAGTGTGCTCTCTTTAAATGCACTTAAGTGGCCTTTTATTTCATTAATATTATATTATCTGCAAGTGCATTTTTAAAATATACTTAATATCTGATTCACAAACAGATGCCTTTCATGAGCCAGTTCTTTCAATGAATCAGTAAAAAAGACTCACAATTCAATATCAAACTCATGAGTTACTGCTTTATGTTTGACTTGTGAAATTGGAATTTTGGAAGGTCCTCCAACTTTCTCACCTGGTAATCCAGAATGCTGAAGCCCAGCCCACTCTCCCCTTTCTCTAGTTCAATGTCCTGAATCTCCGTTTCCCACATAGCTAACGGCGTTCCGGTGGGCTCTTCAGTCACATGATCTTTCAGGCTGTCCTCTGATTTGCCAGAGACCAGGAAATCCTCAAAATCATCCTGCACCTACACAAACAAGGTGAACACAACCTTTGTTTCTCATTAAGTCCCTAATAATTGTTCAGAAGCATAAAACATAATAGTATTCATGTAACTGGGTGGATGCAAAAATCCACACCTTTTATTGATAGCTAAACTGTCTCATGCATTTGGGCATGAAAGTCTATCCTCTGAGAGCGATTTGAGATGTACAGAGATTATAACGTGTAATCTGATATAATCCCAACAAAGGAAAGTCTGACTGAACTACCCCGGCTCGTGGAAGACAATAACTTTATCAATATAAAAGAACAGATTTGGGTTAAGATCAATTCGATTCACAATTCAATGAATTTTGATTCAATAAATTTGTTTGTGATTTGATTAACAACAATTTGAATAATCATTATATAAAAAAAAATGTATAGACAGTATATATATATATATATATATATATATATATATATATATTTAGGACAACCCTTACAGAAAAACCACATGAGTTTCACATGTGCAAAAACACATGTGATCCCATGTGACAACGTGGACATGTGATTTTGCACATGTGAAATTTAACATGTGAAATATGTGGAACACATGTGCTTTGCACATGTTAAAGGTAATTTGCACATGGGAAACGTGTGGTTTTGGAACATTTTCATGTGAAACCCATGTATATTCCCATGTGAAACCCATGGGATTGCATGTGAAACCCATGTGATTACATGTGAAACCCATGGGATTGCATGTGAAACCCATGTGATTACATGTGAAACCCATGGGATGTGAAACCCATGTGAAACCCATGTGATTACATGTGAAACCCATGTGATTACATGTGAAACCCATGGGATTGCATGTGAAACCCATGTGATTACATGTGAAACCCATGGGATTGCATGTGAAACCCATGTGATTGCATGTGAAACCCATGTGATTACATGTGAAACCCATGGGATTGCATGTGAAACCCAAAATTCCCATGTGAAATCCATGAGCTTACATGTGAAACGTAAAATTCCCATGTGAAACATTTAATCACATGTGAAACCCATGAGATATCATGTGAAATGTAAAATATCTCATGTGAAACCCATAGAATGACATTTGAAACCCATCAACAATCCATGTTAAAGCTACACACCATGTAAACCTGTAACTTCATGTGAAATCCATGTAAAAATCATTAAGCAATATACCACAGAAAACGGTAGGCCTACCATGTTCTTGTGTAGGCTCTATAGCCTAATGTTTCCCAACATTAAAACAAATAATTCAAAAAAAAAATTTTTTCACTTTTTATTTCATTTCAAAATATGCAATACAAATTGAATGTTTAAAACAAACAAAGCAAAACCAAATTAAAATTATACATAAAAAGCCGCAAAAAACGCAGGTATACGCGCATGTGTGTGTGTGTGGTGTGCGTTTGTGAAAGTGTGTTGTCTCAGTCCTTTGTGTCTCCTGCAGCAGGCATCCTGTTTTGGGATAGAAAAAGATCAAAGATTAGGGCAGTGCAAACCATAGACTGTAAAAAAAAATATGGACGTAGTGTCCGTGACGTCACCCCGTAGGTTTCTGAAAAGCATTTTTATGGGGCTTAATAATTAATTATTATTCATTTGTAATGTTATTATGTCATTAAACGTTTTACGTAAATATGCTATGGAAATACATCTTGCTTAAACAACTGTATAAGACGAGTGGTGCGTCTCATTTATAAAAAAAACTATTGACAGTTTGTGATTAGATCACAATGTAGACTGAGGAATAAACTGAGTCATCAGTCCTCGCGCATGTCGGTTTCGCAAATGTGAACAGACCACATGGGGATCACACTTGGATGTTGGATCGTCTGAATATTACCTTTCTGCTCGTCTCCTCAGATCTTTTAACTTTTGTGCCATGCAGACCTTGATCTCAGTGCCTCCGATGCCTGGGTGCCTCTTTTTGACATGGTCTGTAAGAAATGAGATTGATTACATTAAAATTTGAAAACAAGTTTGACATGAAGTGACATAACTGCCAGATTCAAACTGTGCTTTCCGCGCTATGGCTGGCGCTGACGGACGCGCTCAGCGCTTGTCATATATAATAACTATTGATAAAAGATATTCAGACATGCTTACCAATTATTAGCTGCACCTTTTGTAGGTCAAGGCTCTTTTTTCACCAACAACCCCTTTTTTTCCGTTCATGCTGCCATCTCTTCGAAAGAGAAGATGGAGTCCATAAGAGTTCTGGTTAACTTTTTGTAGCCCTTACATCTTTGAGCATGATCCAAAGCAACTGGGTTCATTAAGTCAGTCACAGACTTGTTCTGCAAAGCAAAAAATAAAATAAAAAATAGAACATTTTCGTCAGGACAGAAACCGTGATCTTTTCAACGTTATTGCATATTAGGTGAGGTTTTCACTTTGGAGCTGTGAGTGTAAATTTTAGCATACAAGTATTTATTGTTCATGCTCGAGTCTTGATACTCTTTTACCTTCATATTCCAGAGTTTAGGGGTAAAATGCGAGAAATCTCCTTTAGTGGACTTGGATATGCTGGGCACTACTCACTGATCTATATAAATGACTTGATTGCTCATGACGTCATGTAAATTGAAGTCACCATATTCTATTGAATTAATAGGAAATCATCTGACTTTAATGAGTAAACATGACCTAACGAGTCAGTGTTTTTTATATTTGAATTCTATACATTCTTACCATGTAAACATCCAAAACATTTCTGATTATTATCAATGTTGAAAACAGTTGTGCTGATTAATGTGTTTGTGTAAACCATTGTAACAGTTTAAACCATTTTTTCCCCTCCAGGATTCATTGTTAAATAGACCACAAACATATGAAGGGTAGTTTACACTAATGTTCAAACATTTGGGGTCAATGATAGATTTAAAAATGAACAGAAAAAAAAGAAGAAATTCATATTTTTACTCAGCAAGGATGCATTAAATTGATCAAAAGAGAGAGTAAGGATTTCTGTTTCAAATAAATGCTGTTATTTTAACCTTTCTATTCATCAAATAATCCTGAAAAACACAAAAATATGAAGCAGCACAACTGTTTTCAACACTGATAATAATCATAAATGTTTTTTTGAGCATCAAATCGTCATATTAGAATAATTTATGAAGGATGATGTGAAGCTGTGATGCTGAAAATTCAGCTTTGATCATAGGAAGTAATTGCATTTTACAATATATTCACATAGAAAACAGTTTTTATTTATTTATATTATTTCACAATATTATTGTTTTTAATGTTTTTTGGTGAACATAAGAGAAAGAGACATAAACATTTGTACCAAGACAATTAGTGTATGTTTGACATTAGTGTATGTTTGGCGTTTTACTTACTAATCATATGGTTCATCAATAGTGCTTTAGAGATGAAGATCAGCTCCACTCCGCTCCGTTGAAGGGCATCAGCACTGAAGGATCTAAGAACACAACAAGCCATTTGTCACTGAGCCAACAATGCAATGCCAGGTTTATTGAAAGGAAAGAAGCTACAGCAGAGGTGAAATGCAGAAAAGAGAAAGAATTTAAAGAATATACAGAATATAATTTCTTAACTAGGATAACAGAATTTTTTTTTGGGTTTACTTATTCATTTAATTTTGCTCATACGGTGTAACTTCGTTTGGATGTCAAAACCTTCTTAAAATAAACAATTTAAAAAAACAAATTGAGAAATAAAATGAGGTTATTTAATGAGCTTCCTCGGCTCACCTGTGTCCTAACGTTACTTCTCCGGCAGCAGCTTTCTCCAGAAATGTTGAAGTCGTGGAGCTTTCTCTCTGTTATGGGTTATTTTGTTACTACTGAAATCACAGAACATTTTTTAATCAAAATGTGTTTAACGTTACCATTGAGCTAACGTTAGTTTCAGCCAATTTTCTTGCTCCTGAAAGTAACATCACCGATACGTTATGTTTACGTTTGTGTTAAATAAATTAGCTCACTTCCAAGTAAAACCTTTACAAAACCTCTCATCTACACATAAGAGGTGATTAAAAGCCCAAACTTTAATAAATAAAAGTTCAACCGAGTTAACATTACGTTAGCCTAGCTAGCTGCTACCTCTTCAGAAAACGGTTGAGATCCTAACGGACTTTTTCCGAAGACACTACACCATGTAAATTTTTAACAGAATCGTGTCAATTACAAGTAAGAGAAATGTCAAAAACAGTTGTGAGTATTATTCGTGTGATTTTAGAGACTAATCTCACCTGGAAAAAGCCGTGAAAAGTTTAAACAACATCGAGAGAGGGAGTTTTGTTGCTTACCAGTAGCAGTGGTCCCGCGCCGTTTCCATGGCAACTCTGCGCGCCGGCCGCTCCAGTGTTTGAAATACTCGAAAGTTCACGCGCACGGCATTGATTAAACCACGTCAAAATCATGCAGCACTTAAAATGAAAAGTTTAATATCCACTTTATTTTATTTGAAAACGTGCTTGCAGTAGCCTATTGATTATATCAAATATAATATACTGTTGATTATGTAAAATATATTTACAATATAGCTTTAGAAATGGTAAACAGTGTTGAAATAAAAGTATTGCAAAAACTCATTAAAAACTATACGTGTATATAAGTGTTAGTATATACACATGCATTATAAGCTTTATGTTCTATGCATTTTGTGTGAAAAAGGCTATTGAAGCTAAAAATGTACAGTATTTGTGACGTGGTAACATAATTCACATGTTAAAACCTATTACAACGTGCAAATATATTTCACATGAGCTCCACATTATTACCTATAACATGTTTTCCACATGTGCCACGTGTTCCATTAAGTTCACATGTGGTGACATGTTGTTCACATGTGGTCGAACATTACTGCATGTGGTGACATGTTGTTCACATGTGGTCGAACATTACTGCATGTGGTGACATGTTGTTCACATGTGGTGAAACATTGTTCACATGTGATGACATGTTGTTCATATGTGGTCACATGTGGGCATATGTGGTCACATGTGGTCACATGTGGGCACATGTGGAAAACATGTGATAACATGTGAAATTCATGTGTTTTTTCTGTAAGGGAAACTACTAAGAGTCTGTAAGTACCTAAATACTTCATATGGTCCATGTATGATAATATGAAAACAGGTAATTAAAAACATTATTAAAACTTAATTTTAATTTAATTTCATACTACTTTAATTTAGTTTTTTTGGTGGAAAGAAAAGACCACAACCACACTGTTTTGCAATAATGTTGAAGTGATTGTGCATTATCCTTTACGCATGTAAATGTAATCTTACATATTAAATCTAAAAAGGATTTGACATTTAATGAAAGATTTAATGTACCTGAACTATGGAATCTGTGGCCACATCCTCTGGCTGTGGTTGGTCAGTTTGGCTGTCAGTCATTATAGGGGCGGGTCTACAGCAGACCATGGTCACAGATAGAGGAAGTTCTTTCAGTATGTCAACAACCTCTTTGTGATTCTCTCCTCTGAGAGGAATGCCATTCACCTGAACAAATATACGCACAATGTATGAATTTTTTGAGAATAATGAAGAGATACTCAAAACATTATTATTGGTGTCAACGTGTGTATTTATGCTTTGTTTTTTTTTTTTAAATCAACCAAATATTCAAAATTGAGGGGACCAAATGCAAAAGTTTAAGAGTCTACCATTGAACAACAAAAAAAAAAAACGTTTTAATAAGATAAAAAAAAAAAAAAAAATTAATACTTTAATTCAGTAAGGATGCATTCAATTGATCAAAAATGACAGTAAAAACCTAATGTTACAAAAAAATTATATTTCAAGTAAATGCTGTTTTTTGTTGTCCATCAAAGAATCCAGAAAAAAAAATATCACGGTTTCCACAAACATATCAAGCAGCACAACTGTTTTCAGCACTGATAATAATAAGAAATGTTTCTTTAGCATCAAATCAGCATATTAGAATGATTTCTGAAGGATCATGTGACAGTGAAGAATAGAGTAATGATGCTGAAAATTACATTTTAATATATATATATATATATTACAATAAAAAAGTTATTTTAAATTGTAATAATATTTGATATTATTACTATTTTTATTGTACTTTTGATCAAATAAATGCAGCATTGGTGAGCAGAAAAGATTTATTTTAGAAAATATTAAAAACGACTCCAAACATTTGAACGGTACTGTATATTTCTGACTAAGGTCCATGTTCTGGTTAAGCCCTTATTCCAAACAATTCCAAACATTTACATGCCTCGTAGCTATTGGAATATTCCTGTATACAGGATAATACAGTTAATACAGGCATAAGCCAACTGTCTTGTTCAGATTTCTAGAAATGGAAATCTCGACTTAATCTAGTTTGGCAAATTTGATTAATTAAAGACATATGACACATACGTAATCAAAATTGGGCCAAATTCCAATGATACATTTTTTTTTAACACATATTGGTGGTCAGACTCAGTTCAGTTGTTTCTTATGGTAATCACCCTGTTGTGTGGTGGTTTTACCTCTAGCAGTTCGTCTCCACTACAGATCTTTCCAGATCGTCCGACAGGTCCTTCAGGAAGTACGGAGCTAAGGAAGTGATGGCCAGCACACGCATCCAGACTGATCCCTAAACCGCTGTTCTCACTAAACTTCTCTACTTGAGCCACCTGCACATACATCAACACAGAATGACTGAATCGTTCAAAAAACATTACAAACTTTAAAAAAGCCCCCATTTACTCCAGCATGAGCCACAAGTATAGTCTACTTAAAAAAAAAAAAAAACCTGCTTCACTCCAAATATACAAACAGATTTTGATGTTAGTGGTAATAAATATCAGATTAAGTGTGTTCGAGAACGTTACATTCAGTTTGAACATTACATTCAGTTTGCAGTTTGCAAATATATTATTTCCATAATAAGTATCTTGTTTTTTTAAGTATACTAAAGTGTACTTTTTTCACAATGGTAAATATAGGGGCAATAAGGGGCACTCTGAAGTTATATGATCTTGAAATATTAAATTAAATGTTTTCAAACTATTCTTCATCAATGTTTAAAAAAAAATCCCATGTCCAGGCATAAAGATCTGACCATGGTCTGAATCAAAACTGGACTGGTTTTAGTATAGTGTGTGATTGTGTGGATTTTTTTTGATGGTAATGACATTATTCACTTTTCTGCAAAGACGTTACAACAAGTTAACTAACACAACAAGTTAACTGGCAGAAAATTTACTTTGAATCTATAAAAAAGATAATAAAATTGTTAATTTAATTAGATTTTCACAAGTCTAGGCTACTGGTTAAGTAGCCTACTACATCTAATATAAATCTAAATCTGAATCACATTTTTGATCATTGAACTGCACATGCCATGTGCTCCTGTCACTTCTCATTTACATAATAATAAAAAACCTATTCTGTGACAGCAGTTTTGGGAACAACAATTATCTGTTATAAATAAATGACAAACTAATCACATAAATACCAAATTAATTAAAATAGCTACAAATTAAAGAATTTATAATTATTGACTTATTATTATAATTACTAATAATAATTAAAGAAATTAAAGAGACACAATAAAAATGTACAAAGGTATTATTTTTCTTTCTTTTAAATCATACCCGGTCACAAAAAGTCCTTCTAATAAAAAAAAAAATCAGGCATAAACGAGTTACTCACAATGACTTCACTGCGGACACTGAGCTCATTCTGCCACTTCTGCAAAAGTTTGTGTTCCTCCTCCGAGCTCAGCTTAACAGGACCTGAGAGAGACATGACAACATTATCTGCCAGTCTCTGCATGTCAATTCACTGATATCAGTCGCAAAATGGCAAAAGTCTCTCACCGTCACGTCTTTCTGGAGTTCTGATGGGTTGAACCGTGACAGACTGAGGTTTGGCGGTTTCCTCTGGCGTGAGAAACAGTCTCTCATCTACACACACACACACACACACACACACACACACACACACACACACACACACACACACACACACACACACACACACACACACACACACACACACACACACACACACACACACACACACACACACACACACACACACACACACACACACACACACACACACACACACACACACACAAAGACAAAAACACAGTGGCATGAGTGATGTGTGACCCTATTGGTTTGAACTCCCTTTATATAATAACAGGCTTCTTAGGATTGTGATGAAAGGATGAGTGAGGATTTTTACTCTAAATAAGGTGCAGCGGTTGCGGGGCTTGCACACACAAAGAGGATCAACCAAACTTTCTTTCTCTTTCTTATTGGGTTAAAGTTAGATCTCAGTTCTGGCTTTACATTTCTGTTGTAATATCTTCAAGTATTCTCTCCATATTTATGTATTTATCAGGAAAGGGTTTGCCGCATTTTACAAAACAAAACACTGGCACTGACATATTTTAAGATATGTCAGAACAAGCTTCTTTCAGTTAAAACAGCTCAAACATGCATTTTAGTCTGGGACTAGGCTTAAGCTTTGTTTGTGATACCGGAGGGTAGTTACACAAAAAATAACTGTTTTAATTTTGATAACTGGACACCACTCATGTGATGAAACGTGATGAAGTCATCAATGTAGAATACTACTATTTGAATTTTTTAATCAAATAGTAGTTTGACTTTTATTTTTTCCACACAGTGCTAACTAAAAATAAAAATCGTTGTCAATTAAAATACATTTAAAATAAAACATAAATATTACATGAAGAACTTAACTTAAAAAACAAAAATCAGAAATGCTGTCTTGGAAACTAACTAAAATAAATAAGTTTAAGTTTAAGTACTAAAATTGCTAAAACTGAAACTCAAATAACAGTTTTAGACAGAGACAGAGGGAAAGAACCTGGCACACAAGACTGTGTAACTGCACAGGCAGTTATTGAGCTCAGGCTGAGTCCCTGAGATTGAATCCGCATCTAGACTATAAAACCTGATTAATGTGTGGAGAGAGGACCCTGCTGCAGCACAAACATCTTACAAGGATGCACGCCTAGCAAGAGCTTTGGAAAACAAGACATTCCTAGTGGAGTAGAGCCCTAATCCTTCATAGGAGAGGGATAATGCGTCAGTGATCCAATGCGATATGTTGCTTGGTGACCGCATTCCCCCTATTGCTGCCACCAAATCAGACCAGAAGTTAATAGAACTTATGCAACTGGTCTGAGCATGTAGGTGCTCTGGATGTAGATGCTCAAAGCACAGACTGAACATAACAGATGCAGACTTTCTTGCTCTTGCGTTTCATTATGTGGAGGAAAGGCAACTGGCTGACCAGAACTTTTGGAATATAGTTTGGTCTGGGGTGCGGTATAGCTCTGAAATCACCTGGAGCAAAGTCTAAGCAGGTAATGCTCCCGGGATCAATGCTAGGTCCCAGGAAGGAACTCGCGACCCGCAGCTACCGTGTGGCACTGTGCAAGAACCAAGACACCAGAGGATGTCCTCCAACAGAAGCTCCATCTAAAGGTATGTGGCTAGCTGAAATGGCTGCCACATAGACCTTTAGAGTAGCTGGGATCAAACTCATTGAAGACATTCTTGAACAAACTACAGCACTGAACCAACACGGCAGTCGACTGGTTTGAAGTGGCACTGCTCGCACCATGATCCATTTTAAGGCATACAGCTTTCTGGTGGAAGGAGCTCTAGAACTCAGAACAGTCTCAACAACCTTGGTCGAGAGACCAGAATATATGAGCTTGTAACTCAGGGTACACCCAAAGTTTCCAGATCTCCTGCTTTAGGGTGGGAGATTGTCCCTTGCACTTGAGAAGGAAGATCTCTCTGAACTGGAATCTCCTGTGGAATGTCATCTAGGAGAGAAATCATGTTCGAGAACCATACTCGGGCTGGCCAGAACAGAGCAACTAGGAGAAGGTGGACTCGGTCCAGGCAATCCCCTTGCTAGAACCACGGGGAGCAGAGATATCCAAGGAAAGGCATCTAGCCACAGAGGAGCTTGAGGAGTGAGGGTGAACCAGAGGGGACAGTGGGTCGTCTTCTCTGAGGCGAACAAGTCCACTTCCGCTCGGCCATACTTCTGCCACATGGACTCCAATACTTGTGAATAGAGTCGCCATTCACCGGGCCTCAACTGTAATAAAGTGCGTGCAGCGCGCTCTCCCTTTCATTACTGCAGTGACCAGTAGCCTATCGCTCCAGAGAGACTGTAAGCTGGATCACAAACTGATCCATCCTCGTGTAACAACTTCAACCATGGTGTCCTCAGTGACTCAGATCCTGGGAGTCTATGGAGACTCTTATGTTCGTTGGTACATCCAACAACAGTACGTAATGTTTTTTGGCACAGACATCGTATATCCCCAGCTGCTACAGCGAGTAAACAGAAATGGCGGAGCGCTGTGGCTCACTCAGGGCGGGATCTATACTAATAGGGCAGATTGTCACCGATCATGGATGGGGCTTACGTAGTAAGAGTAGTGAAACCACGAGTTTGGAGAGATTGTTAATTATTTATGGGGATTATAAAAAAAACTGGTTGTTTACACATGCTGTAGACACACATCGGTGTTCAAACACCTTATAAAAATGAATTTTGCATAATAGGTCCCTTTTAAAGCACACAGCTCATACAGACTATATTTTCATTTAATTAAATTGCAGCCTTTTGCACTAAGCCCTACCGTGGTGTAGATTTTATTTCATTTTAATTGTGCAAGCTTAATATTAGCTACTTGAAAAAGGCCAATGTTCTGCTCCAAGGAAAGAAAACTGCATTTGTGGAGTGTTTAAACAGATGTGAACGACCGATGTTAGCAGCTTAATTCAAACACTCATTCAACAGGACAACAGTAATTGGGCATGTGGTACCGTGCTTGGTATTTGTTCGCTCCATTGTTGAGCTTCTTGATGCGCTGGGAGTAGTCTCCACAGTGACAGGTATGACTGACGGACATGCGTCCTCTGGTTTAAAGCCGCGTCGGACGAGTTTCAGGTTTACTGTCTGACCAGTATGTCTCAGAATCTCCACAGCCTGCTGGTTGGTGTAATCCTGGATATTCACACCATCTACCTGCACATACACACACACACACACACACACACACACACACACAAGTTTAGACTTTAATACATTTCAATCTCATGTTGAGATAATTTACGACCCTTGACAGTCCAAGTCACACAGATCAATATATATGGGAGGGATTTTCATTAACAAACTGATGGGAATTAATTCATTTTCAATAAATGAGAAAAGTTTAACTTTATGCGAATGACTAATGAATAAAATATCTCAAACCGCTATTTCGCCAAACCCAATGCATATACACATAAGCACACATTCATACACACAGAAGCAATTTCACGTATATGCATTAAATCCTTTTGACGTTGATAAGCGCTCCAACACAAAACATGTTTATACAAGAGTTTTATATAACACATTCTGTTGGAAATAAATAACTCACAGCTATGATCTGATCTCCAACATGAATTCGCCCATCTTGCTCCACCGCGCTGTCCCTCGAAATGCTCTTCACGAATATCCCAGAGGGCTCTGCAACAGGAAATTACAGTCAGCAAAGGTTAAACGCTAGAATGAGAATACACATTTGAGCTGAAATTTGCCCAGAGTAAGAAAGAGAAACAGTAAATATCAAGCCTGTCACTGTCAGGGACAGAAACGTCAGAATACTTGAAATCAGTCAGGAGTGATATTTTCTGCACATGCAGGCTTTACATAATAAAATCTCTTTTTAATAGAGTGGGAAACACAAAATATCACATGTAACTTACACTGAAAGTTAAACCTGAATGAAACCCATTATGAAAAAGAAGAGTGCTTAATTGTTTTGAATGTGCACTGGTAGCAGTGGCGAGAGGTGACTTCTTTAACTAGGTATGCTGAGTGCCTCCGAAATGAGACGCATGCAGTGTTTTTGAACGAATCTCTTGAATGAATGATTCAATGACAAAACATTCACTTGTCACCACCTACTGGTGTAACAATGCAATCGAAACAATCTTTATTTGAAGAGTCAAGTTACTTTCGAAAGGTGCTTTACTGTATTTTATTCACTGCTACCATAGTATTTAGATCTGAAATATAAACTTGCATAATTTTCTGTGCTAATTTGAATTTGTAATACAGAAATAACGACACTGTGTGGATGAAAAGACTGCTTGTGAAGTTGTTTCATACCTATACACAGGGGCGTAGCAACCGGGGGGGACACGTCCCCCCCACTTTTAGAAACAGGTGATTCTGTCCCCCGCATTTTTTTTTATACTCAGCGCCAATATTTCCGCCCGTGTTCTCTGATTTGTTACTTAGACTTGAGTGAGCTAACATTCAGCCAATCACAGCGCGAAGCATCTATTGGGCGCGTCTGCCATGAGCTTCAAATCTTTTGTTGCTCTAGTCTTGCGAATTTTCGTGTTTGTTTAGTCGCTTTGCTGTTTGGCCGTCTAATGCACCCCAGAAAAAAAGCAGAGGACTACATCATTTTTTTCAAACACACACTGTTAGCCTACAGTATGTCGCGATGACATGAATCACACGTAAAGTTTCCTTGTTATGATTTAACCTACTGTAACGCTGCTGTAAGACGAGACAACAGAACCCCTATGGGTTCACGTCGCGCCGGATTGTGCCGAGTGTGTGTTAAATGCTCTCCTACTTGTTGCTTTGGATAAAAGCGTCTGTTAAATGAGACATAGATTATTCCCAGCAGGCACACAACGTCATAAGACGTTGATATTTGGTTAAATTTTGGTTGCGACGTCGGGTGACCAAAATGCAATGTAAATTCAACATGTCAATGTTAAATTGATGTCCAATACCGAATACATTGATTTAGGTTTTATTGATATATTTTTTATAAAATGTCTGTTGTATAAAATTACTGTAGGCTAGATGTAATCTGTTTTGTACTCATTGAACACTTTTTTTTGGTCCAACTGTTAAGTGAGATAAAAGTTATTGTTCAAGTGTAGTTTAACTGAAATATTGTAAATATCATAAAATATCTTTATTTCATAAAAATAAAGTATATATGTCCACAGTTGTCTGAAAGTCCCAAGTCCTGCAATATTTTTTTATTTCGAGTATGATTTCACAAAAATAGGTTGCTGTAAACTATCATGGCATGTTCCCAAAATTGGCACTAGGGTGCTGTAAAATGCCAATTGCTATTCCATCTAGAATTTATTATTATGAACATCACCTTTCAGTCCCTCCAGAAAAACGCGATTATGCGATCGCATGATTCAATGCATAATCAGCCAAAGTCTGCATATTTATGCGGGGGCATTTTTTCAAATACGCCGCACTTTTGCCGTATAAATTGCCGATTTCCACGCAAAATATGCGGGGCTTGTAAGATTTCATAATCCCCGCATTTTTGTTGCAAAAAAAAGTCACATATATCTTAGCAGAAAGTTGAAAAATGTTGCGTTTGCTTCACACGAGAGCAGCCGTTTCCCCCGGTTGCCATGGGAACGTTATGAAGTGACGTAATTACTCGACATGAACATCATTGAAAAAAAAATGAAAAAAAAGCTGTAAAACAGGAAACATTTTTTTCATATTTTATTTATTCATTTTTACAGAAGTTGTAGCATATTACTTTTGTAAAGCTACAGAACTTGTTTGACTCATCAATGTTTTGTAAGTTTGAGCCATGTGTTTATTAAGGTCTGAAATAAAACAAGATTAAATATTCCAGCACTTTCTGTGATGTAGTATGTTTGCTTATCATAGGAAGTAATAAGAAATAGCTCTTTACATTAAGGTAGTAGCCTAGTGAGAACAGGGTGTTGGGGAATCACTTTTTCTCTCTTTTTCATCAAACCGCAGTTTTTGCAAGTTCCCGCAATTTCATCACATAAAATTGCAAATATCCTGCATATTCCATCGCCGCATAATCAAGGATTTTTGCCCGCAACAATCACAAAAAAACTCGGCATTTTTCTGGAAGGACTGACCTTTGGGTCACATCACCACACCATTTTGTCCCCCCCACTTTTATAATGGCTGCTACGCCCCTGCCTATACATGACAACTGCTTTCTCTGGGTCAGTGGCAGCGCCAAAGCAGATCTGAATATTTGCTGTGATCGTACTTGTCAAAGAAAGTTTTAATAAACAGCCAAAGCGCTGATATTAAGGAATAAGATCGTGTCAGTGTTTGAATCGAGATCGCAATCTTTTATTGATTAATTGTAGCTCTATCTTATAGTATAATATAACAAAAAGTAAAATACTAATTAAAATAAATATAAGTATAATAAAAAAAAAAGTATTCTTAAAAAATAAGATGAGATTTAAAGGAGACAGATCATTAAAATCTGACTTTTTACGTGTTTAAGTGCTATAATCGGGTCCCCGGTGCATCTACCAACCCAGAAAACGTGAAAAGTGACAACCCAGTAACTTTGCTTTGGTAAGCCTTTCTTTGCGAGTATGTCAAAAAATAAGCCGATCAGATTCAGCTCCCCTTCTGACGTAGGAAGGGGATCTTATTATAATATTACCATCCCTTAATCTGCACGTTTCCACCCACAGCGCCGCCATTTGGTTTTCGCAACTACTAGAACGTTATTACTACTCATACATGTAACCAGTTCTAACGCAATGGCAAAATCTCGAGCAAAGCATGCAAACTGTTCTGTCGTTGGCTGCACAGGCGAGCACAGAACACTATTTGACCAAAACATGTCACAGCTGTCTTATAAAGACCTCAGGGAACTGTGTTAACTTGTGTAAAAGTTAAACATGACGGTACATGCAAGTTGATGAAATTAATCAATGTAACTCCACAACAACTACATAAATGTATCCACTTAACCATTCAGAAACATCCAGGTGCATCTAAAAGTTCCAACATCTTCCTGAGTCTCTCCGTAAGGCTGCACTCCTCGACTGGTTATTTCTGAGATTTTGGATGAGATTCGTGTGTTTTGTTATTGCCGGAGTATCCGAAGCTCATGTAAAGGATCGGCTCTCTTCTGAATGGGGGCGGGGAGAAGCAGCTCATTTGCATTTAAAGGGACACACCCAAAACGGGGCAAATTTGACAAGCTATAATAAATGAACTGGGGGGTATTTTGAGCTGAAATTTCGACACATTCTGGGGACACCATAGATTTATATCACATCTTGTGAAAAGAGGCATAATATGTCACCTTTAATGCAAATTGATGACTTTTCCAAGGCATATACTATCATTAACAACCTCGGATACAGTAGGTCTACTTACAGTCAGTCTTTAACGGTCTTTAAAGTTTTCGTAAAAAAATAATTTTCCAATGGAGAAGATTAAATACTATGAAAATAGTTATGACTTTCTTGTAGCAACAGCACATTTTTTCGCTGTGGGGAGCGATTCGAGGACAGCTTTCAAAGCTTACATGGGCACCTGACTTGAAGTGTCCTTCAAATCTTATAAAAGCAATATAAGAGCTTTTAATATACTATATAATATTTATTTTTACAAATATAAAAAGAAAACGCTATAATACTTTTTCATATACATTCACTTTCTTTGTTTTACAGTTATAACTTATTATTAATAACATATTAGATAGGACTGTTACACAGAGACCGTAAACTAATGAAGATAGAGAATGGGCACGCAGTGTTTTTAGTGCTGTCAAAATAAAAGTCCCACTTCCAACACATCAGCCAAAAAGAAAAAAAATTCCCATCATGCCTTGGCGATATATCAGTCGACCACTTATAGAAACCATAAATGTTTGTTTTACCATAAATGTTTGTCAGTATATTCATTCGAGTGATATTATCATGCAATTAAGCACCCGAGAACATTACATTCAGTTTGCAGTAGAGTTGTCAAGAAGTAACGACTTCAGTACTGAAGTCAGTACTAAAATTAAAAAAATGTGACGATACCAGCATTTCCCTCTAGCATTTTGAGCGCTGCTGAATGGATTCTTAAACACCTCTGATTGGCCATTTTGTTGACACGCTCAACATACAGTATATGACTGTGATTGGCTACAATGATCAACAATAACATCTTTGACGCTCTTCACCAAGCGCTTACATAGATACACACAGGAGACCACTGCGTTGCTTACACAGATACAACTCCCATGTGTATCTGTGTAAGCGCTCGATGAGGAGCGTCAAAGATGTCAATGTTGATCATTGTAGCCAATCACAGACACATATGTTGAGCGCGTTAACACAATGGCCAATCAGAGACATATTGTATATGTTGAGCACGTAAACACAATGGCCAATCAGAGGTGTTTAAGCGCTAAAAATGCTAGAGGGAAATGCTGGTATCGTTTTTTTAATTTCAGTACAGACCTGGTACAGAAGTCGGTACTTTTGACAACTCTAGTTTACACTTAAGTATATTCTTTTAAAGTTTATTAATTCTGTACTAAGTATTCATTTGCTAAATAAACTGTAAGCTAAAGCAGTGGTTCCCAAACTGAGGGGTGCCTTATAAAAATATAAATGAATGATGCATGATTCTGCACTAAGCATGGACAAGTATGTGAAAGGACTGCCAGTGCCAGGTAAAACTAAAGCAGAAGACAAATCTACTTCAAACGTTACAACAACCAAAACAATGTGTCTACATCAGACGCAAGCGGCGCGATGCGACAAAAGCTAATATAACCCATTATAATCAGTGATGCTGTCTACACTTGATGCAGCGTGACATGAAAAATCCCCAACAGTAAACTGATGCCCCTTTCTGTTTCAGATGCACTCCAGTGCTGACACAAAGGACAAATGGATTTGCAACGTTCGCTTTGTCGCATCCAGCGTAGATAGCCTCAAGACAAGAAAATAATGATGAGGCATATCTCGCCCACGGATTCACCAGTACAATGGTGGCTAATGAAGAGAGGTCACGGTGTGTGCCTCAAAATATTAGCTTCTGACAGTATGAATCCGAACTAGTTAAAACGCCACTTAGAGAATTCACATCACGAACACAAAGAGAAGCCTGTTGATGTTGGGAACTAGTACTGTACTTGTAGTACTGTATTAATTAAAATGTTTCAAGTAAATCCTATAGGATTTTGCAAGCAAGGTCATGTTTGAGAGTCATTAAGTGATTGCATGAAAATATTTTTCTCTACAAAATGGCTGGCCTGGCAGAAAAAGTTTGGGAACCACTGAGCTAAAGAGTACTTATTATACACAAGGGGTTGTCACATCTATATACAGCAAATCATAACACTAAATGAAAATTTAACAAGCCGCATTCAAGGTATCATTCACGTGACGTCCATAGCCCAAAAACTTACAAGCTGAAGTTTAAGACTTAGGATCTGGGCAAGAGCAATAGTTACAGTGACTACTAAATACAATATTCATCAGTTTGTTCAGTATGCACTTCAGTTCTGTTTGGTAATATAATTTGGTGTATGATTTAAAGTTCACCTGAGGTTTTGTCCCCAACATATCCAGCGATGGTGATGCCCAATCCCTGAGCATTCTTCGTTAAGCTAACATCAAAAGCGCCCTGTTCCTCTTCCTCAAAACCCTGAAAGCAGAAAACATTGCAGTGAGAACAGAATGAAAAAGAAACCTCTTAATTTAAATTTGATACATTTTATTACCAATTATAACAATATTCTCAAGAATTTTTTTTTTTTATATATACTATATACTATTTTGTATTATTAGATAAAGGAAAAAATAAGAAACAAATGCAATATTTCTTAATAAATTCATCCAAGAGTTGTGCTATCCACACTGATATTCTCTTATGTTCTCACTGTACATAATGTCAGTTGTTCTATTTGTTTCATTTTCTTCTAATGACATAAGTGAGCACTTCTGAGTAAGTCTTGTGAGTCATGAAAGAGCAACCACTGAGCAATAACATATACCTCTGGGTGAGTCAGTTACCACACTTAAACAAACAGCTCAGTGTTTTACATATTGTTCAGACTGATCTGTATAGACCCCTTTTGCGCCAACGTCACAATTACATCACGGCACTAGCTGGAGGCAAAACAAAGTGAAAACTGGAGGCGGCCAGTATAATGTTTTCTAAATTATTGTGATTATTTGTGAATCATCTATGATTGTATACATTGTTGTGATATATTGTGATAAGACTTTTTGAAGAACCTGGTAAGAAAGAATAATCAAATACATAGTTAATTAATATAATTTTAATACATAAAAAATATTTTTATTTCTAGAAACATCATTAAAATTGCCCTCAGTTTTTCTTTACGCTCGGTTTCTCTATAAGGTAGGTGTAGAAGTCAGCCCACTCAACCAAGGTAACGTTAATCCTGTCAGATCGTCCATGCATTGAGTGAGCGTGTAGGCTACGGGTCGGCCCATCTGGTTCCGTCCGTTAAAATTAACTTTTGAAAATAACAATCGCGGTCCTGGACAGTGAGTGGCCTTACACATTAAGTTAAAATCTGATTTCTCCAGTCATTGTTTAAAAACAAGCTAACAAAACTTGCTAACTAGCATTGAAGTGGCCAGAGGGATCGTTCTGCCACCACCTAAGCTCCGCCCACAAAAATATGTCACCATGTTTACCAACTGAAAAGGGGGTCTATATGAACGGCGCTGTACCTGTTGCTCAGTTACAGTTGGCAAGGAGACAGGAGCGGGCGGAGCATCGTCTGCCGTCCCACGACTGATGAGGAGTCGAACTCTGTTGCCACATTGTTTCAAAACTTGAGCAACCTGCTCACTGCTTAGACCAAACAAATCCGTATCACCGATTCGCAAAACGTGATCCCCACTTCGTAAGCGACCATCCTAGAAGCAATGAGAGAGACAGATTTTATGACAACCTTCACTGTTTTCGTTCTTGGGTTAAATTAACAAGAATCCTCACAGGGTTATTAGACAATTATTTAATGTATGTCATAATGTTGAGATAAAGGGGTGGTTCAGAATTTTGGATTGTTTGATTTTTAACATTATTCTCTCAACAGACATTTACATCGATAGTCTGGCGTTATAATTTATTTGCTTTTGGTGTACTGTGGAGTGGGTAAAACTGTTTTTAATGGCAGGCTAGCAGTTACCATTGACTCGCACTAGCCTAGCACCGGCGAACTATGCAACTGGAACGACTGGATGAAAATTTTTGAAAACTGTCTCCACTGATAAATAACACTAAGGCTAACTTGCAAATGAGGCCCGATGTCCAAAATTCTGAACCACCCCTTTAAGTTTTGTTTTTTACGTCTTTCCTTAATGTTCCTTAAATGCTTGAAAAGAAACCAAAACGTTTAAGGTTGAGGAGAGTATAAAAGGTCAGAGAAAGAGACATATTAGGAGGAACAGACAGACAAAAACACCCCAGGTTGTAATAATGCATAAAAAAGTCAACATGAACTGAACTGATAAAGTCACCCAGGAACAGAAAAAAAACAAAACAAAACATGGATGATCTGATGTTTACCTGGTCAGCGATGCCTCCAGGTAGGATGGTTTTGACGATAACACCTGTGGTTTTACCGCCAACAATCCCAAAACCCAAACCAGTTCCATCGTTCACCAGCTCAATTGTCTCCACGTGAGTCCAATGGGTCTAAAAAGCACACAAAAAGAGATAAATGAACACGCAAGATGGTCAAAGACAAATAAGGTTGCCCATCTTGATGATAAACAAATGTAGTTTAAAACGCATGTGGCAAGTTCATAATTTTTGTATTCATACCAGTTTCAATTGTTTCCAAAAAAATGTGAGATAACTAAGAACGTAACAGCGATTCTATCATTGACAGATGATGACCACAAGAGTGCCACAAAAAATTTGGATTTTACTGCCTCACGTAACGTGGATTAAAATACAATACCAACAAAAGATATGTGATGCAGCCACCCCTATAAGAGAACGCACCCTGTTCCCCCTCTTTGGAAAACTTCTCATGAAAAATGCTAGTTGTTCAAGTGAACATTAACTGCTAGTCATTTGACATCTTTACTGTTGTATTTGTAACTCAAGTTCTAATTCCTGATTCCTGATTGACTAAATCAGTGGATCACCAATATCAATAGTGACCTGAAGGCAACTCACCCATATCAAGGCAGATGACCACATTACTGCTGCAAAGACGTCTGTGACAGAGACTCCTTTAGGAGTGGCTTGTGACACAGTTACACTCCTGATGGAATGACACACCAGTGGACATGATTGAGGACTATCAAGTATCACATAGGCACCAGAGATCACCTCTGTCCCTCAATGTGACAGCCGTTGTTATGCAAGTAGTGATCCCCGTGCTCCACACTAGTCGAGGGTGCTATTTAATGTATTCTGAATTGCAAAATGTACACCATAGACCCTGCCCCAATAGTCAATTAGCAAAGTGTATTGTCAATTTCTTATTAACATTTTCAGAATGAGTGGAATCGATAGTAAAACATTTGTGCTACCACCCGGGAAACAGGTGAGATTAAGTTAATTAATTCAAAACAAACAGATCCATCAACACCGTGCCGCCATATTCCAAATTTTTTGATCTGACACACTAAAACAAAACTTCTGGGTGTACTGTTAACTCAAGAGAAAACCAGAAGCTATAGACCTTGTTTAGGTTAGACGCCATATTGAATTTAACAAGGATGAAAACAAGTCTGAGAGGGATCGACTTAGTCAATTGCAATTGCAAGCACTGTTCCTAGATCACTTAATTTTCACAACTCACAACTTTCAAAACTGTTTTGTGGAGTTTTTGTCTACTGAGAGACGTGCTTTTATCCAAAGACAGATCCTTTTATCTAAAGCGACTTACAAAAGATGAATACAAGTGATTTATCTTAAAAAGGCAAAAACACTGTGCTGGGTGAGCCCCCACAAATCTCAACTCGATTTAAAAAATGTTTATATACCAACTATTTTTGTTTTTTAAATATTAACAACTTTGAGTGCTTTGTCCAGTTCACAGATGTTGATGACTTGAAGCTCAAACAAACTACACAATCTGCAATCCCAAAAGGAAAGCAGTATGGGGTCGAATCCTTTTAAAAAAGGGGCTGTCACGTCTCTATTATGTATGTCTCACTCCCCGCTATGCGCAGCAGGAATATTCACATGCTTAGCCGTTGCTTGGCAGTTGGAACTTGGAAGACATGAAATAGAACTTTAATATCACTTTCAACTATTTTTTGGGCATTCTAGTGGTGTAACCTTCCAAAAAAGTAGTATATTTCCCTTGAATAGAATAATACACTGCAATCAATTTCCTATTATAAGTTATGATACAGCTTAGTTTGTTGGTCCATTGGTTCGGATTGCTTTCTCACCACAAGCAAACCACTTCAGAGTTAATTTTCAATCTGGCAGAGACCACCTTGTTCAGGAAATCTTGGACCGATTTTTTAGGCACGGATTTGAGCTTCATGTGTGTTTATATGTTTCTAAATGAACAAAACTAAAAGGAAAAATGCATCAGGTTCTGAAATTAACACTCCAAAGAAACCAGGAGTGAGGTTTATTTATGTATGTATGTGTGTGTGTGTGTGTGTGTGTGTGTGTGTGTTTGTCTCACCGCACTGGAGTGTGCTGAAAGTGTGCTAGCAGCACTGGGGGTTCTGGACACGACTGGGCTGGAAAGCTGTGGTACGGGCCCACGGGCAACAGTGAGGTTCACACAGTCTGATGCTCGCTGAAGAAGCACGATGGCCTGCTGATGACTGACGCTCTGATCCAATGGCTGACAATTAATTGCCAATATCTGATCTCCCTCCTTCAGTTTTCCATCGCTAGGGTAAAGTAGAGAACATACGCTTAACAGCCAAAGTTCACCATCACTACAGTGCAAAGAATGTGAAAGTTTCAAGCTTAAATAAGGACATGACACTAGTGTAAATGAAAAGAAATTCGATCACTTTGTAACATCAAACCTCACTGGTTTTTGCGCGTCATGTGACATCAAGTCTTGGAATAAACCACCGAAGCTGTATAGATTCATTTTACACTTCTTATCTCCTTTTTGGAGCTTGAAACTTTTGTAACACATTAACTGTTACTGTATTGACAAAAACAACTGAAACATTCTTTAAAAATCTTTTGTGCTCCTCAAAAAGAAAATCATGAGTTTAGAACAACATAAGGGGCGAGTACATGATGACAGGATTTTGGAGGGTACTATCCCTTTAAATCCAGCATTCCTGTAAGTCAACTAATCCCTTGTGAAAAAGAAGCATGCTTAGTTGTACTGAATGTGTACTTGTATGGAGCAAGGGTATTTCATGGATATATTTCATATACTTTTAGTGTTCCAAACTTGAACCAGCAGTGTATGTGCACATATTTCATCATGTCTTCTTCAAATGAAATACATATGTGCAAAAAAAGACACTGATACAGATGTATTCTGATAGAAGATAATGATGCAGACCGAAAATTCAAAGAAGAATGGGCAAAAAAGTAACTATGCCTTTATTCCATCTGTGTTAAACTGATGCACGTCAATTGTTCAGAGATTGTAGTGCTCGTAAACGTAAAATATTATTATAGACCATCTTCCTCATTTTTCATATAGACCGATAGCTCTGCAAAGTTATAATGCTGATTTGTTGATATTTCTAATAATAATTTATCAGAATGTATTTGATTTGTTCATGATAGTCGTCTCTAATGATAATATTATTATGAGTTTGTTGTCATAGGGTTATATATATTTTTTAAAACATCAAGTTGCCCCCACCAACTCTGTTGTTGTTTGTATTTTTCTTCGCTCATATTTTAATATTCATTTGTCTGTATAATGACTGTGTGTTGCAGGTCTGTGTTTTATTCATACTTTGCAGTCACGTGACTACCATGGATACCTGGCGGGCAACAAACGGGTATTTTCAACGTAGAGTCCTGTAGTTCCAGGTCTTATGGGTCTTTTAGTAGCTATCAAGTCTGTTAGCGAGCTAGCTGCATAACTATGGACTAGAAATAGGATTAACGCCAAGGTAGCTAAATTGTGTAAAGCAGACATGGTTTTTTAAGATAATCGAGCAGTAATAATTCCTCCGTAAATAATATCTATAGCTCTACTGTTGGGTCATCTCTGGTTCTCATTGAAAACCATAGATATCACAAACCTCAAAACACCAACTTTTGTATAGTAAAACTGGCGATGTCCTGGCAAGATCCTTGATTAGTTTACTGGGTTTCGTTGCTGGAGGACGACGTTCTTGCCCGCCATCCAGTACTTGTGACGTCACGTGCAAAGTATGAATTGGTTGTTGTGTCCCCTCCTCCCACCCTCTACACTCTCACTTTTCCACAGCTTTACATGCCCATTTTTTTTGTCTTTTTCAAATCTCAGGTGTGAATGACCAGTGCTAAAACAGGGGGGTTTCATGACACTTTAAAAGTATTTTTTTTTTGTTGCAGATAATACAATAATAATGAAAAAGGGGCAAAAAGTGCACTTTGTAATAATGTCCAATTCAATTTTTTACTTTAAAGTAAATTTTTATTGTTTTAATACAAAGTTCTGTCATGAAACTCAAGATGTCGCAGGCTGATAGGTCCTTAACTCAATTTGTTAGTGATCACATCATTATCTACATAGCGCAGCTGACTGGTTGCTGTGGCATCAGCAGCCAATGAGCTTGCAGCTCAACCTTCAATTACTTGGCATTGTTTGCTATTAGCAGTCTGCAGCGCACTTTCAGAAACCCTCCAGCTTCCCCAGCTCCACCAGGATCCATGTTCTCATTCTGTTTACGCCAAATTCTGACTCTACCATCTGAATGTCTCAACAGAAATCGAGACTCATCAGACCAGGCAACATTTTTCCAGTCTTCAACTGTCCAATTTTGGTGAGATCTTGCAAATTGTAGCCTCTTTTTCCTATTTGTAGTGGAGATGAGTGGTACCCGGTGGGCTCTTCTGCTGTTGTAGCCCATCCGCCTCAAGGTTGTGCGTGTTGTGGCTTCACAAATGCTTTGCTGCATACCTCGGTTGTAACGAGTGGTTATTTCAGTCAAAGTTGCTCTTCTATCAGCTTGAATCAGTCGGTCCTCTGACCTCTAGCATCAACAAGGCATTTTCGCCCACAGGACTGTCGCATACTGGATGTTTTTCCCTTTTCACACCATTCTTTGTAAACCTTAAAAATGGTTGTGCGTGAAAATCACAGTAACTGAGCAGATTGTGAAATACTGAGACCGGCCCGTCTGGCACCAACAACCATGCCACGCTCAAAATTGCTTAAATCACCTTTCTTTCCCATTCTGACATTCATGCTGCGTCCCAATTCGCCTACTTATACTACGCCCTAAAAGTATGTACTCTTTTTGTGAAGAAAAAGTACATACTTTTGAGTGTGTAGCAAAAGAGTAGGCTAAGTTTGGGACATACTACTTCGTCATCTTTAACGGACAGATCTGTCGCGTGCATCCTATCACCGTAAACTGCCCTGTCAATCATCTCATCACAGTTAAAATCCTCCATTCAATCTAATATAACTTCTTACCATTTCGGAGAGAATTGTTGTCGCACGTTCATCTGCCAGTCATGGGTCTTTCATGCGGAGACTCTCCTCATGTGTTTGGAATTTGAATATAATAATGCATTTAAAAGTTAATGGCAAAACGTATCTTTGCAAAAGTTCACAATGCTGCTGCAGATGCAATATAATGTGGACAACATTGAATAAATACATTTTCGTCAGGTTAGATACTGATAATTAATCACTCAAACCCCTTTATCTAAACCTCTCTACATAACCGTCGGACTCGCGCGTCCTCCATGTCTGTAGTTTTTGATCACTTTTCATTCGTGTTTGTAGTTCTAACCGAATCCTCGTCCAACGCGCGATGGGTTATGGGCAATATCAGCCGTTAGAGTGCGCAACGATCTGCACTTCGGATTCTGACCGGATATAGTAGACCATCCGGGTCTCTTTGGGACACTCATTTCAACATACTACGATTTGGGACGTACTAATTCTATTTTCGAATACTATTAAGGACGGATAGTATGCGAATTGGGACGCAGCATCAGTTTGGAGTTCAGGAGATTGTCTTGACCAGGACCACACCCCTAAATGCATTGAAGCAACTGCCATGTGATTGGTTGATTAGATAATTGCATTAATGAGAAATTGAACAGGTGTTCTTAATAATCCTTTAGGTGAGTGTATGTTAAATGTGCAGCAGCAGCATGTCTTACTTGCTCACAGCAGCATGTCTGTAATGTATTGACAGTAGCAAGTCTCTGTACTTGCTCTACAGCAGCAAAAATATTTTCCGACAAGAATAAATGCATTAACATTGCCATATCCATTACAATGCCAATCTCTAAGAGAGTTGTCATGACAAAAATTGTCTTTTGCTGTGCTTTAAAGAAGAATGATTTAGCTGGCCACGGCAGTCAGTGTTATACAGTGCTCCAGTGTTACACAGTCTTCGGCCATTCACTGATTAAATCACGTCCCAAGGCATCGCCCCCACAGTCATTTAGCTTTTTTGCAGAAATAAAAGCCATGTTGTTATGTAGACAATGAATGCTACAATTATAAACTGAGAGGGTCTGCTCTCCTCCATTCAACACGAGCTGCAGTGTCCCAGCCCAGTGCAGCATAAGTCCGATTTCAATTATCATGTGACGAGAGTAAGGAGAGATGACTGACAAGACGATGGCAGAGGATTTGGTGTCAAAGCGTAAGAGTAAAAGTAAGCACAACAGATCCTGAGCATCACTGACAAATATCTTTTCTTATAAATTGTGTGAAAAGCGAGCGCGCATTTAAACGCAATTTCACTAACACTTTACAATAAGGTTTCATTAGTTAACATTAGTTATCTACATTAGTTAACATGAACTAAGAATGAACAATACTTCTACAGCATTTAAAAATCATATTTAATGTTAATTTCAACATTTACTAATACATTGTTAAAATCAAAAGTTGTATTTGTTAACAATGCACTAGTTAATGCACTGTGAACTAACATGAACATTGTTAACTAATGTTAACAAAGATTAATAAATACTGTAACAAATGTATTGCTCATTTTTTAGATAATGTTAGTTAATATATTAACTAATGTTAACAAATGAGACCTTTTTGTAAAGTGTTACTGCAATTTCAATACCCCACATATTGATAGTGGCTCCCTGACACCCGCAAATTATATACAATATAACAGTACACTTATTTCAATGTGTCGACTAACATTCTAAAGCACAAGTAAAAAGAAATGTCTCTGAAAACATCACATTCTGGTCATTCTCAAGTATTTTATTTTATATTATATTATTTCCATAATAAGTACTCTTTTTAAAAGTGTGCTAAAGTGTTCTTTTTCACAAGGTGTTGACAAAATGATAATAAATTGCAATGTGAATGGTGACCTAATCACTGACCTAAGAATAATTATCTAACACTGTTTTTGTAGTATAATGTGTTTTCTATCTGACACATATTGAGCAGGCAGAAATTTCCTCTCACAAAGACAAACCAAATTGCTAAAAAGCACTAACATGTCAGCAAACTAGCTTTTTCAGTGACTTTTAGCTGGAAAATGCTGACATGATATGAACTGGTGACACATTTGTGATTAGGAGGGAAGAAATGAAAATTGCAGCAGATCTTCAAAATAGGAGTAATCTTTATTTTTAAAATGTGACCGAACAAAAACTGTTGCGTGCACAAATCACTGATCATCTGACAGGATGTGTGAGTGTGTGTACATATTCTGACCTGTCTGCCACACTTCCAGCCTGAATCTCCTGAATGAAGATGCCGAGTTCTCCGCGGTTCTCACTACACAATCCAACAACACTGAAGCCCAAACCGCCTGATACCGGCTTCTGTAGGTCGATGTTAGTCACGTACCGACCCTTCACACACAACATCACAGCCATATAATCACACTGTTTGTATGCTCTCAGAAAAGAAATGACAAACTGTATGGTCTCTTATTGCTTTATATACTGAGGACACAACTTAAAAAAAAAAAAAATCAATATATTTGGCTCGCATTTCTTAAATCTCTTATATCAATGCGACATGAGAGTTTGAAATGCTCTATAGAAATAAAAACCAATATGTGTGTTACCTGAGCCATGGAACGGATGATGTGTTTGTACTCTTCAGATGAAGGCTGTCCATTGAGCTGCGCTGAGAAACCTTCATGGCTGCTCTTGAGATCGGAGTTAATATATGGAGTCTACGAGAGAAAGATTAACCGAAAAACAGTGGAAGTGTATATTACTCCTCATTTGTGTGTTCCAAGTATTTAGCTTTACTTCTTTCCCCGAGCATTTAAAAATATAAATAGCTCTGAAAGAGCACGGAAAACTCATTTGTTTTGATAATTTCTGGTGATAATTTGTCCTCCCAGCCATCTGTGCACACATGTTTTTCATTACATTCAGGAGCTGCTTAATTAACTTTTTATTTCCCTCCCCGACTCGAGCGCACATTCCTGATGAAGTACAAACCATTTCACATCAATTACCCAGACAAAACGTGGCCCAAAAAAGCATCTCTCTGTGAGAAAAATAACATGCACTTCACATCTCAATGTGTGAAGTCATTTCCTTAAAACATTTGTTGTTTATTTGAAATTAATTGCTTATTAAACCATTGTCTTTCCAGCTTGGTTTCACAGATCTGCACTCTAGTGATTTACAACTCTGTCCTTGCTGTTATATCAGTGTCTGTGTGTCTTTTCCACATCGCAAGTTACCGATTTATTAAAGAAATAGTTCTGAAATTGTTTTTGTCATACAATGAAAGTCAATCCCTTGTGAAAAAGAAGTATATTTTAGCCTACTTCTAATAATTGTACATATTATGGAAATAAAATAGATAAAGATTATAATAAAAGAATATGCTTAGGTGTGAACTGAATGTAATTGCTTGTTAAATTAAAATGTATTTTAGCTTAAATTGTACATCGAATTTTTGAAATTGACAGTTAGCCTACAGTTTGGATTGGCGGTATGGTTTTGTTCTGCGCAAGAATTCGCTTTTCTTTTTTTATTATGTTATCTGCAAGCGCAGGTTTTAAAAAATATATGTTTTTAAGATTTGAATTACACTACAAGTGCACATTGAATACAATAAAATAAACGTATTTTTCACAAGGAAATAGGGTTTAATGTTTTTTTTTGGATTCCAATGTTATCTTCTGTTATATTGCGCAAAAGAAAGAAAGTCAGAAAAAACGATGACAGAAATTTTATTAGGTAAACAGTTCCTTTAACAAACTATGTCGAGAGAGCCACGGTGACACTTTTGGCAGGTTTTATACAGCTCTTCTGTGCATAAATGGGCCCACTTCAGTCTGCTGCAGTAAACATTAATGTTCATAAACGTCTCCCAGAGGCCCTTCAGATTAAGCGCTGAAAAGTCTCGGCTCGGTTGCTGATCGTGCACAAGCTTTGAACGCACACCAAACTATGTCAGCTCTGAGAGAGCGTGTATTTGTTAGTCTTCCTGTGTAAGAGGATTAGGTCTCTAGTTTGGCTCGTCCACATTTCAGAAATTACTTCTGCTCCACTTCACACATGAACTCATGTCTCTCTCTCGGTCGTTCCTGCTTTGTGGTAACCATAGCAACACAGACAAAGCCAGACCCACCAGTTGGCATAAACACCCTTGCAGTTTAGTGTGGAGCGACACCAACATACCAAAATTAATTTGTCTCAGGTTATTAAAGGTGTTTGCTTTATTGTGTTTACTTTTGCCTAAGTAACAAATTTCCCTCCCAAACACCATAGCCAAGCAACTGCATAGCAACACCCTGGCTACCACTTTTCTATTGAAAATAAAAGAAAAATCTTTAATCTTCTTTTCTTTCATCTTTAATTAAAAAAAAAATCTTCTTGTGGGTGTATCCCTTGTTAAAAAGTAGGCATACTTTAGTATATATTATCTATTAATATCTAAGTATCTATTGCAAAAAGAATACACTCTAAACCAATATACTTAAGTGCATATTGAATGTAATGGTTTCAGAAACATATCTGCATGTTATTTACAATTTAATGAAAATGTATTATAGTTTGAATTTATATTAAATCCAATTACCTGAACTTATGAATGCTTTTTGTACCCACTTTAAATTGGATTTAAGTACATCTTTAAATACAATTTCATAATTCTGTCATTGAAATATGGTATGGCCGAATGTACTGACAAGGATTTAAAATATTAACTTCAAATGTAATATTAAATAAACTTATAATCAAGTATATTACATGTTCTTAAGTATGTTAGTCAACACATCAAAATAAGTGTACTTCTTTAAAGCACGACAAAAATTATTAAAACAATGAATTAAAATGTCCCTATTGAAAAATAACGTACCAAAATGTATTTGAAATGCATTTATTTTTATGCTAAGTATATATTTATGTACTTAAAATACAGTGATCATACTATCCTTACTAAGAGGGATAAAATACATTTTAGGGCTTTTTAAGTCTACTTAAGTGTATAAAAGAAACTGTACTCTCTTTAAGTGCACTTAAGTGGCCTTTTTTCACTAATATTTTATTAATGCATGTACAGTTTAAAAAAAAATATATACTTTTAAGATTTGAAGGAAACTACAAGGTCACGTTTTCCACAAGGGTAACTAGCTCTATTCTAGGAGTCTTACTTTTAAACTGACATTAGATTTTTTTTAATGTTTTCTTTTTCCACACAGGCTGTTAACAATGTTACGCTCTGCGGTTCATAAGTATGTGACTGAACTGAGCGAGAGGGAATGCCAGTGGGGATTTGATAATCTCCATTCCTCTGTTCCAGCCTCCCCAGCATAACTCGCATACTTTAGACAGAACGGCTGCCAGTGCAAAACTCTCCATGTCCACACAGAGCTCGAAAACCTTGAAATATGAAACTAATAAAGCATTTTCCCCCTGACTAATTAAGCTGTGAATATTTTCCAGTGTTTGCATTGTTTGTGATTTGAATAATCATGTAATCTCAACCATCTCTGATCAGGGCAGCAAAGATTCAAAGCAAACTATGTCAAAACATATCATTGCATAATCAACTTAGACACAAATCCTAAGATTAACTGTGACAGCATGTCTGAAACGACCTCAGACATAAGGCAGTATACTGCTTTTTACATACTTCACTATGTACGGTTTACAAAAACATTTGTTTTAAGATATTTGTATTTTATATATTTTGCTTTAGCACGACGTTAGGAAAAATCAGTTTTATATTTCCAAATATGTATTTTAAGGTTTGGGTTGGGTTTAAAAAAATCCAAATCCAAAATCAATCACTCTGTTTGAAATGTTTTGGTGTTTGTCTAAATGAAAGGAGTTTTTTCCTGTGTTGTGTGTTTTTTCTTACATGCTCCTTCAGGTGTTGCACTGATTTCTGCAGGGCGAGGATCTGGTGAAATAGAGGACTCTGCAGGACCGCTTTCAGAAGATTCAGCTTCTCCTCAGCAGGAACATCTGCTCCCTTTTCTTTCAATCGAGACTGTAACCTCTCCACCGCCAGCAGACAACGCTGGGTATCTGCCACACACACACACACACACACACACACACACACACACACATAAGCTCTTCAAGGTTTGACAGCCTTTCATTTTTGTTTATTCGCTAAAGTTTGAATATAGTGTCAGAAATGGCGACAGATTCGTCAGTCTCCGGCAATGATGAGCTGCGGTAGAAATGTTTTATATAATTCACTTTCTATATCTCACAGGTACATTATCCGCTTAAATATTCAGGGAATATTTAAATAATTGAGAGGAGAGTATCTTCGAATACATTCATCTCCAGAGCACCATGGAGTGTTTTCTGTGGAGGATTTGATTACCGTGAGGAGGTGCTTTATCTTCTAATCATACAGACTAATGTCTCATGCCTACAAACGCTATAGTACACATTCCTCTCACAGAACAAGAGCAACAGAGAAGACAATAATTCACTGAAGATATTCACAGTGGAAAGCTTTAAAAAACACTTGGGCATTGCTGCCTTAAAGTGGTCATTATGAATTTGATTTGAGAAATCTAATTGTCCTTGATCTTTTGACATATAAGAGGTATGTCACGTTTATGATGAAGATGAGGAGGATAGAGTCATAGCGAATGTATTGGCAGCTAAAAACTTTATCAAATCAAACAAAAGAATGAAATCCAAAAACAAGAAATAAACTAAACGAAATACTGTGAGCCAACACAAATAACACAAGACAAGGAACTGAAAGAATTAAAGGCCTTATATACAAGATATAAAACTCAATACAAAACAGGTGTGCGCTAATCAATTAACAATTAATTACTGTGACAACTAAAAAAAGGAAATTAATGATAACAAACTAAAAGTCCTTGAAAATGAAACCAAACCAGAAACATAACGTAACAAGGTTATGTAGAAAAAAAATTCCTGTAAGTTTTAGAACTCAACACTTCCTCAGCTTTTATTGAAACCAAGCTCTCAAAATGACTTGACATACACAGTATGACATCATAGTGTGAAGGAAGACCGCCTCTGCTGAAGAAGATGAATGCCTACTTCTACATCATTGCCTCTTTAGCCCCACCCACCATTTCAGGAATGTCATGTAGTAGTAAATACGAGAGACACAAACACAGATTTACTTGAGTAACAAACCGAGATGCCTCTGAGGATTACAAGACATTTTGCAGTGCCAAGTTGTTCCTTGTGATCCTAAAATTAGGAAACTGTGGATTAACTTTATTTAAAGTGCCCCTATTATGCTATTTTAAAGGATCGTAATTTTGTTTTGAAGGTCTCCTACAACAGGTTTAATTTTCTCATAATATACATTGCGCATTACCACATTTTTCCATGATTCCATGTCTCTCTAAATCCCTCCTTTCCATGAGCCTACTCTGCTCTGATTGGCCAGATGGCCCAGTCTGTTGTGATTGGTCTACCGCTTACAGCTTGTGGCGGAAGCTAAATGCCCATTACCATAACTGAACTTCAGCCCCATCTGGAGGCTTCCTAAAGATCAGGGATTGTACACAATGAAAGACAGTTAAGATGACGTTGATTTTACCACATCAATCCGAGAGCGAGTCCGATGATGAAACATCGGAAGAACTAGTTGTTCAACCCGAACCTCCAACGCAAGGACGACTTGAGCAGGACGTTTCTCAATGATATACGCTACTCATTTTGGGGTACATTATAAGATGTTGCAACTGTAATTCCTCACCATCAGCATTAACAAGAGTATGTTCATCAACAAACCGATTATTTCTAATTTATTACACAGCTCTGTGGAATACTTGATTCTGATTGGTCAATAGCGCCATCCAGCAGTAAATTCCCAGATAACAACAGCTCAAAGCAGATAACGCAGGCTCATCCGGGTTACTGAAGTCAGCAGCGCTATACGCCTGCTAGGAACGTTTTTTCTTCGTGGAAGTTTTGCATTTGGTGAGCTAATAGAATATTAAAACTCAGTCAAATCAATATTTTGTATAGTTTTTTAATTATGCCATCCAGTATAGTGGACTCGCTCTCTCGTTTCATACAAACGCAGCTGCTGCCATTTTGGGACTATTGTTTTGTACGCTATTGGAGTATAAAATAAAAACAGGTAAGATTTTAAAACAGTTTAATCTGAAATCAATATATCTTATCCCCATAATTATTTTATGTGGCGAAATGCTGTGTAATAAGTGGTATGACTGTAAACCGTATCTCTTGAATGTCCGTCTTGAATGTCTTGAAGTTTGAACTTGCCGCGCTAGCAACTTCTCTCTCCGTGGAAGCTTTGCGTTGAAAGAGCTAATAAAATATTTCAACTCAGATCAATATTTCGTGTCTAATTATTTACTTATGTGGCCAGGGGCGCAACTGCACATTTGCTGAGGGGTATGCAAGAACAGTGTTGGCGCCCCCCATCACCCCCCACCCCCACATTACAGCCGTGCATGTTGGAACAAAGGTATGTCTTTATCAGCTTTAGCTTGCTGAACGATCTCTCCGCAGAGGCAACTGTCATTGGCATTGTCAGGAAAACTCTCAGGGCTACGGTTACATTTGGAAAAACCAAATCAAGGTTCTCCTGTAGGAGGAAATTTAATTTATCCAGAGCCTTTTCATGACCCCTAAGTAGACGGCTCACTGGGTTAATTTCCTGAATGATATCCCTTGAAACATCATTTGTAGCTAGGGCATTTCTTGTCACTGATTTCTCCAACTCAGCTTTTGTCATGTGTTCCATTTTAAAGATGAACTTAAACTTTTCGGACACAAGTTGAAGATTGCAAAATCTGTCAGACAACTCCTGAATTACTGTATCAACAATTGCATTGAAAACCATGCACCTAAAATGGGTCTCAGGTTCCTGTTCATAATGGCCAGTGCTGGAATCATCACCATGAAATCTCTTTTGCTTTCTGAAACGTCTCTCTCTTAACTCAGGGGAAGCATCCATCTCAATGGCTATTCGGCGTGCAATGTCAAGGGATTTTTGAAAGCCCTCCACTCTATACTTAAGCAAGAATTCTTTAAGAGAGTCTATCATTCTAATGACAGTGTCTATCGAGATGTTCACTGCTTTCATTGCCTTGCTGACATAGGTGATCTCTGACAATAGATCATACCAAACCAAGAGGCACATGAGGAACTCCATGCTGACAACTTCGCCAGACAGCGACTTTGCCTCTGAGACAGTTTTGCTGTCTTTTTCCACTTCCTCAAGCTTTTCCAAAGCATCAAGAATCCCCCCTAACTGGAAACGTACAGCTTTGACAGAATCTATTTTTGCTTCCAATCTGGTATCACTCAGAGGCTTCAGTGTAATGTCCACAAATTCTTTCAGAATATCCCACCTATTCACCGAAGCCGAAAAATGGTGTACAGTCTTTTTGCAGTCTCTGCCAAAAAAGGTTAGACACACTCTGTTTGATGATGCAGCATCACATAACAGGAGGTTCAGACTGTGGCTACAGCAGGGGATAATAGTGCCTCTGGACACTTCTCCTGCACCAATGCTTGCACACCCTTGTGTATACCCCTCATATTTGAGCCATTGTCATAGCTCTGCCCCCTACAGTTAGCCAACTCCAACCCCAGGTTATCCAGCACCCCAGTCAGTGTTTCTGTGAGGCCTTTACCAGTTGTGTCCTTCATGACTGTGAAGCCAACAAAACACTCGTTGATGGTGGGATTCTTGTTGTCGTCTCTATGAACATACCGGATCATTACGGAGGCCTGCTCCTGCTTTGAAATGTCAGGTGTGCAATCCAACTCCACTCCAAAGTACTTGGAGGTTTTGACCTGGGCACAAATTTGACCAAGTACACATTCTGAAATTGAATCTAAAAATTCATCTTGAGTGCACCAGGAAAGATATCCTGTGGTTTCTTTAGAGGCTATACCTTTCTAAGGTGCTCTGCTAGTGTGACATCATATCGTGCTATGACCTCAAGGACACCCAGGAAATTTTCCTTTTTAGGATCTCCTAACTTAGCATTCTTCAAGCCTCCAAGTTTGGTAGCAAATCTATGCATGATTCCATGGTAAACCAGAGATATTGCATTAGTTGTTTTCCAGATTCTTGTCATTTATTGTACATGCTACCTTATATTTTCCAGTTTTCAGATCAGCAACCGGTTTTGCATAATAAGCCAACCGTAATTTAAACCCCCATTTGACTGCTACATTCCCAGTGTTAGCAAACGCTAGCTAGTCTGTTAACATGAATATTTGCAAGCCTCCAAGCACAGACGTCACACTTTAATTCCTACCTGTTGCCTTTCACCATCCACTTATTTAGCTGCTGTCGGATCCCCTGATATGCCATCTCCTTTTCCCTCTTTCTTTTTCTATTTTTAGCCCCCGACAGCTTTTTTGCTTTATCCATCTTTTTCGACGACAACTCACTACTCGTACCTGGTCGCTCAGCGCTCACGGCGCCCCCGCCCGCCCGCAATATTACCGCCACACGCCATATTTTGCACCACTGTATGTGGAAAGTAGCAGTGTAATAAGCAGAATAATGTAGATCCAGCCGGTTGTTCTCTCAAAATAAACCTCCGACAGGGTGATGAGGACCCCGACGCAAAGCGGAGGTACATTATCCCTTACTTATTGCAGTGCACATGTGGGAATTGTATTAATAACAGCGCATACGTTAGTCCCCTGATGTAACATACATGTTTGTAAAACAAATCTTGCTCCATCCTTTATCTTTACTCAAAGTAGTAAGAACGACAAACAATCTGCATTAATAGACACAGTTTTAGGCTTACACAATTTAAAACACAAAACTACATATTTTGAACACCTGGTAGAAAACATATGCATCAATAATTATTCATACTTACAGGTTGTGATTCTGAAGATATCATTGTGTTAAACTATCATTCTGTTAGTTAAGTGTGAGTACAGTGTGATCTAAAATTTCTCTAATATTGGTCAGTTATATCACAAACATCATGTAGAAGTTTATATTATATTTCCTTGTTAGGGCCTGAGCAACGATGGTGTGAGGACCCTATTGGAATTGCTCAGTTTATTCATTT